CGAATTTAATTTTTTGATTTTTTTACACAGTTAACAATTTAAACAAATTCCAAATTGTATAAATTGAGGAATCAAAACTTAATATAAAATAATCGGACTTTTTGATTAGTTTTGTTTTAAAGTACACAGTCCATTCAAGCTGTCAAAATTGATTGATACTCAACTTAAATTAGTTGCCATATTTCCTATAATAAAATATGATTATACAAATAAAGTAAAGTTAAATCGTAAATTTTTTTACTTTTTTAAACTATATTAATTAAAAAAATAATTTTATTATAGATTTTTACTAATACTTATTTAATTTTGATTACAAATTTATAATGATAAATAAATTTTATATAAATAATATTAAAATTATTCAATTGAATAACGAGAAATGATACAAAATGTCAATTTAGTGATATAAACAAAACTTGCACTGACAATAAACATTTTGTATATAAATTTTACAGTCGAAAGAATAATACCAACTAATTGTGAGTATAATTTATAATATAATAAAAGATAATATTATTAGTATTTTATAACTACTTATTATGATTTAATAAAGGTTAAGTGGTGAATCAAAGAAGAGTAGTCTGAATTGAGTTCGTACGAGACGCTTGGGTATTGAACTGCTAGTTAAAAGCCCTCAGTCGGTTTCCAACACCATACGGCCACAGAAATGACCTGGTGGTTTTTCTATCCCACTATGTTGGCTTACGCCAACCTCTGTCCTACAGAGCAATCGGGCATCCTCAGACCTTCCCCAGGAATAAGCACAACATGAATGAAGTCGTTGCCTCCCCGAAATCCAAGCTTCCCTTGATTCACATGTAAATGATATGAATTGTTCTTTATATACCGCAAGGGTTTTTTCTCTTTTTATGTCATATCTTTTAATTGGGTGTTGATTAGTATATTCTATAACATTTTAACCATTATAAGTTAGTATAATTTGGAGAATTTGGAGTTAAAATCCAAAAAAATGATCTATGAGTCATAAAATTATTTAATAGTTTTAATTAATTTTATTGGTTAAATTATTGTTATTACAATTTTATTTGATATTATTATAATTATTAATTAAATCACAAAAGAATTTAAAAAATTTTAAATTATTGTCTTATTCTATTGGTAATAATTACATAATTAATTTACTTATATTGTTATAGTATTTTAATAATAATTAAATCTATATAATTAATTTTTTTAAAAAAATGTTTTTTTTAATGATCTATAAATATATATTAGTTCAAGTTTTTTTTTTTAATAATTACCATATTTATAGTTTTAAGTATTTGAACTAAAAATACAAACCATTAATTAAAACAAAAAAAGTGAATAAAATGAAACAAAAAATAAATAAAATGTTATTAATGATAGGTTGATGAGGTTTTGATTATAATATTATAATTTTATTATTTTATTATAACAATTCGAACATTTATCACATAGTTTGTGCAAATTTAATTTTTAACATTAATTCGCACCTTATTTGTTTTTTACACAAAATTGTGTAAAAAAAAGAAAGTATTTAATGATAATTGGTAATCAGTTGTTTTCCTGTTTTGATACAAGTAAATAAACTAAACAATTGAGTAAAATTGTTAAAAAAGAAAGAATAGATAAACCTACAAAACAATAACTAAGAAGTATGTGTGTAACAACGTTTATCAGCAAACATCTCTTCTTGTTTTTTGTTGTTCCACAACTGGTGATGGTTTTCTATGCTTTAACAAAAATTGGTCTGAATGAGTGTTATGCTGACAGAGAAGCTTTTAAGATGGATGGGATTTTCGCACTTTTAAATCCATACAACTGGACCTTAGTCATTTCCGTCCTCATAATAGGACTTTCTTGTTTAAGAAAAAAAGCTGATGGGACACTTGTCTTTGTAGTGAACACTTTGAATCAGTTTTTGAATGGGTATATGTTCCATCGTTCGATATATTATTTTGTTGGGTGTTTCAAAGTATTTCTGAACGATAAAACATGTAGTGTAGGAAACAAGAAACTGAATGGCATTAGTGGTCACTTTTTCACTGCAGTATATTTCATGGCTATTTTTATTCGACTGATCAAACAGGTCGACTTTCTTCCAAAAACTTCTTCATTAGTGTCGTTTGAGATACCACGTGACAAAACAAGTACTTTTAGAGATATTTTGTTTCACATGTTTCGCCTTGATGTTACTGGAAAGGGACTCCAAAAATTTGTGTTATATTGTTTGTTGCTTAGTTATTACTTCGTATGTTTGGCCACTACCTGTTTAACGTTGTTTCATGGGTATCATACACCACTTCAAGTCATATATGGCATTTTCGTCGGGATTATTTCAATTTTGGTATATGCAGTGTTCCTGTGGGTACCCTTCAAGTATCGATCCTTCATTAATCTTTTTCTCATCGTTTTGGCATATTCTTTGTTTTGTATTGTTAGTGGCTATCACATGCGTTTCAGTTATTTCTATATTACTGGAGGCGTCGCAGTTGTGCTCACCGGTGTACAGCTTCTTACTGAAGCCCACAAGAATGCAGAGTAAACAACTTGTTGATGTTCGCTTTACTATACACTGTACTATATTTTATAACAGTTTTACTATATAATTACTATAATAGAGTATTTTCTTTTAACACTCGATGCTATTAGTTTAATAATAATAAATGTACTATACAAAGATTCAAAGACATAAACAACTGAATTACCTTTAGCTTCTTTTGAAAGTAAATTCTCCGAAGGCAGTCTGGTCCACGTTTGGGTCTTTCGACGAGTTAATTTCCTCCTGTAAGTCGAAGTGTTCGTCTAGAGTTTCTTGGTCGAAGTTGTTCTCTTTGTTAGTGAGGTCTGGCTTAAAGGACGCCTGTATTTTCTTCTGATACAAATCGTCCCAATTGAACCCATTCCACCACATATGTGACTTGATTTTCTCGGGAGTATTGAGTCTATCTTCGATCTTCTTTTGTAACATCTTATTAATGAAGTCTCGACATGGAGGGCTTGCTATGGAAGAACTTGGGAATGCAACATCTGCGTTAAGAATGCGTTGATACAATTGTTGAATGTTATCACTCACAAAAGGAGCTTGGCCGTGTAACATTTCAAACGTCATGATACCAATTCCCCACCAATCGATAACGTTTGTGTATGGTTGCGCTAAGACAACTTCCGGTGATAAGTATTCTGGTGTTCCACAAAACGTCTCAGAGCGGTCATCTGACTTCACGTTTTCCTTCGACAACCCAAAATCTGTTAACTTCAAATACCCATCTTCGCACATCAAAACGTTCTCGAGCTTAATATCACGATATATCACATTCAACTGGTGTAAGCATTCAATCGCCAAGATGATTTGAGCAATGTAGAATTGTGTTCGCTCCTCCGAAAACGACTTTTCTAACGTCAGTCGGAAATACATCTCTCCTCCCGGACAGTAATCAATCACGTAATGCAACTAATTGTTATTAACACACTTCTTATGAACATCTCTAACTCGTAGATTCTGTTTATACGATCGCACAGATACAGAACAATAATAAAATGTTGTTATTGTAACATAAGCATAGAACATTCCAAGCTTATGTTACTATATATTATAGCTCTTTATAGTTTAACTAAGATTACCAAATATAAGTACTATAATATATAGTAATTTTTCTAATTTACTCGATTGAGAAGAACAAACATGAGTTGTGGTCTGAAAGGAGTAATATAAATTCACAAGAAATGGGTGTTTGACCTTCATCAGTATGTTTCTTTCCGTCATCGTATGTTCGAGTTCATCCATTTCAATGACCTTTTTCTTTTCGACCATTTTCAACGCAAACATCTCCCCAGTCCTCTTGTACTTCACAAGTAAGACCTTCCCAAAAGCACCTTTTCCTAGTAAAGTAACTATATCAAAATCATTCATTGTAATGGGTTGCTCCTTTTCAACAACAAGTTGCTCAGTCACGGATTTGGTGCACTGCGTAAGAACATTGATCCACTCTTCTCTGTCTTGTTCGGATGTTGCGGAGATGTTATACACACGCGACGGAGTCCTTATTAAAAACAAGTTTTGATAATGCTTTATCTTCGTTTCGTCATTTGGGGTGATTGAGAAGGCTAATGAGATGTCAATCTCACCCATCTTTTTCATCATCTGAACGTCACTTTACACCCGTGTCAATCACAATTAATGAGATGAGAGGAATGTACTATTGTAATTTAACAAACGAGTTGGTCTTTATAGTACATCAATGAATTGCCATTAAGCGCAAACCACCGTCGTTTCCAACTTTTCCACCCTCCGCCCTCTTTCACTAACCAACCTTGCTTCATTCCAACTTTCTTTTGTGATTTTACAGTTTGTCAGTCACTCTCTTCAATTCTATTTTAATGGTTTTATTTGTATTTATTTTAAAATAGAAATATATATTTCGCTATTTTGTATTAATTTTCTATTTCGATAATTTCAAATAATTATTAATAACTACTATACTTTATAGTTATTAAGTCATACTTATAACCACGTTTTATTATATTTGAAATTTGTCAAACTTCTATAATAATCGTATTTTGGTGAATATTTTCATTATATTTTATTAATATATTATTTATTTATTAATTAATCAAATTATTTTTCAAGTAATAAATAATCAAACTATTTTTTCTTAAAGAATAAAAAATCAATTTTTTAAACACTGATGTCACTCTATTATTACGAAAATAATCATTTTCTTATATAAATAAGTCTCCACAATACCACATTTTCAGCAAATATTATTTTATACATGTTTTTTTACTTTCATAAAAACTAATATTTTTTACTATTAAATTACAAATTAGTTGTTTTTTTAAGTTATTGAATTGTAGTAAAAAATCAATAAAAGTATAATTTATGTGTTTAGTTTTTGATTACTAATTGATTATAGTACTATCCTATAAAATGTTCAACAGAACTAAACAAATAGATACTACTAATAATAATAAATAACTATAAAAGTAATTATAAAGAAACCATAAAATAAAAAACTCAAAAAAGACATATGGAGTCCCACCACGAACCACTCGATAAGAAAAAAAAGATAAAGCCGTTTCATCGCGTTCACGCACACCGCAATCCCTTGGCCGACAGTGAGTCGCACAACCCAATAACTCCAAAAGATGTCAAATGGAGTTCATATTTTACAAACGGTGCACCAGCAGAGATGCTTGATGTTGGATGTGGATGGGGTGGATTAGTATGTGAGATTGGTCGGATTCAGTCGAAGAACATAATTGGGATGGAGATACGTGACCCAGCCGTTCAATATGGTGTTGAGAAAATTGAGTCCGGTCGAGCCAAAGGTGAGCTTCAGAATTGTTGGATCATTCAATGCAATTGTATGAAGTACGTCGACAACTTCTTTACAAAAGGACAACTCTTAAAAATCTTCATAACATTCCCAGACCCACATTTCAAAAACGCCGTTAAACGCCGACGAATCATTAACCCTGAATTTGCAGCAATGTATGTATACCTTCTTAGACCAGGTGAAGGTATGATATATACAGCCTCTGATGTCAGAGAACTCTTCGAATGGAATGTCGCTAGTTTAGACGCACAACCACTCCTTGAAAAGATGCCAGAAGACTACATGGACGATTACTTGAAGATCGTATTGTTCAAGACGGAAGAAGCTAAAAAGGTTGACCGAGAAAAGAGAGAGAAATGGGGCGTCTGTTATAAGCGGAGGGTTGAGGAGCAATTTTGACGAATTGACTGATTATTTTTATTGGAAAATACTTTACTCTCCACTTGGTGTTCTTATTATTTTAATTTCCGTTATATTTTTTGCACCAAACAAATTTTTTTTTAGACTTTTGAAATGTTATACAAAATGTTATACAAAATGTTATACAAAATGTTATACAAAATGTTATACAAAATGTTATACAAAATGTTATACAAAATGTTATACAAAATGTTATACAAAATGTTATACAAAATGTTATACAAAATGTTATACAAAATGTTATACAAAATGTTATACAAAATGTTATACAAAATGTTATACAAAATGTTATACAAAATGTTATACAAAATGTTATTGACTTATTTCTTGGTTTGGTCTTTCAAGTGTTCTTACAACTTGAAAAAGTGAACTAAAAAATATGAACACTCAAGGGAAGTCGCTGATCTTCAGTGGAGTTACGAGCTGGAGTTCATTATATCACTTTACAAGTGATATTAGAGTGTCGAAGAGAATACCAGAAACATTGATAGCACAAGTTGGAAATTTGAATACGAAGTCAGCGAGTTGGTACTATTTAACGACGAAGACGTGCAATATCTTATATCAATTTTTGCCGATAGAAAACAATGATGTGACATATATCTTGATCTCGCCGAATAAAGAGAATGAAAAGGAAATGAAAAGGATGATAGAACTGTCGAAATTGTTGATCTATTTCAATGGGTCAGACTCCACGAACGCGATTGGGATTCCAAGACGAAGAAATACCCTTGAAAACTTCTTCCAATTGTATGACCGAACGCCTCTCTATTTATTGGTCCCTCCACATATTCCAATGTTCCGGACTATTGTCACAAATTATATGAACTGTGACACTTTCCCCGAGTCTATTAAACAAATGAGCGGATTTGGAATCATCGTGGGTGGGTTTTTTAGACCATTTGTCACATATAAACAAACACCACTTTCAAGCGACGCGAATACCGCGATTGTGGTGTGGGCGAACACACTGATCAAAACGTTTTTGGCCGATAATGAGATTGGAGTGGACGAGTACGTCGAAAATGTCACGGAAGAGAAACAAAAGACGTGTGGCATCGAATCGGAGCCAATCACGTCCGACGACTGTAATAAACAATTTGTACCGAATCCACAAACGATGACGATATCATCATCGTTCTGTAATATGTCGTTGACTGTTCAAAAGATCACTAACGACATGTTGGTAGTTGGATATTCCCGTGTCGGTGAACCAAATATGATTGAATTCAAAGATGTCTTAACACGAATATTCCCCATTCTAATGATGTTCCGTAGAGAATTAACATACCCCGCTATGACTATGACAAGTCCACAAAATTATAGAACAGCGTTCCCGGGAATGGTCCACTTCGTTGTCATCGACTATACTAAAGGGTGGACGTTCTACCCAGCTTTCGATCCAAGCAATTTAGAAGTGCTGGTGAGAAAGTTCATCATCGATTGTAGAGCTCAAGAAGATAGAAAGATCTTTGTACATGACGAGAAGTACATCTTCGCGTATGAAATGACTTCACACTTCGACTCAAAGAAGGAACGTGTCGTGGACTACGAGGCATTCGGAGTCTTTGTCCGGCTTATGCCTTTCAAACTTGTCAACGATTATTTGGCCAGTGCTCTTCAGAAATATAGAGACCTTTATAAGTAAGTGGTGAGTGTGTTTGTTATCTAATTCACTACCAATTCTATTGAATTGGAATATTGGTTCTTTAAACCATAAATTAATTAGTTGTATATTACTATTCATTTATTATATTTATGTAGTAAAAAATAACAATATTTAAATGATTTTTTATTAATAAAACAATAATATTATAGTTCATTATTTTAAAATTATATTTATGGGTTTAATATTGTTTTGGTAAAAGTGATGGAAACAAGGCAATTTATTTTTATGTTGATAATAAGAAAAAACAATTTCAAGAAAAGTCTTGAAAAAAAATTGTTGGTGTTAAACACTTTTTTCTAGAAACCAATTTCCCGAAATTTTAAAATATGTTGGTGTAATAAAAATTATTATCAGATCTGAACTCAATCTTAAAATAAAGAGAAGGATACATCGCAAAATGAGATGATCTGTTCACACGTGGTGATGAACAAGAACTTATAAACCCTTAATAAAGAAATTAAATACTTATGGTATAAATATCTACAATTATAGTAAAATTAATAACCCAAGAATGTTCCGAGATTTGGCAAAACGACAGCACATTTAAAGCCAGAAACTAAAAAGGAATATTGAAATGGCTAGACCACAAGTTTTCTTCGACATCACCATCGGCGGTGAAAAAGCCGGCCGTATCGAGATGGAGCTCTACAGCGACATCGTCCCAAAGACCGCTGAAAACTTCAGATGCCTTTGCACTGGTGAAAAGGGCAAGGATTTGACCTACAAGGGCTGTGGTTTCCACAGAGTCATTAAGGACTTCATGATTCAGGGTGGTGATTTCACCAAACACAACGGAACTGGTGGAAAATCAATCTATGGAGCCAAATTTGCCGATGAAAACTTCATCGTCAAACACACCAAGAAGGGACTCCTCTCCATGGCCAATGCTGGACCAGGGACCAACGGATCTCAATTCTTCATCACTACCGCTGTCACTGATTGGTTGAACGGAAAGCACGTCGTTTTCGGTGAAGTCAAGAAGGGATACGATGTAGTCCAAATGATTGAAAACTCAAAGACTGGAAGAAATGACAAGCCAGTCAAGGAAGTCGTCATTGCTGACTGCGGCCAACTCTAAGTTTTAAATCACGGGTTCAATAAATTACTCTTAATATTTTCAATTAATAAAAACAACTCAATAATTATAAACTCAATAAAAGAGTAAGCAATGGCTACTGAACAAAAGATTAAATGTTCAATTGAAAAAATTGAAGCTGTTGTTTCTTTACAAGAAGAAAAGTCGCTGGAGACTGTTGATTGTGTTGTTATCTCGATTTCGGATAAAACAAAAACTTCGAAGAACATTATGAATCTCGAAGACATCCCTTTTATGAGCCATATTAAACGAGTGAGAAACAATAAAAAAGGATTAGAAATAGTTCTTGGCACATTAGGAGAGTATTCTTTGGAGGAATGGAAGAATGTTTGTGGTGCACACATTTTACCACAATTAGAGGGAGTCGATGTGAGTTCTTTAAAGATCATTAAAGTGCCAAAATACGCTCCTGTCAACAAAGAGCAATATAAAGAATTCTCAAGGCTCTGGCCATGTTCACTTCAGCCTCCAACACTTCCAACTCCACCAATACAAAAGAGTGATTTTGAGTCGATCACAAATCTGTTTTTGCAACTGTTCTCGAAGTATGGAGTACCAAACAATGATTGTAATAACACAGAAAAATGCAGCACACATGCAAAAGCACTTATTGTATCGGACAAGAAAAGTATAGAAGCTATAGGAGAAGACACAAGAATAGTAGCTCACCATCCATTACTCCACGCAACTTTTAACACCATGAGAGGTATAAAAAGAGAAAGTCGAGAATATCTGTGTACAGGATTTGAAATTTATGTCACACACGAACCATGTCTGTTCTGTGGAATGGCTCTTTTACACTCGAGATTTCACAGAGTATTCTTCATTTACAAAAATGATATTGACGGAGCATTCACGAAGTACCATTTACATAAAAACACAGCACTGAATCACCACTTTAATGTCTACCAAGTCACGTTGATTGATTGATAAAAGAATTCTATGCACTCTAATTATAGTTAAATATAATAAGGTATCTAGTTTATACGGTTCTATATATAAATAGTTTAAATAGTTAAATCAATTATATCAAAACGAGAGGAACGTTTATTCCAAGTGCGCTGAAAAAGACAAGAAGCAACGAAAATACAGCAATAGGCGCATAGGCGGCGGTTTTTGGTATTTTCATGAACGGCAAAACTAAGAAATGAATACTGTATTATTGTAAATAATAAAATTATAATAAAGTATAATACAATGTAACAAACTGTTGTACCCAAGGAAAGTGATGTATGTATAATAAGCGAGTGAGACGAGTAAAACGCCGTTTGATGCGAAAGTTGCCCATAACGAGTCTCTAAATAGAAACGGCGAAAGAACAAATAACAAAATGTGAGAAACGAGCAAATAACAAAAATAAGCATTGATGTGAATGTCGTATGAATACCTCACTGTGAAGGAATCTCCTGTTGTGAAAGAACTTTTGCACAAATAAAAAATGATGACGGAGATAATGACGCCTGTGACTAAAGGTATAGCAAAGTCAAATAATATATATGGCACTTTCCAAAGTCCTTTAACAAAAGTGAACGCAAAAATAGTCGATAACACAAAATTGAAGAAAAAGACTATTTTTGTGATGGCATGGTCTCGACGATGCCATTGCTGTGTTAAGCCATGTTGATATTTATTTGTCTCATACACAGTCTGTGGGTGTAAAATAATGTTCACAAAAAACCAATTGTAATATTCAACATTACGGCCTATGTGTTTGTAAAAGAATTGAGTGAGATATTTCATGTATCTTATGTAGTTCTTATCACATCTTGTATTAATTTTTGCTGTACCATTTTATTACTATTAAATTATTATAAACATATATATTTAATATCATTTATTATATGTCATAATAATATAATACATTTAATTATATTTGAATTTATAAACTATAATTAATAATTTATAATTTAATATAATACAATAATAATATAAAAATTATTAGAATCGTACTAAAAAAAACTATTAAAATAGCTATAACAAATCCTGTCAATCACTCAACCCCAAGTTTCTTGTTTTTCTTCTTGAGAGCTTTTCGATCTTTTTCTCTCTTATCCCTCAGTTGCTTTTGAATGACTTTCATTGGAATACCTTGTTGTCTCATTTTTTTCATAGCTTTGACGGAAGTCTTGTACGAAGAGACTTCTCTGCCCCGTGCTGTTTGTGCTTTAGAATAGATCACCTTGCCATTGAGTTGACCGTTGGTGGATAAGGCCCGAGTGACTGCGCTTGGCTTGTTCTTGCGTTTTGAAACTGGAATCACTTTTTGTGAAACAGTAAAATTCTTTCGTGGCTTTTTCTCATTGTTGATTTTATTCTTCGTTTGGGTGGACTCGGTGCGTTGCATTTTCTTCAGTTTACGACGAGACGTCTTGACTGATTTCTTCGGGTCCTTTTTGGACGGCATTTCTTTTGGTATTAAAGTTCTAATGTGTTTAAATTACTTATTATAATATATGGTTTATGTAATTATAATATATGGAATACATTTAGATTGATGAGAGGTTGAGATTGAGTATTTGGTCGGAAAGAAATAATTCTTGAATCGTGAAAATGGAAGGAATATTGTCGTTAATGGATGCGGCGCAACAGGTTATCGAAGAGTTGGTGCTTCAAAGCATCAGATTGCTTGTGAAAAAAAGGTCGTTTGTCCCTTTCACAACAAAAAAGGTAGAGAACCAAAGACAACCGAGAATCACAACCAACAGCAAAAAACAGTTACAAATAGTCGTCGTGTTGGGGAGTATATATCAACTACTCGCAACTAACAGAAAAAGCACTGCCAGAGAGATTTACTACACACACAAAGCCATCTTTGACTCGCAGAAAAAAACAGACAATGTCATCGAAAATATCACACTTTTATTAGGCTCTACTCTACAAGGTCTTCACATATCTAAAACACCACGAGGACTTCTTTGTGGTGACGTGGCGCTCGTTACACAGTATTACATCATTGACTTTTCGACGACACATCAACTTCCAACGGTAAGTGAACCGTTTACCCTCTGCTTTGGCAAAAAGCGAGTTTTTTTACTTATAATAGAAAAGGAAGCTTTTTTCGAGAGGGTTGTGCAGTCAAAGGTTCGTGAGATGTTTCCGTGCCTCATTTTGTGTAGTCGTGGGTTTCCTGATAACGCAACTCTAGACTTGGCAAAAGCAATCAGTTCGCAAAGCGGTGTAATTCCTTGTTGTTTGGTTGACGGCGACGTTTATGGAATTGAAATATTTCTGCAGTTTCTTTGTAATGGGTGGAAAAACCCAACACCACAAATACCAAATCTCCGTTGGGCACTCTTGCGACCAAGTGAATTTAATGGGGTGTCGAGTCTCACAAAGCGGGAACAAAAAATAGCAGAGAACATGCTGAATTCGTCTGTGGTACAAAACAACGAAGAGATCAAAAACGAGATTAACACAATTGCATTTAAAAACAGAAAGGCAGAACTTGACGAGTTGGATGACTCACATAAATTCAACTTGGAGAACATCATTATCACGTCGTGTTTGACGCACACGTCAACCTTCAAAATTTAGTCTTTGGCTTTTGATGTTTTGAATGAAACAAAATTCAAAACTATTAACAATAGTTTGTTTTTACTATTCTCCACCAAAAAACAACAAAACAAATTAGTTAGACACTGTTTGGGGTATTGGTTCTTGATCCATTTGTACGACGATGATCCTCTCGACGGAGAAGGTGGAGTTTGGCGAATTGAGTCCGTTGAGGTCGGTGTTTTTGATATTATCATATCTAAATGATATGTTGTTATTAAAGGAGTTTTTAACATTGATGTCTGCGATGGTGAAGTACCCAAATCTGACGCCCGACCAAAACTCGCCGTTTCCAACCTCATATAGCTTATTCATGTCTTTATCGTAAAGACGAATTCCTCCCTGTTCTCCGAGTTTTGAATTCCACCTTGTTGGTGCAGGGAAGAGGCCCTTCGAGTCTAAAGAAAAAATAAAATGCTTTTCGTCATAGAACCAAACGTCCATTTTGTCGATCACTTTCTCGAAATAACTTCCAAAGATGTACCCCCTCTCGTCGATGTTAATGATGTATATATTCGTTTTGTTCAACACAGAAGAGTAAAACTCCCTCGCAAGTTTGGAATCAACGTTTGAGTCATAGACAACCGTCCCATCAGTTGTTCCACTCCACTCAGCCAAGATTGCTTTATACTGTGAAAGAATATCCAAAGAGCCAAGCTTGACATTAGGCCTTACTGCTGGCTGGACTTTGCTGCTTTTACTTCCCATCGAACTGTCTTTAATAGTGTTAAAGGATTTTTTGGTCGACTTCAAAACCAATTTTTGAAAAGAAAAAGAAAAGGGTTTCCTAAAATTGAAAGAAAAATGGAGTTTGTTGTAATTATTAAAACTTATTATAGTTTTAATGGAAAGAAGCGGGAGATTTCCAATATTGTAATTAATTCATTCGAATAAATAGCCTCTACATTCAAACACATTTTAATTATTTTTTTAATCTTTTCCCAACCATTATCGTGTTATTTTATTCATTGCTTTAACCAATTACTAATTTTGACCGTTGTGCTTTTAAAAGATGAAGCGAAAAGAAAAATTGAATTATTGTTTCAATTAAAACAAAATGTGGATTCATTGTTTATAATTCAGAGTTATCTCACAAATCAATTTTTTATAATATTTTAATGTTTTCATTTAAAATAACTTAATTTTTAATTAAATTGAAAGCGATTTGTATGTAGTGTTACCACCTACACATTTTAAATGTAAATACAAAAAAATATAACAAATAGTTAAATATACCATATTCGAAATACTCATTCATTATTTAAAAAGCATCTATTCATTTTTATAACTCTCCTGTCTCTATGTAGACAGTGAAATGTACTCCCCTGACGTTTCTGAATGACTTTTCAAATGTGTTTTTCATCATTCTCGACCCCCAACAGAGGACAAGTACATCTTTCATGCCTTCATACCTTTCAGCCACCTCAACAAAGTTTGGTCTACCCTGTTTGAACTCCATTATTCCATTCATGTTGCCTTTGCAGGGTAACACATCTCTTGTGCAATACGCCTCGAAATTTCCAAGTGTCCTCGACTTCGCCGCAACTATGTCTTCTTCAAATTCGACTTCAAGTTCATTCGACTTTGCAACAAGTACCCAGTCGACGTCGTGTATTCCATCAATACAAAGTGCCTGTAAGTGACCGAAAGAGGGGCAGAACCCAACACCAGAACCCACCAGTAATATCTTCCCAAAATTTCCAAGCGGACAAATTGGTCTACCAACGGGACACGTTGTGAAAATTGGAGTATTAAGTAATTCTTTCTCGCGTGTGTTTGTCAACATGGTCGTCCACACTCCAAGCGGTGCGATGACCAGTTTCATAATCGACGTTTTGAGTTGTGTTTCAGTATTTATTGGTGTTTCAATCAGTTTCTCGACACTTGGTGAAGTTGAGAATGACAGTGTTGGATTTCCTTGTTGGACAAGTTCCCTGAAATTTCCACACAAAATGGAGAACGGGTGGAATGACCACGGTGAGAGTTTAGGGATCAAAATTTGTATGAACTGTGTTGGGTTGTAGAACACGTTTTTAGTGAATGTGAGAATGGTGATGCCACTGGGCGTAGTCTTTTTCGAAATGATTTCTCCAGGCACACAGATGTGAGTGATTCGCAATAAGACATCAAACAAATACAAAACCAATGGCGGCAATAAGTAGTAGTAAAAGTCCTTTGTATACGCGTCGATGTGTAAAATGTAAGTGCCCACAATACAGCCAAATGCAATTACGTGTATTTTGTGAAAGATATTATATGACCAACGTCTTATGAATATGGCCGCAAGTAATAACAATACAAAGGAAAAACACAACACGCCGTTTTTGTATGAAGGAGGACTTAATTTGAATCCACAAAGAAGGCACGCCGCCAAGTCACAGATGGAGTGGAGTACCGCAAACCCACCGAAAAGCAATCCAGATATCTTATGGAAGACTAACACGTCTTGGTAAGTCGTACCAATTAAGGAAAGAAGACTAATGTTATTTTGTGGGAGTGGGATAATAAGTGCAAAAAGGAAAACTGGTAATGGTCTTCTCAGTATACTTCCTACTTTAAAAAAGTACGAGCCAGTCACACTCTTTGTGTTGTCAAACCATGTTGGCATATAGAAATAGCCGTATATCATTGTGGCGAGTGCGCTTAGAAGTAATATCGCCGTGAAGAAGTAATCTTTGATTGTGAAGATCCATACTCTGAAAAGGGTGTATTTGTTTGCAAAGAGAGACTGGAGGTAAAAAGGGATGTTCTTTGGTTTTGTGTCGAGTTTGTGAATTGGATTAGTCACGTTGTGAATTGAGTCGCCGACAATGTAATACATCTGTCTGAATTACTCGATGGATAATGGCTTTTTATTACTGAAAACAATACTTTGAATTCTAAGCATTTTTGAATATGTCATGTATAATTTATTTATAGTTAATTTACTTTATCAGCCGAAGTAATAAAAGTATTATTATATTATTATTATTATTTATTGTTTCTAGCAAATGTTTCTGGTCATTTATAATAATTCCAGGTCTCATTTTGAGTCATTATTACTGATTTTCCAATTTTGAGTGTTTTTATGGTATAAATAGTTAATTATAATATAATTATAGTTACAATTTAGAAGGGAAAAAAACAAAATTTCTAAAAACACTTTTTTTAAATTTAATCTAACAATGTTCAAATTAAAACAAAGTTATTGTTGGACAATAAAAATCTAAATAATCGGGTTTTTTCTGAATAGCAAAAAATAAAAAAATATCGTTTCAAGTTTTTTTTTTGATAATTCCAGACAATTTATTTTAAGACTGTTTTAAGTTGAACATAAAATACGCCAAACAACGGGAGATTATAAATGAAATCTTTTTTAATTCATTAAAAAGTAGGAAGTAAAGGCCTCAAAAAAAGGGTATAAAATTTTAAATCAAATGAAATATTGAATTAATAAAAACAAATAAGAATAAAAATTTTTTATTTTTTATTCAATTTAAAAAACAAATAAATTTTTGCTATTTGATATAAGTATAGTTTAATTTTATAATAATAAACTATAATTTAAACAAAATAGTAAAAATTAGCAACGAATAATTAATTTTACTATATATAAATAATTTGTTTTTTATTTTTCTTATTGCAAACACTAAATTTGTTTTTGGAATTTAAAATAAGATTTGTCAAACATAAAAGAAAGCAAACACACCTAAAAGTTATCAAACAAATTATATAGTCGATACAACACAATACAAAAATTAAATGTTGGATTTTATGCAGTTAATTTACAACAATAAAATGAACTTTAAAACATCATCAAGTAAATGCACAAAAAAATTAAAAGGGACAAGTCATTCAATACACCTGTGAAATATGTGAAACATTTGGTGTGAAGGAGTCAATGTAAAAACCAACTGAGAACGTTTACAGGTGTAACTTGCCCGTGTTATGTACAAATTTAAGAATTTAATCCCAAATAAAGTCGTCTCGATATCTGAATTGAATTCTATGTTCGACTCGTTATTAATATGAATATTAATGATAATAAAAATAGAAACTAATAATAAATAGTTGTTTATAATGAAATATAGTTGATTTTATCGAATCGGACTTGTATCCATAAATTCTATTTATAACTTTTTGAAAAAAACTCCAAAATTTTATGATTTTGTTTTACTTGATATTCGCCGTTTTATCAACAACAAACATTTTGAAAAATCCTTCTTTTGAACAGTACACCGTCAACAATCCAGACAATTGGGACGTCAGTGGTACAGTTTCGATGTCCACTGAACATAACACAGGCACACGCTCTGTCAAGTTAATTGGGAGTTCTACAACAAATCAGATTCGACAAGCAGTACAACTTGAGGTTGGGTTTCAATATTCATTTTGTGCTTGGGTGAAAGCGTCTTCTTTTTCACATGGAATAGAGATATGTATAGAAGGGATGAAGTTAAAAAGTGATGGTACTGAAGAGTATACTGGGTGGTACTCAGAAACCCTATCGCAAACTTCAGGCTTTGAAAAATTATGTGTCTTCACGGATCCCATCAAAAGTGCTGAATACACGTATGAGGCGATATTAATATCACCAACACAAGACAGTGGTGTTGGTTATGTTGACGACGCCGAGGTCTCACTTTTTCTCAAATGGCTTCAGAAGGTCGAGGTTGTTTCATATCGACAAGAGGTGATGGATTCGGTAACAGAAATTCGTGTCATTGTAGGAACAAATATTTCTCAAAGCGCGGACTTCAGCAAGTTTTCTCTAGACGTCTATTTTGTGGAGGGGGGAGTTGAAAAACTCCAAAAGACTGTGAGTGTATCATCTAGTACAATTAATTTCACTGTGAAAAACACAATAACACAACACGGTGTTGTGACATTAAAAGTTGTTTTAAAGAACAGTATATATGATATAGAAGACACTCTTTCGACGGATTTCAAGAGAATAGCAACTATTAAACGACAAATAGAAGTCGATGAATATGGCAGAATAATGGAAAATGGAGAGCTAGTATTACCTATAGGGTTATACTACTCAACTGTTGGAAATACAGAACTTAAAGAGCTTGAGGGGATGAAAATAAACACTATTGTGCCTTATGATGGGATCAGTGTTGAGACTTTGGACGAGATGAAAACCAGATTTGGCGACACGTTGAGAGTGTTTATAGCAGTACACCTCTATTATTCATACCTTTCTAATACATGTGAACAAGGAAGAAATTTCGAAGAGGAGTATCCCAAATTGGTTGACACTATTAAGACGTATAAAGATCATTCAAATGTATTTGGATGGTATGTCAACGACGAGACGGACATCTGTGCTCTTAAAGAATTAATAAACGTCACAGAGACTATCAGAAATATGGACGTTAATCATCCATGTTATTCCGTGTTTTACCAAATGAAAAATGTTTATGAGTATTTACCATCTTTGGACTTGTTTGGAAGTGACACATACCCTGTTAATGTCACTGGAGAGAGTCTTAGAAATGTTTTTGACTTACATAAAAAGGCAATAGATAGTGTTTTTGGCACACGAGCCACTATTCCAGTGATTCAAATTATGGACTGGACGTGGTATGCAAAGAAAGACCCGGTCACTTTTAAAGATAGATTATACGCCCGACCACCCACCGAGCAAGAAGTGCGCGCAATGACTTGGATGACATTTGCTGGTGGAGCAAAGGGGGTGTTTTATTTCTCATATTATGATATCAAGAGAATGGACTACAAAACACCATTCACACAAAGTTGGGAAGAGTTGAGACATGTAGTTGCCGAGGTTGAAAAGTACAAAGACTTTATATTGGAAGTAAACTTACTTAATAACATTCAAGTTTCGAAAGAAGATGAAGTGGTATACAAGATAGCACGAGTGAAGGACAGTGACTATATTTTAGTTGTCAACATGGATGACAAAAGAACACATGGATTTAGTGTTGAATTGAGTGAACAAGAGAATTGGACGACTCTGCTCGGGAGTAGTAATGTTAAAATAGAAGGTAACAAGATAGAGATAGAAGTAGGTCCAATAGACGTTTTGTTACTTAAAGGAGAAAGAAATTTTGTTCGACCAATAGGAATACTACTCTTTTTAGTCATAACGTTTTTGGTCTGATATTAAACACACATTTTATTTCAACAAATGGACATTAATTGAGTCATTTTTTGTATTTAATCAAATTCACAGAACATATTAATATATTTTAAAGTGTGTTTATTACACATTGACTTGATTTACATTATTGTAAACACCAAAATCAGGCGTTTCCAAAATAATTATTGCCGAAAATGTGGTATTATAACGTACGAATTTATAAAAGAAAATGATCATTTTGGTTATGAAATGGTGACGTGGGTAATTAGGATTGTGATTTTGGAAACCTCTGACCAAAATAATGTTCAAGTTAATAAATTTATATTTTATTCTTTTGTTGGATTATTGTTAATGTGTATAATCTTTTCATTTACAACATAAGAAGTAAATTGAAACATTTTAATCAGTAACAAACATTGTTGGTGATGTATTGATATTGAGCAAGCTATGTGGTATTTTAATATTATTCATTTCATGGTCGACACCAATTAATTAATTGATGTCGACCATGAAAATAATATCACATAAATTACTTATGTTAAATTAATTGAGTTTAATTTTTACTTTTCATTATAAATAACATATCTTTTTAGTTTAAAAATTGAATATAATTATTTTAAATCTTCAAAATCACATTAGTATGTTGCGACAAAAAAAATATTTCAAGAAGTCGATATTGTCAGTCGTTTTTCATTATTAAATCTCAAACTTCAGTACTTTTATAACCACAAAATATTAAGTGTCTTAGAAAAAAATAAAATATATCACATCGTTTCAATTTTTTTATGTTTTTATTTAATTCCTGTTTTTACTCAAAAACAAACTATTGATTGTCCGACAAATAACATTAATTTTTATTTTAAAGATAATAAAAATAAAAATAATCATTTTAACCATTTTCGTTAAAATGGAAGTTAAATTAATGCAAAATATTGGGGCAGACCTTTCCCACCCTCACCCCGTTTACCAAAAAAAATATTTGCCGCGAGTGTTTTTTGAAGGAAGTCCATTTTTCAGCCACTGTTTGTGCGTCCCCATGTCACCCACTTTCCCTGTCCGTACTGTGTGGACGCGGATGTGGTTCCCCCCCGCTTGCGGGGGGGTCAGGGGGGGATCCGCGCCAAGGGAGGACTTGGAAAGTGGGTGAAACGGTGCACAAACAGACTGTTTGAGTGCGGCCTTCAGAGCCTTCTTTTCAATGCTCCGTCTCACTCGGTTTCCACTAACTCGAGGTGAATTTTCGGCATTTCTTGAATTCGGGAACCAGACCTAATATTATCCAAAACGCCCATTTACTATAATTATAATTATAAAATTATAAAATATAGTAAATTAATTCTATATTTAGACGGGGTGAGGGTGGGAAAGGTCTGCCCCCAAAATATTTAATATTCTAATTAATTAATTATATTTAAAAATTTTTATTTTGTATAATTAATTTGTCTAATATTATTTTTGTTTTAAAAGTTTTGTTCTGCTCTTTCCTAAGCAAAATGCCATTAAACACACCACTTTTATTTTTAACAGTAAAAATAAAGTAAATTTTACTATTTGAATGAAAGTCATAATTTGTTTTAGTAATTATTTTCGATTTGTTCTTTTGTGTTTGGCAAATTAGAATAAGAAAAATCGAATTTCAAATTGTTTTTCGATTTTTATTTATTTTAAAGACTGAAAAAAAGTTATCTAAAACTATGTTTTTTTTCAAACCAAGTTTCGTTTGAAATTAATACTGAATAATTTTTAAAACATACAATATCGTTAAGTTTATTTTATTAATATTTTATAATTCTTTTCGTTTCAAAGAACAGAGAAATTATTTTTTTATATTTTCTTACCAATACTTTCTAATAATAATTGAACTAATATGTATAATACATTTAACAATAAATATATCATTAGTTTAATCCAACTTAATAAGACGAAACGAAAAAAAAAGAAAAAAAGAATTCACAACATCGTATTCTTAAAGTCAAAACTCGGATTCTATTTTTTACACATAGGGTGCTGCACTATTTTTGGTTTTTAAGATAGGGTTTCAGTTTTGAAAAGGCTGCAATAAAGGTGCACTTCTGATTCTATGGAATGAATGAGAACTTTAAAAATGGGTCTTTTCAAAGCGGCAAAAAATCCGCTGTTCAAAGTCGACTAAGGCGTCGTTGCGAGGCTCATTTGATGCATGAGACTTGTATTCTACTTCTTATTGTGTAGTGTTTGGATATGCCAGAATTTAATAAAAATGTACAAATAACTTCAATTCTGTTCAATAAAAATAGAGGAGCTTGATATAAATAGCTTGTTCAATAAACTCCAAATTCACATACTTGGAAACAATGAGTTATACTGCCGTCGCCATCGCATCCTCTCCCATCCGTGATGAGAAGCGCACTTTTAAGAGCTTTAGAGACTATATAGTTGAACAGCAAGCCGTATTCATTGCGCTTTTAAATCAGTTTGGTGATGTTACCATCACTAGGCCGACTAAGAAATCTGTTTTAACCCAACAACGCATCCGCGTCGAAACTATAACAATAGGAAATGAGACTATAGACATCTCTTCCTTTGTTGATAAGCGGTGTGCGGCCCGATATGCTTTAGACATCTCCAACGGAATCTTAGAAAAGACCGCAATCCGAAGACAAACTGCCAATAAGATCATGGAAACACATCACATGTTGACGGACTTGTTATTTGAATATGGGTACCTCTTCGAGACTTACTTCACTTCAGGGAAGAATAACACACCAAAAATGGAACTCGTTAGAAATATCATTGAAAACAAAAACATGATATTCAATAGAGTGTCTATCATCAAAACAGGTAATCTTATTAACAGACTCCTTTGCAGTAAACTCTCAGAGTGCAGAGTCGTCACACTACAAGCTGCTGACCCAGAATTAATGGCGTTTTTAGAACGAAATCAGTCGTACTCACCAGAGTTGAACACTGTTGTATTAGCTTGATCCTTAAATAGAAAATAAATAGAATTGTTTTAATTTCTGTCTGGTTCTTTCAAAATTATGTACCATAAAAACTAAAATGCCACTTCTCATTGAAAAAGACGAAAAAAAAAAAAAGTCAATTAAATTGTCGAGATCGTTTTTTTTTGATTTTTGGGGTTTGGAAGTTTCGAGTGACATAAAAGATTCACTTTTTGTTCCCTGCCATATTTTTTAGTTCTTAGAAACGATTGTTAAAAGAAAAAATTTAAGGTTTTTAATCTATAAAAACGGGAAATTTAAAGGCAATTTTATTAATTTTTTTGACTTTACTAATTACCGAAAATACAACAGAATTTCAGGGTTTTAATTAGGGTATAGTTTTCAAAAGTGTGATAAAAAGGTGCAGTTTATTTTTATATTTTGTTGGAAATTTTTTTTGTTTATCAGAAAAACATTTATAATTTGGAATTTGTGATAAAAAATTATATTTTATAGTTTAAATATATTAACACTTTAAATAACATTGAACAAAATTCAAGTGGTCTAAAAATCGGGAAATCTCGGGTTTATTAAATAAATTTCCGTTTTTTTAGAGTTTATTTAATATGCATCAACAATACACAAGCCAAAAAAGGAAAATCATCTGAAATTGAATTAATATCCCAGAAAAACAGGCCGAAACAAAAATAAGGGTGTTATTTTAAGTGTTAAAAAATTTTTCAAAACAAATGTAACAAAATAGAGTCATTCTCTAAACTTTGTCCTTTCCTTAGAGTTGTCCTTCAGTTATTAGATATTAATAACTGGAATATATCGGGAAATTTTTCGAAACACCAGAAAAAAAATGTTTCAGTTTTTTTACCGTTTTTATGATTTATTACCTAATTCCCAATTTTTTAAAGAATTTTTTGTGTATTTTTTTGCAAAAGGGACAACTTTTGAAGAAAGGACAATGTTTAAAAATTGACTCTACTATTTTACCATTTTAATAAAATAAAAATTATTTATTTTTAATTTATAAGTTAACACCAAAAAAACAAAAAGATTTTTGAATATTAGAAACATATGAATTAGTTTTTAATTAAATAATTATTATTATTTAGAGATAATTATTTATTTATTATTAAGAATAATATAATAATAAATTACTTTGATTTTTAAAGTTGGTATATAAGGCAAACTGGACATAACTTTTGAAATGAGTCATATCAATTGCCTTTTTTTACCATTTTTTTGAATAAGAAAAAATTAGTCAAATTTCCCATTTTATTAATCTAAAATAAATTTAAATTTACCTAACAACAATTATAATTATGAATTTTATACCAAAAAAAAAATATGCCTGTTTATGTTGCAACTATAATTAATAATAAAAAAATTATAATTGAATAATAAAATCATTTTTATAAATCAAACAGATGAAGAGCAAAAGTCCTGAGTTTGTCAAAATTTTCTTATTTGTCATTATATTCCATTATAAAAATGGTACACTTCGGGACCCGATCAAAAACCTCACAAATAAAAAAACTTCCTTCAAAATAGAAAATCAAAACTCAAAAGATAGTCAATGGACACAACAAAAAGACAACAGGCAACCAAGGAAGATAGCAAACGGAATAGATTTAAAGAACACATCTGCACATTTCCTGGATGCACCGAAAACCCAAAGACCAAGTATAACGTTTGTATAGTTCTATTATAGTATTAAGTTAATTTATTAACTTATTAGGTCATCTCACATATCTGGGATGTCCACTTGCGACACACTGTTCACACAACCGACGAGAATTTGCCTTTCAAGTCTATCAAGGACAAAAAGAAAATTGAAGAGTTGTGCAAACCATACATTGGCTTCGTTGAGTCTTCCGACAGAAAAAGACGGCCTTACGACTTTGCAGATATGAAAAAGGACGACGCGTCATTTGTCCAAAACAACACAAGCGTCAACATTTACAGCGATCAAATGCAAGACACTTTCCAGTCATTTTTACCACAAGACCAATATGCTTTTACTGAACAATTGGGATCACCAAGCCACGTTTTAAACACTTCCTCTGTCTCTGGTGATACGAACGCTATTGCGGTTCAACAACACTCATTACCGACTTCTCCACAAACAATTCCAGTTCAACTCAATATCGAGTCGACACCTTTTAGCGATAAGTTGATTGCAAACAACGAGAATATCATGACTGTGTATAACATCAACGAGCAAGTGAAGCGTCTCCACGTCTTTGGAGAGGTCTTTGCTGAGAATGGATTTCTTCAACGATCGGATAGACGATTTAAAACAAATATCAAACCAATTAGGAATGCACTACAAACCATTGACAAGTTGTTTGGCGTTTCTTTCAATTATTTGAATGACAAGAAATCAACACATTTTGGGTTCATTGCTCAAGAAGTGAGAGAAGTCATTCCAGAAGCAGTCATCGAGACGGAAGATGGCACTCTCTCCATTGAACCACTGGCATTCATTCCTTTTGTCATTGAGTCAATCAAAATACTCAAACGCGAGTTAAACAATATTCAAACGCAGACTACTGAAGTGGTGGTTCTTAGCAAAACAGTGACGAAGTTGTCTACAAGTTTAGTCGAGCTTGACAAAGGTATGAAAGAGGCTGATAAGTACTCTCTCGGCCCTTTTTGGTATACCTTTGGTCTTGCTGTGATGTGTGGAGTACTCTCCATACCTGTCGCGATACATGGAAACTTCCCCTACATCTTTTTCTATCTACTTATTATCGGAATACTCCATGGAGTGTCTGCTAAAGAATTCCCATGTGGTACTTGGAACGACTTTTCGATGAAGTCTTCCATAGTGTTACTTGGTCTTGGACTGATCTGTTTGGTATTAACGTTCCTCGAAGGGTCGTTCCAACAAATTTTCTTGTTGGTCTTTTCTGTTGTGACGGTCTCCCTCTTGTTTTTCTTACGTTCAACACAGACACTTGCGTCTGCTTTTTCTGTTGTCTTTCCTATTTTCTGTGTCTTAAGTGTTGGTCTTCTCCAATATCAGAACTCCGTCCTATCGCACAACACAAACGTCTTAAACATCGAGCAACTCGCTTACCAAATTCAACAATATGTCCAACCAAAGTTGCTCTTACCCGAGCAAAGTTCGGACGATTCGTCCTCGTCTTCCTCATCTGGGTTTTACCTCTCATCGGAAGAAACAATCAACGACGAGACTTTAGGAATATGTGAGGATCCAGACAAAGCCGACCCAATCCCTGAATGGCTTCAAAAATGTCAAATTGATGACCGACTTGGCAAATTAGAGATCCCAAAGACTGTAGAAACAAAGAGTGAGTTATAGACTTGATAAGTGATGTTTATTGTGTTTAATTGTTGATTTAGTTATAAGTAAGGACGTAACGAAGAACATTAAACAGTGGGTTATAAAGTGTCTTTCAAGTAATTTTTCTTTTGATTGAGAACTCCCGCTTTATACTCTTTCATGTTTGTAACAAATGCTTGATTAGCAGGGTGTTGTGCTGGAGACTCTTTGTTTGGGTTATCGAGTAAGTCTTGGATCCCAACTAAAATCTACTTGTTAATGTTTTGAATGTATTAAGAAGAGATGAACAAAACTTGTTTGATAGAGATCGTTGGCTTCCAGTCATACGATTCATTCAATATACTCAGACATATCTGCCCATTGGGAAAGACATTGGGATGGAAAAACCCTTCGGGTAAATAACAACGAGGAGGTGCCGCAGGGTACTCCGGTGAAAAATTCATTTTGACTGGGTAATACCCACCCTCCCATATCGTCTAATTGTGAAATCTAAGTTGTGTCGTTGGGCGTTAGAAAACAAACATCCTTTGCACCAGGAACAAGGCACTCCCATCGAAATAAGTCGGGTTTGCCACCTTCACGTACAGGCCGAGCAATAAATCCAGGTGGGTGGTCTTTTCTCCACGCACGTTGCTCTTCGACTATCCGACTCACTGCTGTCATTTGACTCATTTGATTATACTAGTTCTTATCGTATTTTTTGTTATATATATACTATCAAATATAATTTATTGTATAATACAATATTAATAGAATAGTAATATTATATTAATAGAATAATATTGTAGTTAATTACTTCAAAATAAAAATTATCTCTTACTAATAAATTATAATTAATAGTAAATTATAATAGTTATGATATCAGTGTTTTTTTTCTTTACGATTTTTGGAAAAAATAATAGGGTGAGAAAAAGAGAGAAAAAAAAGAACTCAAATAAAATTTTTCAATCTTTAAATTCAATCGCAAAACCTCAAACTCAAAAATTAAAAAGGAACATATTCATTTTGTGTGAACGATGGTCTTGTGTAGAAATACGCTATAAGAAGTAAAAAAGCAGCAACAACAGTAATGACAATCACTGTCGTTAAAAATTTGACGTTTCCATTGGTATTCACTTTTTGTGCAATCAAGATTTCGTTCTTATCGACATAGGGGGCTCTTATCTTTGTTCTCCACGTCTTATAATCCATATTTGTTGCAATGTGTAATTCGTCATCCACCTTTTTTCCAATTTCCTTCTCCACGAAATTGAGTTTTGCCTTTCCAAACGTTTCGCTCTGTGTTTCAGAGAGTGCAACGACGATAGAATGTCCCAATTTGTTTGTTGGTGTGTATCTATATATCTTCCCATTCACACATTTCTTCTCCGTCAATTTAAGACATTTCATATGACAGTCTTCCATCACACTTAAGGTAGTTTGAATAGGTGACCCACATGTCGATATAATAATTTCGTGGTTTGGGTGGACAGTTACTCCGAAGAATGCAGTGCTGACTTCTTCCTGTATATCCACACATGGATTTTTTAACAATGGAAATTGCGCAAATGGTATTGAGAATATTGTATAAGGGATATAAGGGATATGCATCGCCATCTGACACGCCTCGTCTACACTCTTCTTAGTGCTTTTCTGGAAATGGATTTCATACCTTTCTGCCTCTGTTTCGACAAATATATACGTCTTCATGTAGTCGTGTGATGGTGTAAATAGAATGAGGGACCCAACACCACTGCGACATTGCCGAGTCACCGCATTAATTTCATGTCCTTCACAATCCTCGTATATTCTGATCGAAGTCGGCTTATTCAATTTTCGACCACAAGTATCGATGATATATCTCTCTCCACTTTTCATCACCCCAACTCGATGCCAATTCCCTCGTTTTCGCATTCCATTGATCACATCAAACGTTTTCACCGTGACCATTTGAGTTAATGGAAATATCACTTCATCCGCTTTTTGGCACAAGCTTTCCTCCTCTGAAATTGTTTTAAATTGCAAGAACAAATGACTCTGCACGTCGACATTATTCAAAAACTCGTACGTCGCCAAATAAGCATTTCCATTGAGTGGGACAGTGAACGTCAGATTCATTGTTTTTTGCTCGCTTTCCGTTTGTGCAACACAATAAAATGAAAGTGGTGATGTTGGACATTGCGACGACACTCTCAACGAAGTTCGGTGAATTACATAAAACTTTTTCGCTGATAAATTCGACGAGGCGGACAGGGAAATAGTAATCGGTTTGTTCACCCCATTTTTAATTTGGTACCACGTCACTACCTTCTTCGATGAATCGCCACATCCAGGAAACGAATCAATCAACTGTTGTTGGTTCGGTTGTTGTACAAAACTATATCGTGTGTCCTCTGCTGAGAATTCCAATACTATTGGATTATAGCATGTATTAGACAATACCAAAGTTATAACACAAAATAAATACAACATACTTTTTTGAGTTCTTTCGCTTGGGTGTCTAATTATAGTTATTTTTATTATCTATTTACTATAATGTCATATAGTTTTATTATAGTTAAATATAATTAAACTATAACGGAAATGAAATGGTCAACCATGTGAAATCGTGGAACTATAGAGTCCGTTAAAACAAGACTAGGAATCCACATAAAATCAGATTAAACTAATGACACACTCTTTTGAATGGAACAAATGAGACGCTATTTCTATTGGTAGGTCATTGACATTAAACATTGTTGGTGAGCAAATTGGCCTTGTTGGTCCATTACACAATCTTTGAAATATATTTGTCCATCTTGTGTAGTGAACACGGTGAGTGGTCTCCCGCAGATTGAGCAACAGTAAGTCTGATAAGTGTTTTGTTGTTGTTGTGATTTTTGTTGTCGAAATGCGTCCCACGAATTCTGTTGTTGTGATTGGAGTCCACCGCAAGCGGATAAGACTTGGTGATATTTCATATGTCTTTCCATATCGACAAATTTGCACCCACAAATCGGACACATCTTTCCAATTGCTTGCTCGCTTTTTCCTTTCTGACTTTTCCTTTGTTCTCTTTGTGTTTGATACGTAGGTGTAGTAGTTTGGCTTTTGAATGAGTAAATTGGGATATTAGTTGGTTGAGAAGCTTGTGTTTCAATAGGGATAGATATTGAATTTGCCTCTGACTCCATCAAATTCTCATTATCGATATATTCTGGGTCTGTCGATGGTGGCAGACTCTTTTCTTCGTCTTTGGTTTCGATGTTTCCGAAGGTCACATTAGTGTTACCCATATCACTCGAATACCTTTGAGTGTTTTGTTTCATTGGTTGTTGATATCTAGTGACTGGTGTAAACGATGGGTTTGAGATATTGACATTGTGTTGTGTGGACACGTTAATTGGGATACTTTGTTGAGACTCGTAAGAGACGGGTATAACCGTGGGTTGCATTGTTTTATTGTAACTTCCGGAGTTATTAATAGAGAAAGCTGCGCTCCCTCTATACCCCTGAGATATCATCGTCATACCCATACGTATTTGATTTAATGTCTCTAATGGAAATACTCCAGACCATGTTAAAAAGAGTTGCCATAGCGCATTTCTAACTGTTTCATTAGCGTCGGAGTATATCGTAAGAAATACATTTGATATAAAGGGAGTGAGGCACTGCATATAGATTCGAGTGACATCAAGTTTAACAATCATGTCGATAACATAAAGAACTAAAAGTCTCTTGTCGGGTTGAGTCGCTTCAGCAAGTTCACTCGATATGATTTCAACATATAAATCAGCGTGCGCAACATTGGCGACGGCTAGTTGGGCAATTGATGTGATGATACCCTGGTCATTGGATAAGACTGATAAAATTTTCTTAAATTGGTACAAGGCAACTTCGTCGCTCGGGAGGGGAAGTGGCGCGTTTGGGTCCATCTCTTACAAGAAGTTTCTTTTTAACTGAGGTGACCAGATACTATAGAAACAGTTAATAAATAAATTTACTATAAATATATAGTATATTAATGACAATAAGAAAGTGTTAGGAAAAACTGTAGTTGAGGTTTTATAAACTAGAAGTTAAACTAAACCACAATTTGTAATGATCAAACATTATTGGTTGTTTTTTTGATAGTTATTTGTTATTTCACTCCATAACTATTACCATTTAACTAAAAATGCATATTTATTGCCAATTTGTATTAATTGTCACCAAAAACATTTTATATTTTGATGCGTACTAAATATTTTCTTTATTTTATTATTGGTATGTTTTATATTTTTCAGTTTAGGAATAAATTCTTATTTAGTTTAAATTGAGCTATTTAGTTATTATAACAAAAAAATATAATTTGTTATTTATATTTTTATATTAAAAAAATATTATTATTTATTATAAAATATAGGTATCTAAAAATATAATAATAATGATTTATAAAATTATTTGTTTAAATAAAAATAAAAATTGTTTGTGAAAGAAATATATTATAATTATATCTAATTTTTTAATAAAAATTAATAAAAATTAATAAAATAATAATTATGGTTTTAAATAATAATAAATACAAGCACTTTTTAACTGAATTATATTTATTATTTGTTATATAGTTTAAACGAAAAAATAACTAAAATCTTGAGATTGACAAGCCAAAACGAATGGAAAGTAGATATAAGCGGTGAAAACATGTGGAAATTCAATATGGAAAGCAGCATCCCACGCGCCTCCTTGAAGATGGATAGTAAGCCGTTCACTCCAAAGAACAAACCAAAAAAGTCTTTAAGACCTGTTGCCTCAGCCGAAACAATAGAGGCGTTTGTGAAGACTGAAGTACACCTGACTCCTGTCAAGCTCATATATTCCCAAAACTATTTGTCTCTCTTCAAAGACGTTTGTTTTTAAATTGTTGAATTTTTTGTTCTTACACTTAGAAGAATAAAAACCTCCCAGAGGGCATCAAGTCGGGCACTTTTTCGGGTATTTTCAAAGTGTGTGTTACACCCCAAGAAGATTGTAAAAAGAATATGGAGAGACGCTTACCAAGTGAATTGTATGTTCCGCGGACAAGCCACTCGCCAGAAATTGTTGATGAGGACAAAAGAGAGAAGGCAAGAGACAAACAAATCTCATTTGGGAAGATGACAACTGAGTATGTTAACTACATCAACATTATCCCAAAGAACAAAAGAAGAATCACAGACCCGGAGACCCCAAATGTTGGGATGAAAGCGTCGAAAAGAAGATGGGATCAAGTTGTCAGAAGGTGGAGAAGAGCGCTGCATGCGTTTGATGATGTACACGAGGAGAACCAGGTGGAGTTGGCCAGGGCGCTTGCTATGCGTCTTGAGAATGAACACGATCCAAAAAGGACGGCCTACCTATTTAGAGATTCTACCAACTTGGTCAGAGACGAGTGATTTTCATGGAATAAGAATATAATTGAAAGATTTTTTGGTTGATTCGTGGATTATACTTAGTGGCAACTTTGTAATACAATTCAAAACAAATAACAACAGAGTCATTTCAAAAAGGGGATTCCAATGATCGTTCTTTTTTTGTATTCTGTGTACTTCTCGCCAAACATTTGTGTTAAGTAACTCTCTTCGATTGGTATTCTGTCATAGAAAAAGTACCATGCGGCGAGTGCGTAGAGTACCGTAGAAACTGGATTAAGCATTACAATTTGCGTCGCAATGCTCCACCAAAACCACCCAAAATATGACGGATGTCTAAGGTAAGTATATAACCCATCTGTGACCAATATGTGTTCAACCCTTTGTTCAGTCTCAATGTAGTGATTGAAGTTACTCCCAGCGTAGTACATTGCGCCACTTCTAAAGTATTGGAACACGATTGCAATTACAGTGAAAAATATTGAAACAAAGATATGACTCTTTAAATCAGGGAATAATCGCACCTCAATGAAGTACTCAACCACAGAGACTGCGAACGCGATCATAAAGGGTGGTGAGTGAAACAACATGAAGTCATGGAGTGATGATTGGTAAGGACGAGGATATACAGAAGACGTGAACTCGAGTATGTGATACACAAACAACAAACACATGAAGATGTGGAATGGTTTGTATATGTTATCTGCTGTAAAAATAAGTGAAAAGTTCAGACCAAGGATCAATCCAACTAGCACCCCAGTTAACACTAATAAATCAAGGCGACGCGCTCTTAGTGAGTTAAAATATTTTCACATCATACAACAACAAACTCCAAGGACCATTTAACTTGTCCAACATGCGTCTTTTTGATTATTTAATTCATTTTTCTATTATAGTGTGTTGAAACATTGTTTACATTTTATTAACACTTTAAAGCACTATTATACAAATAGTAGTATTTTTTAAACTATATATTAATTATATTAAATTATATATTTATATAATCAAACTTACATAAAAATATGGTTTTTTATAATATTATTTTACTATTTGATAAAAATACAAAATACCTAATTATAGTAAACTATATAAAAACTATATAAAATTATATATATTATAATAAATTCTGACAAAACACATAAGTTATATAAGTAATAATAAAACTATTACAAAAAGACTAAAAAAAAGAAAAAATAATTAAAGAAGAAATATATAGTAAAAAAATAGTAAAATAACCACAAAAAATGGGTAGGGTTTTTGAAAATATAAAACCGAGATGGACCAGAACTTGATTGACAATGGCCGATACAAAGAAGGACGTCAAAGCTCCAGTTACCCCAATTGTCATTAAGACTATTACCATGACCATCACCTCGACTAAGGTCAAGGCAGTTGAAAAGTTGAGTGCCGATATCAAAGCAAACGGAAAGAAGAAGGGCGTCGCAGTCAAAGGCCCAGTCAGAATCCCAACTAAGACCCTTAGAATCACAACAAGAAGAACTCCATGCGGTGAAGGTTCTAAGACTTGGGACCACTATCAAATGAGAATTTACAAGAGAGTCATGAGCATGAGAACATCTCCAGAATACGTCAAGGAAATCGTTTGTTGTTATATATAACATTTGTTAATTAAAGATAATAAGTCACTCACTCATAGACCGCTTTGAAAATCGAACCAGGAGTTGAACTCGAAGTCTCTATGTCGGATTAAACCATTGGTCTCTTGTTATTCGTTTTAAACAATTAATAAGGGTTATTTTGGTTCATCACATTTTACTATACTTTGTAGTTTTTCTAACTACCCATTTTATTTTTCAAATGTTGTAATTATTGGAAGTAATTTATTATTAAAGAAAACTATAATTATCGAATGAATCAAACCACATGTTTTTTCTATAAAAAATACAAAAAAATCTGAATAACAAAAGTAGAGAAAAAGTGAGAGTCAAGATTGTCGACCAAATCTTTGTTTTCAATTGAGACTTTTCTTTAGTTACAAAACTAAAAATTCAATAAAAAACAATTATTTTTATAATCGACACACGTCATTTTCTTTTTACCCCAAAAACGCACAAAAAAAAGAAAATGAAAAAAAATGAAAAATTTGCCGACATCCTAATTTTTCAATTTTAATAAAAAAACAAAAATTTGAAATTTTGTTTTTTCGGGGCTCATTTCAAGAACACAGCTAATCTTAAAACAAAAGTCCATGTCGACTTCAGATTGCTTAATCAACACATTCCTCCGAAGAAAACACCCCCTCCACCTCCTAAGAAACCTTTACCATTAGCTCCAACTAAAATTCCACCCCCTCCTCTTAAACTTCCTCCACAACGATTAAAACTTGACGTTCAAAAGATCAAGCAAAATGTACCACCACCTAATGAACAAGTAGTTCAAACTAACGAAGTAACTAAGACTATTTTACCTTGTCCAAATCGCCAAAGTTCATTGCAAAATTTACACACAGAACAAATGGAAAGTTCAACACCACTCTCTCCAAAGGTAGGAGACCCATCCCCTTTGTCCTCGTCAAAACAAGACAAAAGGCAGAAAAGAAAGAAAAGTTTGATGTCATTTTCGACTACACACTTGTCTACGTTAAAAGAAAAAAGCGCTAAGAAAGAGACGGAAACGCCAGAGATCTCCTCCCTTAACGTAGAGAAACACAACAAAACACCAAAGACAGAGAGAAATTCATTTGTCAGAAAATTTTTCAAAATGCCAAAGAAATCACAGAACGTCGATACTTTGGATATCTCAGAACCAATAGGCTTCAAAAATGTGATCTCCGCTCAATCGGCATCAAGCGAAAACCTCCTTTCAAAGTTCGACTCGAACGGGGAGCTCCCACAAATTCCACTGCCACGTCCCTTGTCTCTTTTAAACAAAAAGGAAGTCACAAGCGCACAAGAGTACTTCTCGCTCGTCGAAGAAATGAAATCAAAAACACTGAACTTCGACGACTGGAGTTCACCGGTCGTCCCAAAAGAGACTTGGTACACTCAACATGAAACACTCCCACTGGGATGGGAAAAGAATTCATTGGTGTTGCCTGAAGTACTTTCGAATGGATTTTGTATAGAAGCCGGAAGTGGATTTACTTCGCTTAAGACTGGACTGAAGGAGTATTATATTGTGAATATCACAGCCGACTTTAAGTTCTTCAATCGCTTTATTAAAGGAAATCGTTTGTTTCTTAATACTTAATAGTTAACAAATTTAATCTATTAAAAAACTATTTCTTATAATAAATTACTGAACTAATAGCCCTCTCAATACACTTCATTCTGAAAGACGAGCCAGTCGTATTTAGTGTGATACCAGGCCAATGCGATGGGTTTAGAAGAGGTATGATAATATCAAAACGAGGAATCATCCGATGTCTCATTCCTGAAGAAGTCAATTCACTGAAACAATTCCACGAAGCCTTTCCAGACAACACTAAAAGTTCAAACATTCTTCGAGTCAGCGACAAACCAACTTTCGAAACGGAAATCGCCAAATTTGAGGACATGATGTCTGTCTGTTCGTACAAATTTGGTGTCTTATATTGTCAATCCAACCAAAGTAATGAAGATGAGATGTTCCGTAACACCGAGGGATGTCCTGCTTATGAAAAGTTTTTAGGCCTTTTAGCACAGAAAATTGAATTGAAAGGGTTTCCCAAATTCAAAGGAGGGTTAGATGTGAATAACGGAGAAACCGGGACATACAGCTACTTTACTGAATTTCTGTGTTATCAAATAATGTTCCATGTGTCTACCTTACTTCCGGATGTTAAAAGTGACGAGCAGCGTGTTGACAAAAAGCGCCATTTAGGCAATGATGTTGTGGTTCTAGTATTTAAAGAGAAGGGGGAAACTACAGAGTACTTCGACCCAAGGTGCTTCACGTCACACTTCACTCGTTTGTTAGTAATGAATTACATAACTCCAATGTCTCTTATTGAAGACATACTCACAATTAGACGTCTTTGTCGTTGTAACACCAGACGTTAATGACGAGAGTAACAATGGATACACAATCACCGTGGTTTGTAAAAGCAGTGTGAGTCCATTCCCTCCTTTTATGAAGTCTTCACACTTCGAACATAACGAAGAAACTCGAAATTTCTTATTAAGAAAATTGATCAATGGAGGGAGGATGGCGGAGATGGCTCCTTCGTTCGAAACAAGTATGGCAAAAGGAAGAAACGATCAGTTGAAGATGCTTCTTAGGGAGGTCAAATGATTTATATCTATGTGTATGTATCAAATTGAACACTTTGTATGTTTCAGGACATTTTCTATATTTCTTTATTATTTTATTATAATAAAAAACTATTCATAAATGAAACAAAAAGTTTAATAATTATAGTTTTTTTCTTATTATTTATACCATTTAAAACATTTTAATAACATTTTAATAATTAAAAAAAAAGTGAAGATTTTTTGTAAATTTTATTTATATTGAAATAATTGATTTATTTTTTAGATTATTTGTATTTATTATAAATAAATATTTTTAATTATAACATTAAACTATTTAAAACCTCAAAAAAAAGACTAAGAAAAGAGATGTCACTTTCTGTTGAAACACCACTCAACTTCCTTGACTGTGCGAAAGCATGGGAACAACTTACAAAAGAAGAGAAAGAGTATGTGTACCATTTGAATAAAGGGAATTGGGCGACTTTTCTGATATCTGTCAAACAATGCTCTGTCGAGGCTTTTGACATCTTTGTTGCATTTCTAAAGATGTATCGTACAATGAATCACACTGAATTACTTCAAGCTAGTAAGTCATCTGAAAATGCGAAAAAGGGATACTCTGACTATGTTGCTTCATTCTTTGCTAATGGTGGTAATTACTTGTCGTTTGGTGACAAGAAGTTCATACCTTCGTGCACTCCAGAAGAGTTTCTCGAGATCACCAAGTGCTCTGGACTCAATTTGTTTGAGCATTTGGTCGACATCATATACAACACTTCTAAGGAACTTTTACATTATGGTATTCCACCAGAAGGGTGCACGACATATTATTCACCAAATATGACTAAAGAGGAAATAGAGCACTTGAACACTCTTTTACTCAAGAAAGGATTGTTATTAGAGAACACACGAATCGACAAAATCGATGACAAGATCATTGTTTCGATTGCATCAACTGAAGAGAGGAGTGAAGAGTATGAAAACATCACATTACGTTATGGTCATTATAAAGAAGAGTTAAAAGAATTGGTGAATGAACTCAAAGCTTGTTTGAGTCTTCCACTTGTCCAGAACAATTCAACGAAGAAGAACATGTTTGAGGAATATATCAAATCATTCAGTGGAGACTATACCAAACATAAGGAAGCACAAAGGTGGTGGGTCAGAGATCAAAAACCAAGTGTAGAATTCAACGTAGGGTTCATTGAAACGTATGAAGATCCAATTGGTACAAGAGGTGAATGGGAGATGTTTGTTGCTGTGGTTGACAAACTGAAAACACAAGAGTTGACTGAATTAGTCAAACGTGCGGGTGAAATATTACCGACTTTTCCATGGCCAAAGGAATTTGAAAAGTCGGTGTTTGAGTCGCCAGACTTCACATCGATTGATATCATAGGGTTTGGCACGTCAGGCCTTCCTATTGGTATCAATTTACCAAATTACGACGATGTTCGTATGGAACAATTTAAGAACGTTTCACTGTCGAATGTAATGTCTGCGAGAAATGCGGATGAAGTCATTCAATTCATTACACCAGAGCAACAGGAGTTTTACAAGAAATATTCCCCAAGAGCTTTGGAGACACAAGTCGCCCTCCACGAGTTACTTGGACATGGGAGTGGAAGATACTTGAGATGTGATAAAGGCGTTAAGAACTTCCCAGAAGACTTATTAAACCCAATAACTCACGAGAAGGTAAAGTATTACATTGATGAACAAAAGTATGACTCTGTCTTTGGTGGTCTCGGGAGTTCACTTGAAGAGTGTCGCGCAGAGACTGCCGGACTTTATTTGACATACGACAAGACTGTCGGTGAAATATTGAAACTTAGTGATGACGAGAAATACGCGAATTGGTTGTCTGAGATGAGAAGTGGTATTGTAGGGATGAAGTTCTATAACCCCGAGACAAAGAAATGGGGACAAGCGCATTGTCAAGCCCGTTTTGCTCTTTATAAAACAGTAGAGAAGAGTGGGGCTGTTAAATTTGAAGATGGCAATGTCGTATTAGACAGAAACATGATAGGAAAGGGTATCGAAGAACTCAAGAAGCTTCTTTTGAACATTCAAGTTGCTCGTGCTACCGGTGATTTGAAATTTGCACAAGACTTTTTCATTCCATTGAGCACACCAAATGAAGAAGACTTGAAAATACGACAAATTGTTATTGATAGAAACATACCAAGAAGTGGATTAGTTCAATGCAATATTATAAAAGAAGGTGAAGAGTATAAGATGAAGACATATGAACCCAATGTAGAAGGGATGATCCAGTCCTATCTTGATCGATTCAATTACTAATTATGGATTCTTTAAATTTATTTAATTATTAATAAAATATTAATATAATTATAACAACTCAATAACAATAATAGTAAGAATAATGTTCTTAATATACCATCTAAATGACGTGTGGACACACATATCCACAACGCTTCATTTCCTTTTTTCTCTGATAAAATGGTATAAATATAATTTAAATATAGTAAAATATAATAATATAAAAATAAATGGCAACGGTATGACATTCCACATCATCAATTTCAAAATCTTATTACTCTTTTGTTGAATTCAACAACTGGAAAAAAGAGATGTCAACACTACGCGGTTGTCCTAACTTATCAACACTATGCTCATCAAGAAGATCAGACATCGACAACATTCGAAGAGAAAGAAGACTACAATTGCAACAACCTCGTGTGATCGAAAACATATACGAAACCCTAGAACGCTCGATCATTCAAAGCACAACACTGGAAGACACTTTAAACGTCCTCAAAAACAGTTCGGACGTCATAAGAAGTGCTATTCGCGATTTGAATAATACAGATACAGAGACCCAACACACGTCGTTGAGACTCTTTCAGACGATCGCCAATTTGCAAAACAATGACGCACTTAATGTGATTATGAGTGCGTTCCCATTTGTGACATTTCTTGTGCGTTCCAATGATATTCAAAATTCAATTTTGTCGTCTCGAATTATTTCGACAATATGTCAAACGGCGCCGGTGTTGAAACGCAACTTCCTTAATTTGGGAGTGTTGGAAGATTTGATGAGACAATGCGAAGTCCAAATGAGTAATATTATGGCAAGCACAGTGTATATACAAACACTTTCAGTGTTTATGCAAGACGATTTGGGCGTTGTCGGCACGGTACTCAATTCAGTGTTACCTAGACTCTTGATGGAACAACTCGCGAAGACTAATAACACACAATTCATCAGCTCAACACTTCTGTTTTTCTCATTCTTGTCATCGAATGCACTATTCGCGCAAGCTTGTTTACAGACGCCTTCATTCATCCAATTTCTCGCAGTGATGTTGACCACCTCCGCTTCTGTAAATATCATCTCCCCGACACTCACGATCGTCGGTAACTTCTTCACAATTAGCACTCACTCACAATTGACACCTCTATTGACACCACTCGTCATCGACTCACTCATTCGTCTTCTTCAAAGTGGCTTGGGACTAGAAGTTGACATCATTTGGGTATTAGGAAACTTGGTGTCAGTCACAGACTTTAGTGTTGTATCGCGCCTAGTTAGTTGTGGGTGCATTCCACTGTTATTTAAGACACTTGAGAACAGCGAGAACAAAAATGAAGATGTTGTGATTTCTGTATTAGTTGCGTTGTCGAATATCATGATGTGCGAATATGAGAAGAAGCGTCCGTTTGTGCAGTGTTGTGTTGAACTTGGTATCATCGACTATATCTTCGACTTCTTGAAAGTGATGAAATCGGACAGATTTGTTGAAGTGGCTTGTGATATACTGAACTTCTTGAATGACAACGTCAGTGACTTTCCACTTAGAGTGCAGAACATTGGAGGAATTGATGTTCTTAAAGATTTGTCATACATCTACTCTGTGTCTGTGATCATCAAGAAACTAAATTGGGTACTGTATCAGTAATATCTTAGGCATTTTACTATAGATTGAGGATTGTTTTCTTTAAGATTTTTGGTTTAAGCGAATAAAAAGAAGCAAGACGATCAATTCAAAAGATCTATTTTTAATGCGAGTTTGCGAGCTTTTGATAAACAGTTTGTCTGTTCCAGTAACGAAGAGTCGTTAAACATTTGATAGAAAGATGATATACAAGGCAATGAGGTTGCATTAGATATGTAAGTAAACAACTTCATTGCTTTGGTGTTTTCTGTTGAAAGAACCTTTAGACAAACCTTTTTAGCATATGTGTAATACGCGTTTTCAAAAAGGTATTCGGCGTATTGGTACAAGAAACTAACAGTCTCTTCTATTGATAATTCATCGACCACCTTTTCATTTGTTTTGTATGTGATGGTTGGGTATAACACTTTATAGCCCCTCAATGGATATCCACACCTGAAACAATACTTTGCTAATTTCGTTTGAACATAACAATCTGTAGGATCTTGCTCTAATAATAATTTGTATGTGTTTAATACTTCTTTATAGTTCTTTTCTAGTTTTAATAGCTTGGCTTTGACAAAGAGAATATCAACGTTTTGGTCAGCATCATCTGTTTTAAGGTCGACTAATATTTTGGAAGCTTCAATTAAGTTGTTTTGAGAAAGGAAAACTCTTGCATTTAGTAGATTCAAATAAAGTAAATCAGAGTTTTGTAACTCGTTTTGTAACTCGTATAAAACAATATTCAATGTGGTTTTCTTTTGTTCAAATTCAAAAGAAGGCGCTTTGAAAACATGAGAGAGCAATTTGTCCACTATGAACACTTTCCTTTCTATTAATGCAAAAACACTTTCTTTGAGTTTTTCTTTGAACAACTTGTTATTTGGAAGTGTCATCATAACAGCCACTGTTGCCGTGTCTGTTGGGCGATTAGAAAATTCTGAACAAAACGAAACAAAATCGTTAACACTTTTACACAAATTTGAAGATTTTAAATAATAAGAAAGGCGATTAGGACATTTTATAATGAGTGTTCTATATATTGCAAGTGCACTTTCAAAATTATTCGTCTTTTCATACACTTCAGCTTTGAATTCCAAAAGTTCAACTTTATTGAAGATTTCAAAATCGTTTTGTTCCAACGTCATTAATGCCTCTTCGTATTGTTGATTGAAATAATATCGTTTGGCTAAAAATAATAAAATGTCCGACTTTTCAAATAACTTTTCTGGTGTAATAGTTTTTATATAAAGGTGAAGTAAATTAATTGCTCTGTTATAGTTCTTTTCTAAACTTGCAGCAACTGCATTAACAAAAAAGAAAGCTTCTGTACTGACTATATTAGAGTCCAATAAATTCACCAAGTTCAATGCTTCGCTATATTTTTTCGTTTTGAGGTAATTAAGAAATAGTCTGTAAGTTATTGTGCCATTACAATATCCCTCTGGTAAATTACTAATTCTTTTATAATATGTTATTGCCTCCTCAACCCTTCCCTCTTCTTCTAAAATGTTGGCACAAAACACACAACAGTAAAAATTGTTGGGATTCTTTCGAGCAATTTCTTTGAGGGATTCTATCGTTTTGTCAACTTCAGTTCTTGTTTTGTTGGCAAAGTACTTTGAGTTTAATAAACAGCTCAGCGTTTCGGGGTTTTCTGGGTTAAGCAACAATATTTCTTCACATAACGAAATCGCGTCTACATAGTCGAAATTTTCGTTTTTGCCAATTGCCTCTATCAAACTCAAGTGGTCTTCGTCTGGGAGAGAAGTCGTTTTGTTGTTTTTATATGACATCGAATGTTTAAAATATTGGAGTTGCGTTTTTGAAGTTGGACTCACAAAAAAGTCGGAGTGGTATCTTTTACAAACTTCACACAATAAGTTTAGTGATTTGGTTGAAATACTTCATCTACTCGTTGAGGTATTTCTTTTTTTAATTGATTATTTCAAAGAATGTAATTAACATTTTTTTATTTTAACGTTTAATTATAAATGCATTATTTTTTTAAACTATAAAATCGTTCGTTAATTAAAAAAAACAAAAAATAATATAGAAAAAAAATAAAAAATAACTCGTTAAATAATAATTCAATTATAATAAATTGACGTTAAATAATGAACCTCTTTTTTTCCAAAAAGACAAAAAACAATTTATGAAAAAGACAAGGATCAAAAAGATAAAAAACTCGAAAAACACGAATTTCATCAAATGCCAAAACACCACAAAACGACAACAGACGAAAGTGATGAGATTGAAGATGTCGAAACGTCGTCTCATGTTGTCAAGACCAAAGTGTTAACAATGAGTCGAATGCAGTCGATATTAACAAAAGTTCAAGCGTTATCACATTACTCACATTATATAACGGAATTAACTGAAGATTATAATACCAACAAAGACAAATTTGACACCGTTTATAAAGGGGTGGTAGGACAACTTTTAAAACTCAAATTAAAGTCAAAACCGGTGTTAAAGGTACTCAACTTTCTAGTTGAATTGGCCGTTGCTCCCGACTCCCCTCTCACCGAGTACACTTTGAAACTTCATTCACAATTAACTGCAGCCGCTGATGTCATTGTTCGACAGCGATCCATTTATATTGTCATGCGCGTCTTAAACTCGTTGCCCGACAACTTCACGTTACCCGAAGATTTACACGACGAAGTCCAACAGCAACTCGTCGAACGACTCAAAGACAAGTCCGCGGACGTTCGAGTGTACTCCGCACTGTCACTGAAAAGGTTCCACACAAGACAACTGGCGGAGTCTTTGTCGGACCCAAGAGCACAAGTAGTGGTCGCCGCACTACAGTCGATTGCGATTGATGAGACTACCATAGTCCCTATTATTAGACTAACTGGCGATATGAGAAACACTGTCAGGGAATACGCGTTTAAAACAGTTCAAAATATCCCGATTAGTAGTATCACAATCACTTCGTTGTGTTATATATTACTCCACGGGTTGTGCGAGGACAACACTAAGTGTAAGTCGGCGTTCGAGGAACTTGTCGTGTTTTGGGTGAAACAACTGGGGTATGAAGAGTTCTTAGTCAAAATATCGGAGGCTACGATCCCCGCGTTACCTCCAGGGGAAGCTGACAATCGGTCGGATTTCGAAAGGTATAGCTCTATGATATTAAATTGTGTTGATTTAGTTTCTCGATTGTGTGAGGGGGTTGCTGGTGTTGAATTAAGTGGGAGTGACAGTGAAGTGATAGTGAGAAGTGCTGTACTGATTCAAGCGTATAACAAAGATCCGACCATCGAAATGCCCGACTCGAAAGTAATAATCAAAGCGTTTGAGAATAGAGGGGAGCTCTGTTTATATTTTCTTTTGGAACTTTTGGACTGCGTGAATTGCGAAACGTTCAATGTGTTGGAAGTTGTGAGAAACAAAAGGAAGGAGGTAGTCGAAGTGGGTTGTCGAGTGTTGGTACGTATTGATGAGTCTGATCACTTCGGTCAAATATGTGATGAACTCAAGTTGATAGAGGAAGACGCGCAGAACGTGTTATTACACAGCTACTACATCATTTGTATCGAAAAGAATTACATCTTACCAGAACAATTTCTTGATTATCATGTTGCGAAATACATGAAGCTTCTTGGGAGTAGTGAAGAAAGTGAGAGAGTGGAGACCATGGAATTCATTGGATTGACTGCTTTAGTGAATGTGGAGGATGGGCAGAAATATGAGACGATCTTTAGGGCTGGGTTGACCAAAGACACCGACCAAGTCCGTGTGATGGGGGCGAACTGTTTGATTGATTTGTATTTACTTTCGCATAAGAAAGTAACGAACGAAATTCGCGAGGAACTGAACGATGCATTACTCTCACTTGACGCCGAATTTTCCGTTGACATCACAAAGAATATCATTCGGTTGTATTTGAATGGGGGAATTGACATTTCGGAGGAGAGAGAGGATATCTGCTTAGCGAAGACACTGATGTCTATGTTGATTCGGTCACCAGAAGGAAGTGTAATACGCGTTGTCTTGTACTCATTCTTTGTGTGTTACTCATTACGCGAGGATGGGATGAAATTATATGAAATGTGTTTGGATGAAGCAGGCCCGGAGCTTGAAAAGATCACAGAAGTTTATGTCCCAATGTTGGCCCAAGAGCATTCGGAAGTCCACGAACACGTCTTGGATATGTGTATCCAGCGCCTTGGTGTGTGGAGTAAAGACGAGGAAAAATACCCGGACGAGACGCTTTCCACCTTGATTAATGTGTTTTACTTACTTGATTACTCCGGCCGCACAAAAGAAATGAAGGAAATCGTCGTCGATCGACTCAAAGTAATTGAAACGCAACGGAATTCTCAAAGACTCAAAGAGGAGTTGGACGAACTCATTCAGCGGTTTGAGGAGTTGGATTGATTGCGTCTGTGTTTTCTTTGTCCCATTTACAATCGCGTCAATGCAGAGTAATACATTGAATAGTAAAAATACTATAGAAATATATGATATAAAAAAGAACTAGAACATTGCAACTAGTAACAAATATAGTAACAGGAACTATACTAAGGTGTCATTAGAGAAGTTGGAGAGTGACTTGTGTTTGGACATATCATTAGTCACCAACGACGGTGTTGGTGTTCGGTCGAATAGGATTGGAGTTGGACATGGCGATCCATTGATTGGAGTCACAAATTCTTCTGGATTTTGTAAGTAGACACTTTGTTTCCTCCTGACACAACATCGTCGTGGGATGGTGAAGATCTGTGTGAAGTTTTTGATCATGAAGGTTAAGATGTGGTTGGTCTTTGTGTTATGTTCGAGTAATGGTTTTCCTTCCAATTTTTCGTCGCAATAAAATATCGACGGAGACACACATGTTGCGATAGACTCCGCCGTCATTTTCGACTTCTCTGAGCGACTTAAAGATGCCATAAAAGTTATTATGTAATTCAAACAAGTGAAATGTTCCGGTGAGAGAGAGGTCTCCAATTTCATTCGCATGTCTTCACATATCTTCTTTTGGACCTTTTCGTCGTCTCCTTTGGCATCCAGAGCGTCTGCTTATCATTCTTATTCCCACGTTATTGTATAGAAAGAGTTATTAATATTTGTATAATAAATATAGAATTTGTTATAATTAGATAACAAATTGTATATTTATAGTAATGCTATTATACATTATAGTTTGTTTTTCAAAAGGCAAGGAGAGAAACAAACCATCCCATAAGAAGAACATCGGTATTGCTTCCTTTGGAATCAGTTTACCAGGGATTTCTTTCAAAAACGTTTTCACGAGATTTGCGACCAAATAAGGGTCTTCATTTGAATAATTGATAGCTAGGAATCGAATTTGTGCGTGATTGATTTTGTCTGGTGTTGAAGAGACTCTAAACAGCCCTTCAGAGTCTATCCCGGACGTGTAAAGATACTTCAAAGCCTTTTCAAGGCCGAAAGGGATTTGAGTGTTTTTCCTGTTTTCGTCGTCGATCAACTTTTTGAGAGGTATTCCAAAGTAGTTTCTGTACTTTGAAGAGTCTGCTTTTGTATTTTCTTCGAAGGCTTTTTGGAGTTGTTGTTGTTGACTCCGCGTGACGTCAATTTCAGACTTAATATTGGTCACCTTTTCCATCTCGTTTTTCACTTCGTCGAATAAGCCAAAAGTGTTGAGGAATACGCCCAACGTCTCGATTTCGAATTTGTCAAGAGCCAATTGTGTATTAGCAAGTGCTTGGGAGTACTTAGGGTTTGAAGGAGATATCGAGGATGTTGTCATCGCGAGTTCTCCTTCGATGAAACAGCGCATTACCTCATTCACATTTTTGTCTAAATTGATTTGGAGGTGGTCTAAGACCTTCACGAAGTTGTTAACTAACTCACCACACTGTGTCATTGCTGTACACACTTTTTGGATATTCCCCATATCATTGTTTTCAAAGCGTGTTGCGCAATTCTTCATGCTTTCAGATACACCAATACCAGCGTGTGCTGCAACTACGTGTCAATGTAATTGAGTATTTATCTTCAGTTTTGAATGCATGGAAATAGAACAGAGTGAATGTTTCACTTGATAATAACTCAAAAATAGGAATCTATTTTTGCTTGGAATTTTTCATACATAAGAATGACAAATAACAAACGCGCTATGTGTTGTGTCCACTTTTTGGTCTTTTTAAGAATGTCCTTGTAAAAGAGTTTGATTTCATCGACCATCACTTGCGTCTTTTTGGCGTTTTGTATGAACACAGTTTGAGACTTTTGAGCGGAAGACGATTTCATTGGAATAAAAGTTCGTTAATAATTTGGTTTGGTTTTTAAACGAAAAAAGGTGTTTTAGGTATTGCATAAAAAACCCCAATAAATTACATCCATTTTATCCCTTATTTTTATTATTATTAGCAATGTTAAAGGAAAAAAGAGTGTTATAAATAAAACAATAACATGAACTCAATTTTCTATTTGAATAAATACTATTGACATGGTAATAAATTATTTGTGATTAAAACACTCCCTTGTATCGATGGAAATGGTGAGCGGTACACTTTTTAAAGGAAATAATTGGGATGAAAGATAATATTGATGTTTTGAGCTGAAAACAAACTGTCTTCACTGTCAAATAAAATGACAAAAATGATAGTTAATATATAATACAAGTTATTTTATAAATATAACATTTCAAATAACATTTTTATCAAAAATGTTTTTCATTTTTTGGAATGAAATGTAATTTTTATTGTGTTAAAATCAACCATATTTAATTTTCTTTAACATCATTTTATCCAACTTAACCTTACGAAGTGAAAACTGGATAATTTATATCCTTGATTTTTTCACTTAAAATAAGTCACTTTTTTTATTTTTGTATTTGAACTAAAAAGATCTTTAATTAAGAACGGCGTGTCACAAACCAATTTAAATTATGTAAAATTGATAAAAATCGAAGCGCTCTCATGAAAATTTTTGTGTATGTCTCGTAACAGCAAGTATTGACTATTTTGAACACATGGAAAATAGGAAACATGGGTCTGTAAAGACCAGTAGTTTGCGCGAAAACTAATCGATTTCGTGTTTTGAATTTATTTTTAATTATTCTAAAAATAAATTATGATCTAGATAAATCTTATCCAGATTTCACCTTCCCACAAAAAAAGTTGATTCAGTTGACTTGCTAAGGTTAAAACGACAATCCAAAAAAAAGACACCTTTCGTCATGAAATAAACTTTCAATACTAAATTTTATAATTTATTTTTAAATTTAATTTTTTAAAGTGTAAAAACATTTTATAATTTAAGTAATAACTATTATTTAAATAAATAAATTAATCAAATATTAATTAGTATATTAGTTAATTATAAAAATTATAATAAATAACAATTTTCATTTTTTCAACACAATTACCAATAGAACAAAAATTCATTAATATTTATAAAATAATTAAAACCAAGTAAGTTATTTATAAATAGAATTTGTTTTTAAAATAATCCAATTGGTATACAAATAATAAAATATAGTATATCATTTCAAAAAAAAAGGATCGAAATAATCTATAAAATACTACAAATTATAGTATAATTATTATTTATCATTAATTAATTCATTACCCGTTATATTCTACAAAAAAACGCCCAATAATTATAAATAAATGATTTATTTTTTACTATGCAAGAATTAAGTCCAAAATAGCATGTTTTACTACCCGATATATAACAACACACAAACTATAAAATTATATTAAACAAACCATTAGTATAGTTTTTTGTTTGCCCAAATTAGAATTTCAAGAAATTCAACCAAATTTGGTGCTTTTTGGTCTGTCTCTGTACTGACATCAAAGAGCCAAGCCCAATAAATAAACTTTGAAGTCACAATCAAGTAGATGACGACGATCGAACAGACTGAGTTTGGGAAACGTCTTTTTGAGAACCGTCGGTATATAGTTGAAGTGAACAGCCGGTACAGATTTGAACTTAAAACGTTCGATTCAGTTGAAGGAGTTTTGGGGCTTTACACTTCAAAAACAAGTTCAGATAAGAAAATCAGTTTAACACTTGATACGTTGTTCATGAAATCATTTAAGGTGTATATTGAGTATCTTACCCATAACACTGTGTATCTTGTTGGGGAACACCAAGACTCTATGTTCATAGCATGCTCTTTATTACAATTTGGAGTATCTATACCAAACTCTTTGAATTATGCACTCAAATTTGAACCTTCTATTGACAACGAAGAGGACAAATTAAAGACGTTTGTTGCGTCTGTATATGAAGTCCTTTCATTTACAACAGCAGAGTCGATCACCATTTTTAATACCAAAAATGATGGTGCTGTATTTCGCAAATGTGTTCTTAATAACAAAAATGCTGATGTTGTAAGAATAATATCAGAGTGGCTCGGAGTCGCACAACCCACCCTCTTGATTAAAACACCAACAAAACCACAACACCCCCGTTCAAATTCCACTTCACTCATTTCGTCATTGCCAAATTTACTGAGCAAAAGCGACGAGTTAAGAACACGCAGCGCAAATGATCGCAAGTCTTCCTCGTGCAAAAACTCCCCCAAAGAGAAAGAACGCAAAGTAGATAAAGATCGGAAGACTTTTGGCTTTATCAAAGATATCGTTTCACTGGGCGGCTCTTTAACTTTTGGCAACTCCTCCAAGTCCGAAGACTACAGAGCAACAGACGACAAACAAAAGGTGCCCAGTCCACACTATGAGAATGACACCGACTCTTTCCAGACGTGTCTCAATAGTGCAAAAGCAGTCTCTAGTGACTCATATAGTAACTTAACTATCACTGAACTTGAAGAGAATAACAAAGAGTACACACTTACAGACACACAGCTGAAAGGGATTGTTGGTCTTCAAAGTCAGGCAAGAGGGTTTATCACTCGAAAAACTTTCTCTGTCGACAAAATGCAGATGAGGAATTCTGCGATTACTGAATTGTACGACACCGAAGTCTCTTTGTTAAAGAAGATGGAATTGATGGAGAAGCATTTTATGAAGCCGATGATGGCGGTTGGGATCGACAAAAAGGTGATCAAAAAGATCTTTGTAACACTTCCGCAGTGCATTGAATCTTCCCGCATCTTTGTGAGGAATTTAGAGAAGGTCTGTGCAAGCAAATTGCATGCGGAGAGTTGCGTTGGGAATGTCCTTGGAAGAGTGATACAGTACATCACACCCTATTTAGCATTTACCACTGATTATAATATAGCAGAGAAGACTTGGAAGGAAGAGAGTAAAAGCGCGATGATGCGGAAGGTCATCCAAATGGCTGCAAAATGTGAAGAATTAGAGAACACCCCTCTTAATGTGTTATTAATTCAGCCCATTCAGAGGATCATGCGATACCCCATGTTGATTAAAGAGGTTCTTAAATTCACGCCACAGAGCCATCCAGACTATTTCTGGCTAAAAGACGCTCTCAAGAAGTATGAATATTTCTGTACTTTATCAAACGAAAGATCAAAAATGCGAGACGCACTTATGGAACAAGCAAGTGAACTTGAGATGGACAACTTGTTTGTCGATAATAGATATTTGATATGGGCCGGGTTCACAACAGACAAACATAAGACGAAAATTCTGGTCTTTAATGACTCCGTTGTTGTAGCTCAGAAAACAGTGAAGAGTTTCTTAGACCCAATAGCGTCTCTTGGGCATAATGAAAAGAATCAAAAGTGGAGTATCATCGATTCTATTGCAATCGACAAAGACATTAATATCGCAACTAATGGAAAGGTATTACAAATTAAAAAGTATGGGAGAAACCAACCACTTATGGCGGAATTGCAGAGTGAAGAGATCACACAAGAAGTGTACAAAAAGATTAGTGGCGCAATAGAGATGGGGTGGTTTGACATCGAAGATACCACTTCATGGGCAGATTGTTTACAACTTTAACTTTATGTGTTATTTGTGTTGTGTTAAGTAAAAGTAACTACAAACAATTTATAATAGAGATTCTTGAGGTTCTGCCTTCTTCATCTGACAATCCTTCGGTGAATAATGTCCTTTTTGTTATTTGTTTGTTATTTATAACATGTGTTACAACGAAACAAACCTTTACCTCTTAATATAAATACATCCCCAATACCTTGGAAATTGGATTCAATGTCAACTCCAATGGTCGAGCATGAAACACCATTTTCATCAGCAATTTCTAAACTGTAATTAGACAATTCATATGATAGAACAACGTCACCTTCTTTTCTTTTGTTATTTCGGTCGTTCAAGACAACAACAAGAAAGTCTTTTACTTTTGTACCCAATTTGGTGATATAAGTGGCTGAGACTCCTTCATATCCACAAATCTGAAAATAGAGTTTGACCATTACTTGTGTTTTTGATGATCTTGAAGCTCGACTTTTCCTTCTACTTCTTCTTCTTGCTAATATTGAAGAGTAGCAATCAGGATTATCTCTTAGAATGAAGTCTAATGAACCAAATTCCCCAATTGTTGATAAAGGTTCTAATGGAGGGAAATCTTCATCAGGAATACCATTTTCATCACAAATTTGAAGGATATAAGAGTTATCCATTTCCCTCAAAGGTGCTAACAAGAATCCCTTATTATTCTCTTGAAAGTTTATATTTTTCATATCCTCATTAACTCTTTTGATGACCATGTTAATGAAATCCTTTGTCAACATTTTTGGTTCAAAATAAAATGAACAAGAGTTGAGTCTGTATTCCTTTTCAAAGTGGACTTTAACTTGTTTAAGTAATATGGTAGTCCGGCTATTTCGAGGAATTCTTGGGATCTTTTGGACTTTAAATAAGTTGTCTGCATCTCCTTCTGTCATTCTTCTTTTTGATTCACTCTTAACAATACAATGGGGTTCTAATGGTGTCACATTCAAATCTTGGTCAGATGTCAATTTTGAATCAAATGCACAACTCTCCATTATTCCACAAAGATGTTCTTTTTCATTCATTTCGTTCAGAGCTCCTTTCAGTTCAAATTTACTGATCAAAGAAGACTGTGACATGTTAAAAATCATCGAGTTCATATCCAAAGAATGAAAATTTGAGATGGTGTATCAATGTCCTCTTCTCTGCTCTTTTCGCAAGTAATTAACTTGTAGAGGACAAAAGTGGACTCCTACAATTGTAATACAATTTATAATTTATTATAATAAAAACGTACTATAGTTATTTTATAGAAAGAAGTTATAAAAGGGTTGAGACAATTGAGTATTTTAAACCACTAAATGAGCAGGTCAAATTGTACCCAAACACATAACAAGTGATACAAAACAATCAATAATATTATTGAAAGCAGAAATTATCGAAATAGATTGTGTTGTTGAACTGAATAGTAAATGAAGAGAACGACGTGTTTAATGGCTTCAATTGGTACGTCTGGAGCAATTGGTTCAGTGGGAGAATTTGTTGTTTGAACTTTAAAAGTTTTATGCTTTGGACTATATCAAGTTTTACATTTGACACTTCTTCGTTGTTAATTATACAAGTCACGTTCATTGTTTCATCTGCAGAAAGGTCGAGTGACAGTAGTGTGACATCTTCTATAGGTGTGTTAAATGAAAATGTTATTTGACAATTGCTTTGCACACATTTGAATGTAGATACGTCACTCACCCCATCCAAATTAAACAGCGCGTTTGTTGTATATTCGAATGGGTAATCCAATAGGTCCTTTGTCGTTATGAAGTCGACCAAATTCTTGCATTTCCTTCGATACGTGTTAACAAGAAACTGCGAGCCAAAACCGTTGTTTCTGAAGTTGATAAGTCGATTGTCATACCCATCTCTAATCAACGAGAAGACAAAAGAAACAAATGTGTTTCTTAGAATCAACAGATGCTCGTCTTCTGAGAGCAACGAGTTTGTGTTTAATTCCCATACTTTAGATGTGTCATCTACACTTGGCAAGTACTTGTTGAATCGATTTTGTGTCCCACCGAAGACTCTCAGTGTTGTTTGAAGTGTGTTTTGTGTCGCTTCCACATAGTCTTGGAATTTGAAAGAGTTATAAAAAGTGTATGAAGACAATGGACTGATAGTCAGTGTATTGATGTCCCTCAGCATTTTTAACATGATTGGATGTACCGCATCGGTTCCTCCTACAAACGACAACGAGTGGAAAGTTAATTTCACCTTTGGAAGTTGCACTTGTGGAAACTCGGGAAGTGTAGAATACTCTTTTAAATGCGCAGCCAACTTAATGACGTTTGCGCCGATACCATGCCCCAATAAATGAGCTCTTCCTATTTGTGGAATGACTTTTTCAATGAAGCTCATATGATGGAGTAGAAGTACAGCTCTTGCCAAAACATCAGACGTCTCTTGGTTCATGTTACCAAACACCGGTTTAATGTGTTTAAAATGTTTACTATTAAGCATTGTCATATTTGTGATAATCACAGCGATGTTGTGGGAGACCAATACCGATGCTAAAGAGTCGTACCCATCGACAACTTCAGTTGTTTGTGCATTGGGATGAATTATAAAGACGACATCCATAACACCAGATGACACCGGAACAAACATCTTTCCTTTCACTTCAACACAACTCGAGTCATATCCATTCGGTAATGTCACAATGGAAGACAAATCAATCGTTTCACTCTGAAAATCGTATGAACTCGCATTCCCATAGTACTTCACTAATTTATTAAACCCTCCTATTTTAATACCATCTACACGCCCATTTTCATCAGAAGTTTCATTGATTACTACAGGAAGAATGTCCTTATTCCCTGGAAGAAAGAGAATGATCCATGTGAGCATCACTATTATCAATGTCGTGACGATAACAGGAAACACTGCAAGTATCCCTTTCATTTCAATGGGAGACTCTTTGTCCGTAAAGAAGATCAAAAACACTAACACCAAAAACCCAACAAAAAACGACACAGAGAGAACAGCAAAGAACACCAAAGAGAACATCCGCAGCGTCGAATCACTTGCTTGGGATATTTTATACGCAACTACAAAGCTTGGAATGATCGGTAAGAACAAACAATGAAATTGAATCGTCTTCCGAACATTTGCAACACAACACGAGAAACATAATGCAAAGAGAAGGCAATACCCTAACACCATCCCTAACACATCTCCTATAAAATCAAAGAACGAGTACATCGTTGTCATCACAACGCTTTTATTGGTGTTACATAGATTGAAGTATATCGCAGTTAAGATGAACGACACGGTGAAGCTGATTCCATTCAACACCGCAACAAAATATTTCATCGCTTTGGGATGACGATTGATGTGCTCTTCTAGACTCTTCCGAGCGTGTTTGAAATGCGGAATTAAGGAAACGACACACACTTTGTTGATCAAGGGAAATCGTCGGACCCAATTAAGTGTGAATAAACACAACAAAAGACACGTTGGGATGATGAACGACAAAAATGAAGTTTGGAAGTCCTCTTTGATGTCCAAACAAAGACCAAAAAAGAGTGACCCGGAGATCACTATAATACTCATTGTAACAAGTCCGATCGCGTTGTTTTGTGTCAAATAGATTTGTTTGACTAAATAATTATCTTCATGACAACACGGGATATTATCTTCAGTGTTTGTTTCGTCTTGATACACTTTGATCTCTTTCCCTTTATTTTCTTGTACACCCAAATGTTCTTTCTTTTTGTTTTCGTTGAATTCTTTACTCTCATCGACATCGATTGGTCTTTGTAAATCTCCAACAGAAGAAATTACCTTCTTTGTTAAGTCACTTTGTTCTTTCGGAGTTGCAGTCATTTCAATTCCAACACTCTTGTCGTCGTTAAACCAATCGTATGACATACTCAGAAATTTGTTTGGTACATCACCACCAGATGTATCCATTATGATTTATAGTTTCATTATAGTTCTTTTACGAAAAGGATACACTTTATCAGACATAACCTTTCATTAGTTTTTACCATTTCTTTAATTAAGCCCTTTTTATTAAATAAAACTATTAATTTATAATATAAATATCATATTAAATGGTTTGTTTGTTGTTACCTGAAATTTTTAATCCTTTTTTTCAGTCGGGTTTGAGTTGTTCTATTTTATGAAAAGGTTTTTCGGACGTTGTTGTCGAATAAAAATTGGGGTTTTTATTAGACTACATTCCCGATTATTTACGTTATTTGATATCTGTTATTACTGTTTCTTTTTACTTTCTATTTTTACATCAAAAAACATTTTGATCTATTACACAATTGTTTATTTATAATTTATTTTACTATACAAAATAACAAATATATTTTAATTTTTAAATTAAATAACAGAACATGTGTCCAATCCTTGTATTATATTATACTATATTTAAATTATATTATTAACCATACAAATCTTGATGCAACATAATGAACTCAAAAATCAAGTCTTAAACTCCCCAAATATTTCTACAGTTCGCTGCGGACTGTCTGACGTTTCTTTTGTTATCGTCGAGAGGTGAATACAATTTCTTAAGTACATTCTTTTTGTATGGCTCAACTACATCACTCCCATAATTGATTCTAATTCGAGTCAAGAGATCGATCAAGTCGCATCTAAATTTGATTGTTGATTCTTTGATGTACAACACATTGAATATGCGGTCGATGATATCTTCGAGTTGACTCTCCACGAGTGACATCGGGTATTTAGAAACAGTTGGCAGAATGTTATACAACAAAACGACGACGGTATCAATAGCATCGACACTACTTTCTTTCACACAAATGATTTTGAATATTTTCAAGAATGTTTCTTCATATACCATCAAGTCTTCTGTTGGGAGTAAAGAGAATAATAATATCAAAGTGTGCGCTTCTTCGACATTTTCGATTTTATGTGCTGCTGTGTACTTGTTGTATGTCAAATCAAAGAGTTTCTTCTTCCATTTCTCGTCACTGGCTTTGTCTAATGTCCAAAAAACAGAGACTTCCTTCAAACACTCGACCGCCTTTTTCTCGTTGCGGCAAAGTCGGTCGACGAACTTTAAGACTACCACCGGCTCCTTGTCTTGCTCCAACTCAAAAACACTTTTGTATCCCTCAAAATACTCTTCTTCGTCCTTTAAGGCTTCTGGAATGGACTCACTGTTGTAACTACTCAACAACGCATAAATCGCTCGTGTGTCTTTGTCGACGCACTTCACGTTATTCAAGTATATGTACAACGTGTTCGGAATACCTTTTTGTAACACACTTGGGAGGACTAAAATGAGTCGCGGGGAGTGTTCCAATGCACTGAAAATGGCATTTTGCAAGTGAGTGAGTCTCTTCTCTCCAAGCACCAAATGTAATCGTGATACCCTATTCATTAAAACTGGAAAGAGGGGAGACACTTCCCCCTGTGTTATTACTTCAAAGACAGGAACAATCGATTCAACGTATTTATCAAGACAATTCTCTGGGATAGCATCGGAGAGAAGTGACTGTAAAACTGGTACATATTGGCTACTTTTTAATTGAGGTATTTGTTTGAGTATTTCTCCAAAGAGCAGTGGACTATGCGCCCCAATCCCCGTCACCAATTCTAAACTTTGGATGACACAATCGACACTCATCAACTCCATCATCGTTCTTTCTTCCCTTTCAAAAAGTCTTTGTAATATCTCAATGATATCTTCAGGTCTTTCAATCGCAGTTTCAACAACCAATTTGTACGTCTCGAGTTTGTGTTCGCCGATAAGATTAAGCATTCCAAAAGATACATCCAAGTCTAATAAACTTATGAAACAAGGGTGACTCGGTGTAGCTATGATATGTAAATCCCACACTTTTTGTCCTTTCATTTCATCGTATAATGGTTTACCCTCTACAGCGCGTTGATATAACAATCTGACGACTTTTAATTCTCTTTCAAATTGCTCTTTAGGTCCAGCCAATGACTCTTCAAGTTGGTCGTGGAAACACTTCAAATAGCTCTTCGCAAACATTTCATAGAACGCTTCACATGACCGTGTCAACTCCGAGATGAGTCCATTGACAAAGGCGATAATGATCTCATCCTTTTCTCCCATCATTCGGAAGATGAACTTCTTTATTAACTCCAAAATTGGGCCTGATATCTTCTTCTCTGCGTTGCATACCAGTGCCGTGATTTCAAAAGCAGTGTCATTGATTTCCACTACACCAGCAGTGGAGATATTCAGTTCAATGACATCCCATATTTGCTCGTAATAGCCACACACAACATCTTCTTTATAATGGTGTAAACAATATAAAATGGCTCTCAACGCTTCCAGTTTAATACTCGACAAGTCCGCGTCGAGTTTGTCTAACAAGAATGGAACGGCCAATTGCGCAAAAATTTCATTTGACGTAAAACCTTCTAATATCAAGTCCGTCAGTTTAAGACGCAACTCCTCGTCCCCTCGTGGGGGGTACAATATCGGGAAATACGCAGAAGAGCAATCGAAAAGAAGTGGAGCTGTTTCTGCATCTATTTCGTTATTAGCTGATACGGTTTTGATGATATCAAATGTTAGTAAGAGGCACTCGGGGTCTCTTTCAAGTTCAACTAGTGCGACTGCGGCTTGCACCATATCTGGGTTATGGGACGTGGACGCCAAATTTCTAAAAAGTGTATATAAGAGAACTCGTGTCTCTTTGGGAAGTAATTGGGTTTTGAGTGCAGAGAAACACTCCAATATTTCTTGTTCGATATCTTGAGATAAAGGAGTGTCCACTAAGAAGAGTAAAGCCTCTAATATCGGCGTTAAGCAGTCCACGTCGATCAGTCGTGAAGACAAGTAATCGATAAACACTTGTTTACTCTCTGGTGATAATGGCTTAGTTCTTAAAGAAGAAGACAAAACTGTGGTTGCTCGGAAACGGAGACGGTCATCTTCGGAAGACAACACATCTTTCAAGTCGGCAACTAAGTTATTAGTAGTGTATGTTGGTGTGACAAGTTTGTGAACGATGTTGGTCGCGTCGGAAAGTGGAGCGGCGGAGTTGATAAAATCAATGAATTGGGTTTTGATATCCATTGGATCCTGTGAAATTTGTAGTTCAAAGCAAATGCTCAGTCTTTTTCAAAGAGAAGTTTTGAAGTTTTTTTGTTTCTAGTCATTCCAGATAAAAAAAGTGGTAATTATTTTAATATATATATATAGCTTGTCATATATTGAGATAATTTTTTATTTATTTACTACAAAATACAATTTAATTGCTGGTTCTAATAATCATATTGTTAATAATTACGTTATTAATAATTACTCATATAGCTTAAAATAATAGATTTATTATTAAAGATGATACATTAATTAAAGATTAATAAATATATTAAATAAATATATTAAATTTATATAATTAAAAAATATTATAAATTATAATATCAAAATCACAGCAGAACACTTGTCTTGAACAGTAACATAAGAAATACTGTGTGACGGAAGGCAAGAGATGTGTTCTCTCTGTGTACTTAAACGCATCAAAACGATTAGTTCATTCATTAATGGGAAATTGGCTCGATACCTTGTTTAGAAAGAAAGAAGCGCGTGTTCTGATGATAGGTCTTGATGCAGCAGGAAAGACATCTATTCTCTACAAACTGCGTCTTGGGGAGAACGTGACAACAATACCCACTATCGGGTTCAACGCGGAGAGAGTCGACTTCAAAAACCTTCACTTCAACATCTTCGACATTGGTGGACAGGACAAGATTCGTCCACTGTGGAGACACTATTACAGCGGCTCAAATGCCATCATATTCGTGTTGGACTCCAACGACAGAGAACGTCTTTCAGAAGCGAAAAGTGTGTTACAGACAGTACTCAACTCAGATGAGTTGATTGGTGTTCCCCTTCTTGTGTTTGCCAACAAACACGATCTTCCACAAGCGCTTTCAGTGTCCGACATAGTCAGTGGGCTTGGTCTTCAATACGTCAAAGGGAGAGAGTGGTTTTGTCAGAATTCATGTGCCACGAATGGTGATGGGCTTTATGAGGGCTTAGACTGGCTATCATCCAAAATTAAGTGACTTTTTGTTTTTCATAATGTTGTGTTTTATGTAAAACAAAATAAAGTTTTCTTCAAAAAACACACATGAATATATCTTCAGTAAATTGAGAAGAATTGATACCAAAATGATTAAGAAATTAAATTAGTGTACTTTTCCAAAACAAAATCGTTAATCACTTTCTCCAACCATTTTAAACGCCTCGTCGAATGACTGAATCGAGTCGATATTTTCTGAAGTGACGTTGCCCATTGGGTTTGCTGGTTTTGTTGTGGTGTTTACGCTTTTTGGCTTTTCAACTTTCTCGACGGGTTTTGTGCTTCCTTTTCTTGTTGGTACCTCGGGTTTTGGAAGCAATGTTGAGAATATACCCAAGTCTTGGGCCAAATACAGCACAGACGACCATGAGACGGAGAACATAAATGACAGTGCAGAATCTATGACATTTGAATATCCCATTCTGGTCATAGCAAACACAATTCCGATAATGACAAGTACAACGGCCATCATAACAGGTGATTTGAATAGTTGCACGATATTGTCGAAGCCCAAAAAGACGATCAATAAAATCAACCACATTGGTGTTTTAGAGTGAATGGTGACAGCTGCTTGGTCTTGTTGCGCCTTCGTGAATGCGGCCTCTGCTGTGTTTTGAAAGTTTTGGAACATCGCGAGTCTCTCATCGAATGAAAACAAGCCTTTTGTGCTCTCGATGTTCTTCTCCGGTTCCTCGAGCACCATTGTTTTGTTTGTCGCGGGGTTTGTGCCCAAGAATGATACCTCATCATCTTTCGTGTCAATTCTAATGTACGAGAATAAGTCTAATATCTTCTCTGCCTCTTTTTTTGCAGCAAAGAATGGTTTACTTAAATCTTCATTAGCTTTCCATTTGTGTGGTAATCCATCCTTTTCGTTTCTGAATATATTCAAAAACCGTGTCTCCATCAAGCTGTTGACAAAACCGCTACGCTCCTTGATTGTAGAACGAACAGCATCGATAACGTACACTTGGAGTTGTGCAAGTTTTTCTTCAACATCATTTCTTTCCATTTTGAGAGAATTAATCATTCCGTTTTCGAGTTGTGTCAAATTTTCTTTCGTGGCTTCGTCCACAATTTTTCTCACTTGGGCCCACATGTCGTCGGCACAATTCTCGAAAACAGGAAACAGCTTTGGTCTCATGACCTTCTGCATGTGTCGCTTGAAGTGGTTCATTAACGCCTCTACCAGCCCCTTTCGTGCAATTTCGTACATCTTCCCAATAAATTTGTCCATGTTGTTAATCTCGACGGTGAATGTGTTCTCCACGTTTGTTGGAACACTCTGACTGGAAATCTTGCGCCACTCTTCTCTGATTGCGGTGTTCAATGCCTCAATTTGGTCGGCATATCCCGCGTATCTGTTTGGGTCGAAGGTCAAATTCTGTTCATTTGTGTAGGATGCTTGGAATGTGAAATAACTCGTAGACAACATGGTTTTGATGTAATTGATCGACAGAATCATCTGAGTCTGGTAAGCAGAAGACGCCACATTAATCATTTGAGCCGACAACGCATCTGCTTTTTCTTTCACGACTCTGTCCAAGTACTTCGATGCAGTCGCCATAAACTCTTTCATTCTCTTATCAAATGACATGTCGATATATTGTTTGAAGTTTGGGAACATTTTCTTCATCTCATGACTTGCAACAACTGGCTGTATGTCTTCTTCAAATTCCTTTAAAACCAAAGTGATCAACTCGTCGCATCTGTACCTTGCAAGCATTTCTTTTTGTGATGGCAAATCCAAATCCTTGTTTTTCTTGATTGCTTCCCAAACTTGTTTTGTAAACACCGAAAGCCCGTCTGCTGGAATCTCTTTGTTATAAATTGATTTGAAGAACGTGTCTTTGTTTCTCGAATCAAAACGGCTTCTCAACAAATTGACCTCTTGTATAAACTGCTCCTTGTTGTGTTTAAAATGCGGCAAACTAGTAAACTCAAGATCAAAGAATTTGGTGATTGGAGCTCTTTTGAAGCACTCGGGCCTTACGACACCGTCCCAGATTTTTGCAATATCATCACACAAAACTTTTTTTGTTGAGTCGAAGCTCTTTCTCTGGTCACGGTCTCTCACAACAAACAAAATCATTGTCTTTGGCGAATCTTCTTTTTGGAACAATTGAAGATTTAACTCAAAAATGTTTTTCAGTAGTGACATGTTCGACGCGCCATACCTCCCTACATCATGCGACCAAATGTTAACCATCAACACACTGCAAACAGTCAGTGAAAACAATGAAATCTTTCTTTCAAATGAGTAGTCGTCTTCTCTTGAACTTCCGTCAGAGCCTTCAAGGTCCATCACCATGATGTCATCTCTGTCTCCAACAACACCAAGCCACACGCCTCTTGTTGTCCTTTGTCTTCCCTTTTTCTCGTCGAGAACAGCAAAGTTCGTATCAAACAAGTAATTTAACAAAGTGCTCTTTCCACTGTTCTGGGGACCCAAGATACTTAACATGTTATAATTGAATCCCAGCGCCTTGAATTGAGCGTTCTTCGCGACAAATTGGTCGAAAGTTTCTGAATTGGGCTTTTCATCTCTAAAGATCAATCCATGTTTTTCTCCGCTTATATCTTCATGATTTCGTGATTTTCATAAAGATTTGAAACTTGACAAAATGAGATATGAAAAAAGAATTTGAAGTGAAGCGATACGTCAAAGTATCTTAAATTATAAAAGAATGATTAAAATTGGAAATGTAATAACGAGATTGAAAAATAAACATTTCAGCTGGAACGAAGACTATATATTGAGACAGAAATATGAGAAAACAAACGAAAAAATGCCATCTTGGTCGATGACTTGAAGACAAGGAATCGTCCGTGAGACTCGTTCCTTATTAATGGCCTTATCAATTTCAATTTCTTTTATCTCTTCCTTGGAAAACGTCTCTTTGTGAATTTGTGCAACAGATATGAGTTTGTTCTTGACTCTCTGCCGTTCTTCATTGCTAACCTTCGGTTGTTCTGGCTTGGTGTTTTCTGATGTTTCATTTACAACGATTTTTAAGGCTTCAGTAATTATATTTTGTTCACCCGTATTGGGGTTCTCTGTAATTTCATTCTCGTCAAGCTTTTTGTTTGCTTCGCTCACAAGATTCATGTCAATGCTTGGTGTTGGAGATTTCTTATGGTTGACACCTTCCTCTGGTACCAACAAATTATCTGTTGTTTGGTCAGCCATTTCTAAAATTCGAGTTCCTATTTCAAGTTTCTAATAAAAAAAATCATCCAAATTATTTTTTTTTCATTTGAAAGTTGTGTAAATAATAACTAAGTTATCAAAATATTACTAATATTATTATAAATCTAATTGTGTTATTTTTATCGGAAGATTGTTAATTTATTTATATTTTCTTACTATTCACCATTTCCGATATAATTAAATTGGTGAATAGAATTTTATTATATTTTTATTATATATATACTATATCAATGTAATTGTTTCAAAAATTATTTTTTCAAAAAATTAAATTAATAATTAATAATTATAATATTTATTAAATATTTATTAATATCAAATAATAAATTTATAATATTTATTTGTTAATTATTTTTATAATTAAAATGTTATTTTTATAATAATATATAATATAATATTATAAAAATTTTATAAAGTTATTTGAAATAACACTATTTTTTTAAAAAATTTTAAATTTTAAAAAAATTCAATAATTTTCTGTTTTTTATTTCTATTTTATGATTTTAAAATATACCAAATAATTGATTTATTGCAATTAGAATTAATAATAAATTCAAATTGAATTTTGAAATTTGAATTTTTAATAAAAAAATAAATCAAAAAAATTCGAAATATATTTTTTAATCAATTTCTTATATAATTAAAAAACACTTTTTTTTCAAGTTAGGAAAAATGGACAATAAATATATCGGTCAAGCAATTTACATAATAACAAATATAAGTAAATTAGTACTATTTCTGATATAAAAATAATCCGATAGAAAATAATTGAACTTAATAGGCCATGATTCTTTCGAATAACCCGAAAAACCATACCAATATGTGCCATTGTTTTCAATATTATTTTTGATAAATAACATGTTTAAATGATAACTAAAATTAGCTCTCAAACTGATCTTAAGTAATTACATGGACGACTCACCGCCGTGTCCAGTCATCCCCCCCGATTGGGTCGTCACTTCGTTGCTTCCTCTTCAGTCAACAATTCGATCTTATCAAACACGTTGCTTCTATTTGGAAGTTCTTTCGCAGCTTGAAGTAGTCAAAGAAGCAGTCAACACTGAAGAGTCTTTATTACACAAAATGGAAGTGATGCGGTCGTATTACCAACCCCCCCTCGTTAAAGTGAATATTCCAGAAACAACGCTACGTGTTCAGCTCTTATTTGAATACCTTGAGAATTGCATTTCGTCGTCCAAACAGATATTGAAGTATGGGACACAGTTCATTCAAGACTACAAAATCAATACGCAACCCTCCGAGTTTTTTTCGTTCATTACATTTCACTTGTGGTCGTATGGGGAATATACCATTAATTATAACATCACCAAGACTATGCTCAACGAGTTAAATAAGAATATTGTGTATCACCGACTCTTATCGATCTTAGACGCTAACCAGAAAAAGGGGTTTTGCTTGGGAGATTTGATCATCGAACCAATGCAACGGACTCCACGGTATCCATTACTCCTTAACACTATCATTAAAGCAACTCAAAGGAATATTTCGGAGGTCGAAAGCTTCCAATTGATTAAAAAGGACTACGACTACTTCACTTCCCTCATCAACGAGAAGACACAAATGAGAGACAATTTAATGGTGTTGTCAGAAGAGATAGATTACCCCCAAATCATTATCCCAAGAAGATATTATATCGGCGGGGACTCGATGATCTACAACAAAAAGAAATGTGAAGCATTTCTATTCAACGACAGAGTAATATGGTTCACCGTATCTAAAGCATATAAAGTCGGTAAACAAAATCAATACAATTTCGAAGGAGAATTCGTGTTCGATGATAAGAGCAGAGTGTATTCTGTTCAGACAACACTCGTCTTCAACAAGTTCGGACTGATGCCTTTCCAAACAGTCTGCCCTTCAAAGAAGAACGTTTTGAAATGGGAGGATACTATTAACTCACTTCTCAATGCAAGAGTCTATGACGTTAAAAATGAAAACAGCTGGATGAATACCGTCGACTGCAAAGTGAAACTCGTCTCGAAACTTAACCCATTCTACCCAAACCATAAAAAACCAAATAAATGACTTTGTTATATTCTTATTTGTTGAATTGGTAGGTGTAACAAGATGGAATAATAAAAATACTAACTAATATACTATATACTCAAATGTTATATACAAGATATTATACTATATAGATACTAATTAGTAATATGAAATAGAATATATTTCTTATGAACAAAACGCAGTGGATGAACAAAAAGTTTTGATGGTAACTCGAAAAAGTTTAAAGTTGCACAAAGGATGAGTGATTCTCAAATAGACATCGAAAAGGCTATCGAGGTGGGTGTGGATAATAACTATCAAGAGATGGAAAGGGTCTTGCGATATGAACAAAGTACACACACGCTCAAATACCGCTCACAGATCGTGTTTTGCGCGGTTTGGGGAATTATTTGCCTTATGTATATACCCCTCCTTTTTCTTGTATCAATCGCTTCTCGTCGAAAAATCTGACTTATTCGTTCTTTCGTTCCAGCAATCCTCTCACTTTCAGCAATTTTTTTGTGAATTAATAATTAATAGTTTAATTACTTTTATTACTCTTTATAATCTCCTATCTAATATTCTCTCTTTTTTAAATCAAGATTAATACAACTCTAAATAAAAAATATTTTATTTCATTTAATTTTTAGTTTTGTTAATAAAAAAAAATTAATAATTTAAAAATGATTAGATTAATTATTAATATTTATAATAAAATAATTTAAACATTTTTTTTATAATTAATCTTAAATCATATTTAAGATTAATTTTAATTAACAGTAAAAATAAATGATTAGAGTCAGTCTTTTAGTGTCATATGGTGGACAAAAAATATCTTTAATTTTGTCTAAAAATCGGGTATTAGGTAAAGCGTGAAAAAATCCGAAACAATTGGGATGGGTTTTTGGGACGGCTTCCTGAAATATTCCAATCTTTATGGTCCAAAAGGTACCAGATAACGTTTGAGACCAGATAAAGTTTAAAGACTGACTATAATTAAGAACGTAAATGGCGGAAAGAACAAATTAAAGAGTGCAACTTGTAACAACAAATCAATCAACGTGAATCAAAGAAAGCTCTTTTGCAATTTTAGAAAAGGTTGGTCGTCTATTCTGCGACTTGTTCCATCCTTTCTTGACAAAACTCTGAGCCCAAGTAGGCACTTCATTAATATCAGGCCGCTCATTCTTCTCGCAGACCGCCTTCTTGAATTCCCCTATTTTTGTGTAGCTCTCAAATGGGGTCTTTGAAGTGAAGATCTGCCACGCGACAAGAGAAAAAGAATAGACATCCATCTCTTTTTCAAAATTCTTGAACATCAGTCTCTCAGGAGACATCCATCTATGTGGACCGTCTTTCATCGACGCCTTTGAGATGTTAAAGTAAAAGCACATCTCAAAGTCGGTGATTTTCACACACTCGTCTGTTGTCATCACGATGTTATTTGGATTCAAATTGCCGTGCAGAATGTTGAGCTCGTGAAGATATTGCATCCCATTGACAATTGACACAATAATTTCGTATGCTGTCTTCTCGTCGAGTTTCATACTTTTTGTGAGTAACTCAATATTCGTTTTGATCGGTTCAGTCACAACGAAAAAAGTGCTCATGTCGTCTTTTCTCAAATTCATTGTTGTTCCAAAAATGCTGATCACGTTCGGGTGTTTCAAAACGTTGAGGAGCGCAACGTCTTCCAAAAAGTGCTCACTCTTGAAATTAACACTCTTTTCGGAAAACACTTTGACAGACACTTTATCGCCTCCAAGGTAAGCAGAGCGTACTTCCCCATACACACTCTTCCACATATCCTTTATGAGAACAATTTCCGCGTTCTCGACTAATTTATAATACTCGGATATCTCTCCTCGTGTTTTTGACAACATTTTTTTCAACCCTTCAAAATCCAATTCACACGCCTTCTTCTCAACTTTGAAATATAACTCGTTCGATATTTGCAAAGCCAACTCTTCCAACTCCTCTTTGTTCGCGACATGCTTTGGGATCTCCGCAAAGTACATTTTGTTTTCTTTTAACTTTTCAGAAACTTCCAAACTTTCACTCTCTGCAAACATTCTGTAGATCATCATCAAGTGGTCTTTGACAAAACTTAAGTTGCCAACCTTCTTCAAAAAAAGTGCGTGGAAATAGTAAAACATATTCTGTTTGCTCTTCCCGACCAAAAAGTACTTCTTCAAGATGACCTTCTGTTCTCTTCCTTTTCTCTTCAAACTTGTCAATTTCAGGTCGTCTCTCATGAACAAAATTGTCAAGAACTTCACAAAAACAACGAGAAACGGTTCGTCTTTGCAAAAGTGTTCCAAATGCCCAACAGCATACAACAAGTAGAACATTGTAAACACAACAGTCTTCTCGCTCATCATGACGGCTCCATTTCTTTGGTCCTCTTCCTTGGTCCATGGGAAGCAAAACTCTGAATCAAATGTTAGTAAATATGTCTTCAATAAAGCGTTATTCCCAACAATTATTCCATGTAACAAATCCAAATTTCCATGTCCAATACTCTCAATGATCTCTCTTTTGTTAGTCACGTGGAACGGCACCCACATTTCAAAGGGTCCTTCAAACGGTAGAATTATCGGTTGAATCGAGTCTCTGAGCTTTTTAAGTCCTTTACACAGCTCGTCTGGAACATTGAACGTCCAAAACACCGTATTGTCAAAGCCCAGCATTGTGACCATTGGAATAGTTTCATTGACCAAAAAGGCCAAACACTCAGCTTCAATTCGTCGTACATATGTCAAATTTTTGCACTCTTCTTCTGCATTCATCGCAATGTAACGGTTGCAATAATCAACTGCAAACTTCATGTTGGCATACATTTCGCTGCTTGCACTCCCAATCAATGCGACAAACATCGGCTTAACTTTGTGAATAATTTCAGCATCAGTGCACTCAAACTTCTTAATCAAGTTCCATGTATCGATCAACTCTTTTTTTGGTGAAGGCAAGTTCTTGTAATAATTGTGAACAATTTTCATGAAGTCTTCAGTGTAGATTTTGAAGAACCTCTTCATGTGACTTTGGGGGTAGGTGTCATACTTCTTTCGGAATAAAAGAAATGCCATTCGAGACTCTCTCTGTTCTTCACTCTTGTACCTGAACGTTTTCAACATCAACACAAAAGAGTAGTAAAGCCCTTTCTTAAGTTTCGAAAGGATTTTTCGTCTCAAAAACCCAACTAAAACGTCGCCAACTTGTGAACAAATCGCGCTATTCGACTCGAATGGGAAACACGTCTCGATGTATTTCTTCAGTGTTAACTTATACTTGTAGTCTGGTGATGAAATTTGGTAAATTGTCTTTTGTAGCATTTCTGTCTTGATTGCAATGTCAAAGAGTGACATCAACTCACCGGTTGTTTCGTCAATCAGAAGAACACCAATTGGAATTTCCGGTTTAATAGTGAGAATGTCCAAGAACGTGTTAAAATGCTCGGACCTCAAAGAAACATCGTTGTCGATGACAGTAGCTATTGCGTTGACAGTTACAAATGGCATCTTTTTATTGTCCAACAACCGTGTGAGCATCTCAGCTATTGTATTTATCGATCTGTCAACATCAATAATCTCTGGAATGTCCCACAATCGGAACAGTGGATCACCAGACTTTGGGCCATGATTAAGTTTCAGAAACATTCCTCTTTTCATCAAGACGACTTGTGACTTCTTTTTCACTTCAAGAATAACTTCCCCTTCGTACTGTTCCTCAACAAGATCACCAGTCACAGAAACAACTCCCAACGTTGTTTTTATCATTTGTTTTCAATAATTAGTACTTGGTGTTTTTTATTTGTACTTTTATAGGATCTATTCTATTTTAAGAACAGATTATATCACGTTTTTTAACTGTTTTTTAATATATTTTTTAGAAACCGGTTTTTTTTTAAATATTCAGCAAACAATTAAATTATTAAATTCGAAAAACAAATTAAAAATATTTTTTATCAAACAAAAGCAAAACAATGGAAAGTGGTTTATTCTCGCAGTCAAACAAGTATTGTGTCAATTGAATCATTATTGTTCAGTTCATTCTCATTTTGAATGAATTGTTTTTTAACAATTCAAATACAAATGAAATTGACTTTTACACAATTAATTGATCATATTAAAATATAAAATTATGCTAAAAGGGCTCAATACATTTATCACAACAATAACATATTGATTTGTTTTAATTCAATATTTCTTATTAATTACTAAAAATAAATCAATTTAGTTTCTTGTTCCACAAGCGATCAATTTGAACAACACCATTGTTACCCAAACATTAGATCATTTCAGATGGATGCGGATATAGTCCTGTTGTGTTTCCTAAGATCCATTCGTCGATCCTTTGTTTTTTTTCAAATGAATACATGTTCTTATAAAACCTCAAGTTGAATGGAGTCAATTCATTTGTTCCATTCCCAACAGAACAAACAACAGTTTCATTCTCCTCGTGGTTTCGAGGACTTCTCGCGCTTCCGTTGTATTTACCATCGTTTGTGGAACTTGCTTCTAAAAAAGAATGACACAGGCTCTCACCTTTACTCGTGCTCTCACTGGACAAAATGCGGTGCACCATAATGTCCTTACTCTCCATGCCTTTTCAGTTCGTCTTGAGTATAAAAGCCTCTCCAAGTCTCTCTATTACCTGTTTGTCTTCTTCTTTTCATCATTTTTGAGGTTTCCGCCCCCTTCGCAATTTTCCTTTTACTATACCATTTTTTTTGTTTTGTTATAATTATTTTTAGTAACAAATTATATTATTAATTATTAATTGATTGACTAAATAATTATTTATTACAATTCGTATTACCATATATATTGATTTGCCGCTCGTCCAGAATCACGTACTTTTTCTATTTTAATGGAAAATTTTGAGTTTTGTTATTTTTCAAATCAACTGAATATAACAAAATAATAATATTTTTATTAATTAAAAATACTACATCAAAGAACACCAAAAATAGAATAGTAAAAATCGAATCATGAATCAAACAATAAACATCGAGGTGTTTGTGAAAAAAGCTTTCACTCTGTTTTGCTGAGCTGTTCCGACACAAAGTTTATCCACTTTGAAACGGGTAGTTTCTTCTCATCGATCTCCTCCATCAGTTGTTGCAACGAGATGTTGTAACTTTGCGAATGGGTGACTTTATACGACAAGGCAATCGCGCTCAAAAACACTGTCCTGCTCTCTTCAGTTGAAAGCACCATCCATAAACACTCTTTGTTTTCTTTTTCTTGTTGCGTTCGTATATCCTCTTTTTTCTTCTGTTCATCTTCGAGTCGTTTAATCTGTGCTCGCACTTCTTTTTGTTGTGTGCGGATGGAGGTGAGTTCACTCTCAAGTTTCTTCATCTTTTCATCAAGTTCATTTTTTGTGCGTTCAGTGTCGTTCTTTTTATATTCACAGTTCTCCTGAATCGTCTTTAAATCCTTTAAATTTGCCTCCGAGCACTCTAAAATTGTTTTAAGACGTTTATTCTCACCCCAAAGTAAATGCAACTTCTCTTTGAGTTTTGTCAATTCCCTTCCGAAATATTCATCCGTGTTTTTCATTGACCCAACGATTTGCTTTGCTTCCTTTTGTTCATTTTCAAACTCATTGTTTACCAATTGAAATGCCTCCGTGTGTTTACCAATTGTTACCCTCTGTTCAGTACAAGTCTTCTGGATACTTTCCTCTATTTTGTCCAAAGTTTCAATCATAGTTTTGACTGTGTTTGTCTGCTTACTAACCTCCTCTATTATATTCTGATTACTATTTGTAAGATCCTCTTCCTTTCTTTTAACATCAATAGACGAGCCTTGCTTGAATTGTAATTCCTTCAACGTCACAATTTTCTGTTTCTTCTCCATTATTCGCCGCTTAAGAACATCGACTCGTTCCACCAAGTTGTCATTTGCTCCGATCTCTGTGGATCCCTTTTGTTCCATCTGCCCCTCTTTTTCAGTTTTCGTTCGCTCTTTTTTGACCTTGCCCTTTTCGTTTTGTTTTTTGTGGATTTTCTGGATGTGTGCTATTTTGAGTTCCGCCTCTTTTAGTCCCTCTTTCACGTTATCCACGAAACTGTCGACACTATCATCATTACCGATATTTGCCATACTCAATAACTCCTCTATTTTTGTGTCTTGCACCGTCTCGGCTCTCTGCGGTGTTGTGTCTTTATCGCTCATTAAAAAAGTTATATTTTTAAGTTCACGTCACGAAGTCAATGATTACAAAATGTTATATATAACATTTTATGAGGAGTATCAATCCCACATAACATAAAAATACTTTGAATTATGACTATTTAATCGACCTTATTGAGTTTCTTTTTGAGATTTGTGATTGTCCGTTGTTGCTTTGAAACTAATTTTCTCAACCGTCTTGCCGTTTCTTCGAGTGTGATGATTTGTTCCATCAGTTCTCTTTCCCTTTCAAGTTTGTGTTTGTCGCCTTTCTTTGGGGTTGGACTCTTTGACTTTGACCGAGGAGTATCTGTTGTGGTCTTAGGGGTATTCGTTACCAAGAAATGATCCGTTGGGCTGAGTCGTTCAGTGATTCCTTCCAAACTCATCTCACGTTGAAGTTGTCCAAGTCCATCATATTGGACGGATTTAATCTCACGGAAGTATGACTTTCCACGATTTGGTAAAGAACGTTCTTTCAATTGTGATTGACTTGCAATCTCTTTTTCTTGCTTCGCTTTTTTCTCGTCACTTTTCTTCTTCTTATCTAGTTTCTCTTTCTGCTCTTTCAATCTCTCGTTTTCTTTCTCTTGCTGTTTTTTGTCTTTCTCTCTTTCTTTCTTGTCTTTTTGATAGCTTTTTGGTGGGAGTGGAGGTGGATTAAGACTCATAGTGAGTTGTTTAGCCAGCATATCTTGCATGGCTGTCATTTTCTCTGATTTCGGTGATTTGTATGAGAGGATTTCTTCGTTTTGTAAGTCGTGTGATTTTGATCTTGGCAGAACGGTGACTCTTTTAGCGTTTTCTTTTACAGGAGTGTTACACTGTACAGAATTTGGTCTTTTACTTTCTTGTGTGTTGCCAAGAGCTGGACTTTGAATTGAAGAATTCTTTTCACCTTCGTTTTGGACTTCCTCTTTACAAAGTCCCATTTTCTTTTGTTTGAAGACCATCTCCGACATGAAGACGTCGAAACTGACAGGCGCCATTGGTTTAGGAGACTTACAGACCGCGCTTTTAGTTGACATGATGATAACAAAGTATCTAAGTTCAGAAGTTTATATTGAGGAACACAACCACCTCTTACCCTTCTCTATTTTGTAGACACGGAAAGAAGTTATTAATTACATATTTCTTCATTTTTGATTACTATTACAATGCCTTAAAATCCCGATTTGTGGCAGGTTTCATGTGATTTTTGGACTCTTAACAAATAAACCTCAAATCATCAGTGTTTCATAGGATGACTTTACTATACAATTGTGATTATTAAACCAATTAAAATAATTCTTTTTCATTTTTATGGCTTTTGAAATTCCGCTCCAAAGTTTGTCTGACTTTTTCGTTCATTGTCTCTATGTTTGATGCTTATTGTGTGATTTGCTCAATAGCATTTATTTTTATTCATTGTCCCCAGTTTTTACTGTTTTTTTGCATTTCATGTTATCTTGGTAACAAATCGATTAATAATTAAATACTTTAATACAGTTTGTTATTGTCTTGTAATACAATATATTATTAGTGTTCAATGCCGATTAAATGCAAATAGTATTTAACACTTCAATTCACATTAAGTTAAGCAAATCATGAAAAATGGAAATATCCAGTCTTGAGAATTATGTTGTCTGGAGTCAAATAATACCACCATTTTTTGTGATTATTTTGTTATGTGTTTTTTGTTCTGAAATTTCGGGATAATCGCAATAAAAAAAACAAAATCAACAAAATTGGACAAATGGTTTAGTTATTATTTCCTCTTGACAAATTATTCTTCCATTTAATAGAATTTTTTTTTACACAAAAAAATCTTTTTTTAGGTTTATTTTTTGGAATTATGACTTTTTTAGTTAAACTTAAGCATTTATTGTTTTTTTTAACCAAATATTTTTTTAAATTAAATAACAAACTAACAATTTAATTATTTTTAATTGATAAAAATAGTAATGATACCAAATTCTTAAAATGAATATACTTAATAAAAAATTATTAAATAACAAGTTTGTTTTAAAATTACACCTTTTTATTTTTGAAGCAGATTTCTTGTACGAACTATAAATACACAGACAATCTCGTTTATTTTTTAATTCATTTTGTTTGTATTTTTTTTGAAGTGTTTGTTGCTCTTTATTTTACAGTTTTATTGGGATAATTTGCTAATACAGAAATCCGAAATCAAAAAGTCAAAAACGCAGTTAAGATGGTTTTTATTATTGAGAAATATATTAAAATATGGTGTTGATATTTTATATTTTAATTGTTAAATTATAATATAAATATAGTTTAACGACTTTGTTTGTTTAACATGTTAGAATTAAAAAATTTTAAAAATTATAGTAATAAAAACTATTATTTCCAAACAAATATTTTCTTTTGAACAGAAAATTTCCATTCTTCCATGCAACAATTTCCAGTAATTCGTTTTTTCCCCGATTATTTAAAAGAAAATCGACTAAAAAGAAGACGTCAATAACTAAGTTAGATTTGTTCCATATCAATATGTTTTTGTTAGAATAAGATCACTATCGGATGCAACAATAATTTAAATGAAAAGAGATGGCATATTAGCTAAAACCTTTATAATATTAGTTAAATTATTTAATAATAAACGGGAATAAATGTGTTTATAGCAAATTACCACTTTGTGTAAAACTGATAAAAGCAAATAAACAAAATACTCAAAAAATAAGCAATCATTTTTTTTCGCTTTATAATATCGCCATAAAAACATGTAATGTTTTGATTATAAATAAAGTTAATACCATATAGTATCATAATAGTAAGTTTATTAAACTATATATATTGTTTATAAAAACTATGTGTGTTTTTTATGGTTTTTTAGAACCAAATTAAAAAAATGTAACATGTATTGGTATGTTTTTATAGTTAATAAAAATATTAAATTATAAAATAATTAATAATAATAACTATTATTTAACTAGAAATAATAGTTTTTAATAATAATTATTTTTTTTAATTTAATTTTTTGATTAAAAATTTTTTTAAATAAAAAACACTTTAAACATAAAGTCTGTTTTCTATTTAGTGATATTCTTAAAATACAACAAAGAAAAGAACTAGACCGACAATATTAAACTATAATTTACTATACTCAATATCGCTAATTAAAAACCATTAACTATTAATAAAATTGTCATTAATTAAAACTAATGTTAAACAAATCCTAAGCATTGACTTTTTCCAAATCACTTGTTGTCGTTTTCAATTTGACCCAAATGATAATTTGACATGTCTGCTCAATCAAAATTGACATTATATTAATTTTGAATTATCTGGTTGACTCATTTATTTCGTCGTATTCATATTTCAAGACCAACCTATTCTTCGTTTTGGCTTTATAAATTTTTCAGTTGTCAAGCAGTTTTTGTTATAAAAAAAAGCACACTTTTATAAAAAAGAACAAAAAAATAAAATACAAACCATTTTTTTGAAAAACCACTTTATTTTTATTATAAATTATAATAATGTTATTATAAACAATAGTAAAACCCCAATATCCTTAAATAGAAAACAGACTGTACTGTTTTAGATTCTAATAATAATGTTATTAAATGTATTACTATTTTTTTATTCGATTAACAACAAATAATTGACTTTTTCTGACTTTTATACTACGTTTTCATTAATTTTTTAAATTCGAAAAAATCAAATAAAGTATTATTTCAATTGAAGTTTTAATCAATTAATTTTAATAACAAGAAAAGAGATAAACAATTTTAAAAATTTAAAAATTGTTTGAATTGAAAAAAATGTAGTTTTAGAAATTATAAACCCCCAATATCCCGAATATACCTACTATTATTTTTTTGAATTTAGTTTTATACTTTTTATATTATTACAAAAGAACCATTTTACAAACTAAACAAGTTTTTTAATTTCTACCAAATGGTTTATTTTTAAACAATACTTAATAGTTTTTTTATTATAAATAATACAATACTTAACCAAAGGACTAATAATAGAAAATACAACACCTTTTATATCGGTCAAAGAAATAACATATAAGATAAAAAACCCCAAATAGAGAGAAAAAAGGAACAATTACATTCCGATAAAATGAGAGTGACCGAATGAAATGAAAAAGAGATAAAGTGGCATCTCTTCCTATCGCGCGATATGACGAACACGAGAAAATAGTGTTTAAAAAAAAGTGAAATAAACACTGTAAGAAACCTACATCTCATCTCAAAAAAAGTTGAATGGCGTCTTTACGAACACGAACGAATTTGTCTGAACAGTGTCACTTCTGCTCGCTTGAATTGAAAAAGATTCGCGATACAAAAAGAAGTCAAATGCTGTCGAACAACCGGTTGATAGTCGTATGCGATACGGAAAGCCCCCGCCTCTCTCCGCGCAGTTATTTGAGTAATTTAACCGAACTCTACCAAATTGTTAATCACGAGAATTTAACACCTTTTGAATTGGATTTTGTGTTAGACAAAGTCCTCCAAGTGTCTTCGCGACGGGATCACCCGCCTATGACTGAGATCTTCATGTCAGGGTTAATCAACAAATTTTTTAATCTTGGGAGTAATATGGAATTGCCACAGAAGAAAGTCTTCTTACAAATCCTAGAAAACATTACAGCGGCGGATGCTATCTACCACAAGGAGTTGCAAAAGAATGGGATAGTCCAATTTATCACACAATGCGCAAAAGAAAAGGAACTCATCCCCGACACATGCGGGTGCATTTGTAACCTTTGTTTGGACTCCCCGGAGATCTTGAGTATCGTCATGAAGAGTAAATTATTGAACACTATGATCGCAATGTACGAGAACATAGTAGACATCCCTTATACATTAATATGGGATATCAGAGTGATCGTACAAAGTATTCGCGAGACTTCTATATTGTCCGATTTTGTAATGCTTGCCATGAATCTGTTGGATAACTCCGACGAGTCATTTAAGTATAAAGATGTTATGTATATAATAATTGGAGAGATTTGTATGAAGGACGTCTCTTTGTTACAGCCATTTCTCAAGAAGATAGTGAATATGATAGTACTTGCGTGTCAAAAAGACTCTTCGTATTGTACTGTAGCACTTCGGACGTTGGAAGTGATCACGTTAAAAACAGAGATACCCAACAGTGTGTCTGAATGTATTCGTATTCTTCAAATTGAACATTACAGTACCGATTTGACGGTCAAAGAGTTTCTCTTAAAATGTGCAGTGAACATGATAAACATGGCGAGGACTACTGAGTTGCCTTTAACTCTTGTCTCACAGAATTTTTTCTATAGTTACATGCCAAGAATAGAACAATCACACCATGAAAAGGAAAAATTGTTGTTATTAGAAGTTGTGATATTGTGCGCTTTGGCATTCAAATGTGAGGAAGAGTGCTTTTTGGACGTCAACATCTTACAATTCATCGCACTTGTCCCGATGAATAACACTCGTCTTGTTGTCTTGTCACTGGTCTTACTCCAAAAAGTGGTGAGTCGCAACGTCGACATCGAATCTTATGTCGACGAAAAACTTAGAATGTGGTTCGATAAAGTTCTTGTGTCAAAACAGAACAACACGGTCTCTGATATGGCGAAAGCACTTGCTATGCACATATTTATTGAAGACCAAATGGCGCTGTGAGTAACACTTGTTTGATTGTTTGTATGTTACTGTACTAATTTTATAATACAGTTTACTATTTTTTTAATTTGCAATAACATTTTAATAACAAAATTTGTGCATTTTGTCGAACACAACTTTTGTACCACAAAAAATGTCAAAGGAATCTCAGTTTGTGTGGGAATTTGTTACCAAATTGATATATTTGCCTCAAGTAATTATTTTAGTTTGAACTAGCTCAAAACAAATTAAAAAAATGGTAAAATTAATTATACTATTTTAATAAACAAAGAAATAGAATAAAACAACAAGTAAAATGGAAGTAATACACTGGGACAAAGCGAATGAAACGCGACTTGCAAAACTGTGATTGTAACAAACAACAAGAAATAACAATAGAAAGAATTATTAATAAAACAATTAATATGCCAACCCCGAGATTTCAGGGGTAAAACGAGGAACCGTAACTTTAAACTGTTAAGTGAAGAAACAAATTAACTCATCTGAAAAGACCATATGGCAACACCTCGAATTGCACATCAGGCAGATACAAACACCATCGCACCACCACTGTCCCCTAGATTTAAGGCTGATCAAATGGGACAATGGTCGAAGGTTTGTCGAATCTTGAAATTGAAACTCACAAATCAAATAATTTTTCTTTTTTTGAGTTGAATAACAAAAAGATACTGTTACCACTTGCAAATGAACTGCCTCAAGAGGTCTTTGAAACACTTCTTGCAGAAGCAAATGATCAGGAACGCCGAAAAGACCTCGTTTTGTCAATGGTTGAGTTTTATAGCGAAAACGAAAAGATCACCGAATTATTTGATTATATAATTAAAAGAGAAATGGTTTCTCATTTGGAAGATCCGGAACGAATTTTTAGCTCAGGATCGTGTTTTGACATCATCATCAAAGAGTTCCTCAAAAACGATTTGGACGTTTTGTTGGACGATATTGTCACTTTTGTCATCGCCAAAATGAAAAAGGACAAACTCAAATTCTCTGTTTGTCATTTTATAATTTTTATTTATAGTAAAGTAATTACAAGTATTACAAGCGAATAACAGCCAGAACGAACCAAAGAAAATAAATAAATCAGTCAAAAAAATAGCTAAACTTTTGGAGCAAATTATGCAACAATTCACAACGTCTAAAAATTTCACGGCGTTTGTTTTTTATAGTTCAATTATAGTATTATTCTAGTAAAAACGAAGAAAGAATTCATCTCCAGACCGTCGTTATGTTTTTTGAGGGAACTCCAGAAGGCGGTTAAATATGAGTTTCCAAAACTTAATGACTATGCGATTGACCAAATATTTTTAGAATTAATCACAGGCAAATTGAGTAGTTTTGGAGATGTCAAAGGGGCGAGTGAGAAAGAGACGCTTGAAGTTATATGCACAATACTCAAGTGGTTTATTCACAAAGAAGACACGGATTATTCGACTGATTTAAAAAGTAAAGTAGCCGAGTCTATCAAACTTGTGGAACACTGGAAAAGTACTCTTATAGTTTGTTTACTATACTCTATACTATACCTTATGTCAGTTTACCACTCACAACAAGTCCAATGAATTTGAGAAGGAGGAGTTGGTGATACAATGGAAAATCACTTCTGACGAATTTCTGTTTGAGTTGATTCGATGTGAAAAACTCATTCGCGAGAAGGCTGACCCATACACTCAACGACTTCTGGACATTCATTTCAACGATGAAATTGGTTACCGCAAAGGGTTCAAATCATTTGAAATGGAAATTAAACGACTCCAAGTCGGTGAGATGAATAATGCAGTGGGCATTATGTTAGCAATGTCCACTATTAATATGAGAATTAAAGACGTCAAAGAGGAAATTAGATACTTGGAGGAAAGACTCGAAATCAGAGATGATAGAGACGACGACCACGCTAATGGGATTTTGTCCCCAAGGTACAGAGGCGAAAGAGGTGGGTGTGCGTCAAACACAGAACACAGCTGCGTCACCACAGCTTTCTAATCAAGTCAATGTAATACGCGTTCATTTTTTACTATTAGGTTATAGATTTTAATAGTATTTATATTTTTTTCTTTCATATTATAGATTATAGTTATAATTATTATAATTAATTATTATTATAGTTATGATAATTATTGAGTCTTTTTTATTTTTTATTTTGTATAGTCGGGGGATAAATAGCATTAAAAAGGGACAAAGGTAGTTAATTTTGAAAAATATAATTTCGAAACTATAATTTTTAATAAATCTATTTAAAGGTCAAAATAAACATAAAATTAAAATATTAATTTAAATTATAGTTTTTTAATTTTAAATGATTATAAATTGAATAATTATAAATTTCTATTTCAAAAATAAACAAAAACACCTCAATTTGTTCACTTAGAAAAACGTAAAAGTCTAAAACGCAGCACTTTTTGTGGTTTGTCTGAAACTTGTTTTGTTAAAGGTTTTTTCCTTTGTTTTTCTTTTTGTTTCATTTCATTTCTGCTCTTCTTCAACTCCAATTGTTTTGGTGTTAAAATGGTCTTTCTCTTTTCCTTTCTCAATGGGAATGGTTCAACAACGAAAGATTGAAAGATTTCAACAAATGATGGATTTTCAGTGATTCCATGACACTTTAAAGGATTGACACGACAAGTTGAATAATCATTACACCAAAATGATTCAATTCCACATAGATTAAAAGCCAATACATTGTAGCAATAAGTAGCAGATGCAAAATACGAATCGATTAGAAAAAAGGCATCTTTAATCTTTTTCTTGTATTTTTCGTCAATATGGTATTCAAAAACTGACTTCCCAGCTATCTAAGTGTTACTTCACAATACAAGATTTCGACACTTAACAAACTTGTTCTTTCACATTATTTTTTTCTTGCAAAAACAATGCTTCAATTCTTCCATTCATTGCGCGTTGTTGTACTATTCTTCTTTTCATCCTTCCAAACACTCCAACATCAAGCATCTGAGTTAAATGTGACGAATGAGGAACCAAGTTGACAATAGTTACATTCAGTTCAATACAATTTTTCAGAATTGCATCAGAAACATGAGAAGAGCAGTTATCCCATATTAAAACTGCTGGTAATTTGTCTGGTATTTGACGTTTCAATTCTTTGAGGCGCTCGACAATACAGTTTCTCTTTTCTGTGATGTATTTGACAAACACATTTATAAACCAGTATTCACATAAATCTCTTGTTATAAACCCACTTTCTGAATACATAAATAAAACATTCTGTGGTGTAAACCCCATATCAAGGAATTGATATGGTATCGTCTTTGTAGTCAACACCAATCCAGGTTTTAACACATCACCACATGCACTTATTGCTGCAATCAAAGTTGAAGAGTCATCACTTTGATCAAGATAAGAATTAACGACTTTTCCCTTGTAATTACTCGGCATAAAACACCTATAACCTCGTTCATCTGCTCTTCTGGAATATCCACTTTCATCCATGTTAATAATTAATTCAGAATGAACATTTTTGATTGCATTTGAAAGTTTTTTATAATAAGAAACTAGATCTCGACCATCCACTTTAATTCGTTTTTCTTCCATGGGTATACACTTCACTTTTATCAAATTGTGTCTTGCAGTCCACTTTCTAATCATGTCTTTGCTGACTTCGACTGAAAGAACCGTATTGAAAAAAGTATGGAGAGTTTCTGTTGTCACTGCAATATTTCGAGACAATCTATGATTTATCATATCCAAAACTACTTTATCTCTATCTCTGTTCATGCGTGTTGAGTGTGTGAATTCAACATCGTGGAATATACAGTCCTCTTTTTGTATAATAATTGTAATTCTTGGTGAAGATATGCAGAATATCGTTGCCAAATCAGCCTGTTTGATTACTCTTTCATTGTTGTTGAAGGTAACAACAACTGCTTCTTTTTCAATACAGTCAACTGAGTTCAAAAAATTGAAAAGTTGATTTCCATTTGTACAAATAAACTGGTTAAATATGAACATTTTTCGAAAACAAAAATATATTTGTCTTCTCATTGTAGTTAATTCATTAAACTCTGGCATTTTAACCATATACATCATGAATATATATTGAAATACAGTTTTTAAACCAGTTTCTTGCATTTGAATTGCTTTTTTGTGTTGATTGCCTGTAATTGTTTCATCGAGGGTTCCTTTCTCTTCTTCTTCCATTGTTTTCAAAGATTGAATAATTTCAAAAATAGAAAGTTATGGTTTTCTTTTATTATTTTCGAAGTAGTTAATTGAAAAAACCCTTCTAATACTTTTATGGTTAAAGAAATTATATTTTATAGTTTTTTATTCAAATTAACTACTTCTGTCCCAAATTAACCCCCTTTATCACCCGACTATATATAATTAAATCATCATTACTTTGAAATAGTTTTTACAACAATAAAATAAAGTCTGTTTTCTATTGAACGATATTGGGTTTTTACTATGAATTATAATAATATTATTATAATTTGTAATAAATCATTGGTAATAAACAAATCAAAAATAGAATTCAAATAACATGATTTTTGATACATTTTTTGTTTTGGTAATTGAAAAGTGAATACAAAAAGTATTTATATCTTTATAAAAACAACTAAAAATGGTTCTGTGTATAGTAAAAAAATCATATAATAAACCATAATAATAGTAAATTAAAAGGTGAAGTAGAACTTGAACTTGAAAGTTAACGACTACAATTAGATAATCCAAAAATGGAGCAGAAAAAGCGGCTGAAATTTTCATTTTTTGGAATTAATTTTGTGTTTAGTATTAGAAAGTTAATAGTATATATTTTACATATTGTGAAACATAAACAACAACAAACAAGCAAATTACATTTTGATTTTAAGCGGTAGTGATAATGGCGACTCTTGTCGTGTCCAACGCACAGATATTTTCCAAAGCAAGACTTTGCGTCTGGGTTGGCTTTACAATTTTGTCACTCATTGTGACGACTTTCTGTTTTGTATCAACAGTGTTAAAATCCGTAGTAAACTTAATTGACCATTCATTCGAACTAAACGATGGCTTTTGACGCGAAAGTGTCATGTTCATCAATTCATAGTGTCGATAGCAGTGTCTCTGCATTGTGGTGTATACTTTCTAGTCTTTTGTGCAACTTTATATAGGGGCTCTAGTGCATTATAAATAATAAAATGGCTATTAATAATACTATAAAATTTAGTTTAGTAATGAACTTTATTGAGTCTAAATGAGGCGTCCAGAATGAACTTCTTTGTATTTGTTCTGTTTTGTTTTCCTCTCTGTATTAGTACTTATAGTATATATTACTATATTTTGTAATTGAGAGTTATAAACAAAACGTCCACAACAATAATTCGGTAGTAGTGCCTAAGCCAAATTAAGATTAGTAATTGATATTAAGAAAAAAAAAGTTCATTTACTCTAAAGATTAGTATAGAAACGGGAACAATAACAAAAAAGAAAACGAAAAGTCAACAATCTCGATACACGCACTTTTGAATCGAATTAAAAACAGACAATATGACTTTTTAGTCACAATCTATAAATTTATAGTTTATAACCAAAAGTATTGTTTTTTTGGCATTGAAAAATCATCAAAAACAACCGATTATAGTTTTGCGTGGAAATACGGCCAAATTACTTAAATATATTTAATGAAATTAAGACTAAAACTCCTTTTATACTTTTGGGAACACCATTACACATTAAGGATGTAAAAAATGTACCATATACTGTTAATAAAACAATTTGAAAATATAATACAACAATTACATCCCAATCAATTTACACATGCGAGAAGTCTCTCTTCTGGATTTCGGCTTGGATTTCTTGAGGAACTCCAGCGAACTCTGGTGGGAAATTAAAGATAATTGGCATGAAAGGGAGTTCTTTTGGGCGTGCAATTGAGTCTGTGAGTTCCAAAAGTGTTTTGAGATTGACGCCAAGTTTTACCACGTCCGGGCGACTTCTTTCGCAGAATTCATTATTAAATGGCAAGTTGAATCCAATTCGTCTCAAAATTTCTTCGTTTTCAGAGATGCAAGTCCCGATGTCGACAATTTGGTCGTGGTGGTGTTGTACTTCATTCTTGACAGGAAGAGGACTTACTCCACTTTTTGCTAGAAAAGTAGCTTGTGGCAGAAAAGGCTTTCGTGGGCGCGGAATGTATTCTTCAGACTTACTTGCTTTGTATCGTTTTGGCGAAAGTTCGCGTTCACGTGATGGCCGTGGCGATGAATGATTAGAGGAATATGGGGAGGATGGGCCTGAAGAATCATTTGGGGAATTATGACTCAAATTTGCAGAATGAGTCTTAGACTTGTGATAATTATTTTGGTGACAGAAGTCGTCCCAACTTTGAGTCTACTTTGTTACATTTTGTCTCGTTTTATAGCCTTTATGAATAGTAAAAATATAGTAAAATTTATTATTAAGAATAGTATAACAGAGACAAACTGTTTGAAGTCGCATCCATTTCATTCTCAAAGATATTTGTTGTATTGATTTATGTGGGAACCACGGGGCAATTAAGAGGACGGTTTTAAGGTCGTCGTCATCGTCTTGTTCAATTCTGAAGTTGAGAAATTGATTTGAATTGAACACAAAAAATTAAAAATTTTTTTAAAAATTTTAAAAAATTGACGAAAATGAAAAAAAAAGACAAACGTCGCGAGTTGTTGTTTGAGAAGAGTAGTTTCATCGGAAGACCATTGTGGAACATTTTGCTGTTCTGCGTCGTTCAGTAAGTTGGTCAAAGAAGAAAAGATTGGGATGGAATGACGGTTTGTTTTCATCGTCTTGTGTGGGTGTTTTTTATTTCATTTTTTCAGAACAGAAAAAAAACTCGAAATTGTATCGTTTATTTTATTAATCAATTGGACATGATCTTGAACCAATTTATATTGTAGATATATGGAAAAAACTAGTTCATATTAGTTATAATAATAAATTCTTTTAATGATTTATATTAATACATAATTATAATTAATTTTATCATAAAATACTATATTACATTTTTAATATTATAGTTATTTATAATATAAATATAAAACACACAAACTAAACATATAACAATGACATAATTTCATTGTTTTAAATAAATTATAAATAGAATGAAAAGAATAATGTGTGATAATGCTTTGGTTTTTTAGTAAAAGAATAGATTTATTATTTAAAAAAATCAATGTGAGGAATTATTGAAATGTTGTTTAAAAAATCAAACTTATTGTGGTACTTAATCTCTGGTTATAAAAAAGTTAAGCAAATGACCGAGTTTATATTATAAACGCACTCAATTACTTCACTAAGTAACAAAACGAGAAATACGTTGGTGAGTCTACTTTTTGTTTTCACTTATTTTGTCGCAAGGCGTTTGTTCCTCGCGGGAATTTTTCAATGCGACACCAACTACCCGTCATTTCTCGCACAATAATCAAATTAAAGAGAAAACAAACTGCTGTCGAACAAATTCACAAGCATCGCACTTTGCTCATTGAATGAAAAGAGGACTTCTTCAGCAAGTTTTGCCTGTTTGTCGCGGAGCTTCTGAAGCCTTTCTTTCTTTTTTTCAAGTTTTTCGCAGAGGTTTGTTGTCCGCGTCATTAATGCCCTCATCATTTCCTTCTTCTTGTTTTTCCTCATCTCTTTCTCCTTTTGCCTCTGCTCGAGCTGGCTTCTTGCCATGAGGAGTGACGGTCTAATACTCTGTGAGAACGGTTGCGATGACGTCTGTGTGCAAGTTTGGGAGAAGTTGATTTGTTGGGTTGGGTATGGTTGTTCCGACCTTTGTGAGCTCAGGAAATAATTCATGTCAAATTTCCTATACTGTCCGTTCTTAAATGCATTTTTATTCCGCCACTCAAATCTTATTTCTTCATTTATAGAAAAATATAAAAAACTAATTATTATTATTTCTAAATATTAGACATAATAATAATCTATTCGAAGTAATAGAAAAATAGAATGGATGGATAATAAAAAACATTTTCTATGCTTTTAAAATGTTATTACCAAACATAGAATACTTCAAACTCATGAGTTGCTATAAAAACAAATAATACTCAAAAAAACAGATGAGTCTGTCAGACTTCATGAAACTCGACCTCTCGAGCACTAAGCCAACTCTGAAGCACAAATTAAGTGTTCCTCGTCCTAAAGTGCAAAGGGTAAAAAATATAGAAATGAATGATGTCTCAGTGGTCGGCGAGTCTGTCAGTGGGTCTATCATTTATGAAAAGGATAGTTGGAAGGACACCCCTTATACCTACAACGGAGAAGTTCTTTATATTGTAGTTGTCAATTCTGACATGAAATTTGTAAGGCCATTTCTTCCTTCTGATGTGGGTCACATGCAGAAGAGAAGAAATGGGTATTACGACTGGATGCTCACTTCTCCTTTGAAGAAAAGAGACCAATATTTTGTTGTTCTTAACAACAGAGGAATTATAGTCTCTGGTGTATCTGGCTTTGAGATGTAAATCGATGTATATGTTGTATCTATTGTTTTAAATTGCATAATGATTAATAATAAGATGATATAATTATAATTATAATAATTATAATAATTATAATAATAATTATAATAATTATAATAATAATTATAATAATTATAATAATAATTATAATAATTATAATAATTATAATAATTATAATAATTATAATATTTTATAATCATAATAATAATAATAATAAAGTAGATAATATAATTATTAGAAATAATAATTTATACTATTCAAATAAATGAATAAAATTTAACTATAATATTGATTAAATTACCAATTTAATGAGGAAAAACATGATTGAACTAAAACGGTAATAAAAAAATCAAAAAGAACTATAAAAAGTGTAACATATGGGAGATGACGTGAATGATGTTTATGATGAGATTGGGCTGAAAAAGGTCAATCATGTCAATTTAGTGAATTTTGATATTGGAGATGGAGAGTTGGCGGAGTTGTTATCGAGTTACGACCCGTTCATTATTGGAAACAACAAATTCAGTTTTGTCGAAAGCGACTTGTTTGATGAAAGCCAGACGAAAGAGTGTAGTAACTGTCTAACTCCAATTTCAGTGACATTTAAAAGTGTGAATGTGAAAAAAATGGAAGAGATTAAAAAGAAATTGAATGAGTTTGTGAATGGGAAACACGTCGAAGTTCTTTTGAGTTTTAAGAACGCAATGACATCACTGAAAATTCTCGAGTTCATCAATTTCATTTTTGAAAAGGCAAAATCACAGAACGACTTAACAAATGTTTTCGAAATACTTCAAACAGTGTTGCGTTACTTGAGACAACCATACAAGAAAATTGAAAAGGACAAAATGTTCTTCACGCAAACGACGCAAACCTTTCTGAATGAATTGGCTGCGTCAGTCATCGACTTTATACTTACAAACATCCATAATGACATTGTTGTTGTAGTAGTATTCTACGAACTTCTGCAGACTCCGGGATGCAGTGATGTCATCGAGAAAATGACACACAAAATTATTGTGAACAACAGAACTGTGTTGCAATTAGCCAAACTCGTTTTCTTGATGACAATAAAAAGTTTCTATTGGAAGGAAGAAGAGAACCACACACTCTTTTTGTCAATTAAGGACTACACCAAGCTTTTCGACTTATTCTTTTCGGTCACGTCCCACGAAACACCAAATGGAGAAATTGAAAAGAGTATCATTCAAGTCATGTGTGATGCCCTTGAAAAATATTCGGAAGTTCTTTATCTCCAGAATTATATTTGTTTGGGCATCTGTCGGAAATACTCGCGCTTTGTCCAAAACGAGTTCTTCAGTTATGAGTCGAAGTCCGAACTCTTTGGCCGTGTTTTCCAGGTATTTCTCCGCAATCAGAAGTGGTACAAGTTTGTTTCAAACTTGGGAGACGCGCAATTTTGGGGGGGTCGTGTTGTAGAAATGTTAATTGGTGATTCGGTGAGTGGGCGTGTAGTTGGGAAATTTCGGTTTAGAATGATGCTCGAACGTTCTCAGGTGCACACCGTATTCAGAATACCCGAAGGGTGTTTTATAATAGAATTACTCGAAAAGATAGTATGTGTTCTTGAGCAGCAACAAAGTGCAGAGTTCTGTGTATTTGAGAAAGGGAAAATAGCGCTGTTACTCTTATACGTCATATCGAAAAACAAAGACTATGGTGATCCCAAAGTACGTCACCAAATAGTTCAGTTAATACGGAAGTGTGTTGAGAAACGAAATATTAAAGATTTTGATGAGTACTTAATCGAGTTGTCGAGAAGGAAGATCTTTGATGTGAGTGTGGGGAAGGATATGTGGAAGAGAATTGAAAGCGATGGATTTGTTAAAAGTGTTTATCGTATGAATTATTGCAAAACACTTCTCTCAAGTTTGAAGAGTGACGACAACGTATTGGGTCTGCTCTTAATCACTTTCTATCATGTCAGTGAAAGTTGGTTTTACACTGAAATAACGGAGAGGGAGAATATGATGAATCTCTATGTTATATCTTCACTCCTTAAGGCTGACAAGTGTCGCGATGATACCTCGACGTGGCTCCAATATTTGAAACAAGAGCTGAACCACGAAAAAAAGAAGTTGATAGAAAACATCCCATTTTTGCGAACGTCACAAAAGAACATCAAGGCGTTGAGCGGATTCTTTGAAAACACTGACATTCATCCCAATGACACGTGGATGCATCAAGTTTACCAATTCATACTCTCTGGATACGCCACGATATATCTTAAGGAGACATTTAATGATATCAATGAGTGGAAGAAGTCTTCACTTGTGGAGAATGTGTTACTCTCTTTAGTCAGATACCAATTCATGAAGAGTTTTGTGTTGATATCATTCCAGTACATTGATCATTTTATGTCACAGAGTATCGATGTTAATCAGATTAAAAAAGTGATGTGCGACGTAATAGAAATGATTCTTGATCCCAACCAAAATACTATGTCGTGGTACATCCCAAAACGTGTTGTGAATTTCATATTTGACGAAGAAAGCCAGAAACGGAGAAATATGAGTTGTTTTGCTTCGATGATAGAAAGTCAAATTATAACAGCGCACCGAACTGAATTGGGAAAGTTATGGGTGGAGGTGTTTATTGATGAAATGCAAAACACCGACAAAAGCCAGAGAAGTCAAATAGAACTGTTGGGGCAACATGTGGACAAAATAATTTTGGCGTTGCTCATTACTGACTTCAAAGAAACTTTTTATTGGACGAATGGTATTTGGAAGGAAAGGGATTTTGTAAAGAGCACAACATTTGGGAGAGCAAAGTATGCGTTGGATTTTTTTCATTATGTGAATTGTTTGGAAAAGAATGAATTAAGCGACGATATGATCAATCAAATTTGTGGAGATTTGAGAGAGTGCGGAACAACCCAACACTTGGGGGTCGAAAAAAATTTCATGCAACTCGGTGTTTTGTACTGTGTACAGCATTTGAATGAGTCGACTGACTTTGCTGAAGTTGCTGAGCTTGAGGAATTGATCAAGAAAAGCAGAAGGGACGGCTGGAAGGAAATGATAGAAATAATCGAGAAATGTAAAGAGGGGAAAGGGAAAGAAACACTTTTCAGAATGTATAACGTGCCAAATTACGTTGAAGTGCAAAACATTATGCAAAGAGAAGTGTATGACATTGCGGTGTTTTTTAGTGCTGGGTTTGATCGCGAAGAAGCTCAAAAGGAAATTGAAAAAAGTTGGGTTGGCGATGTCATGTTTTACGAAGAGAAACGATGGCGGTGCGAAAGTTCAACCACTAGAAAGATGGAAGACGAAAAGTATGAAGTAAAGGAGAAAATGTTTGATGAAAACGTGTTCTGTTTTGACAAAGAAGAAAGTTTTGACAAAGTCAAGAACGACTTTGATCAAGTATTGATGACGAAAGAAGGTACAGTCGACGACATTTTAAAGTTTTTCGATGTTATTAAAGAAACTCACAAGTGTGAGAAGTGTGGATATTTGAATGAAATTAGCAACGTTAAAATTGGGGACATTGACTTGTTTATTGGTGATCTATTGAAAACGCAGACAGACTTGACTAGCACTAAAGTAAATGTGTTGAGAGAGTTGTGTGAATTTTTTTACTCAATGATCAAATACAACAGAGTGAGAGAGAGCGAAAGTCAAGTTAAACAGTTCAAAGAGCTTATTAGTGAAAAGTACAAAAAGGCGGATGGTGTTGATAAATTGTTCTATGTGAGTATACTCGGAATGATTGACTTTTCGTGTTCGTTTGAAGGTGCTCAAGTAATGACCTTCTCGATAGATGAATCATCCAAATATTATTTTAACCCATTAGTCTTCGATGGGAAAAATCTGAAATTCTTAGTGTCAGAAATTAGAAGAGAAAAGAAGGATTACGAAAGCATAATAGAGTGGGAAAGGTGGATTAGAAGAATGTCTGATAGTGAAGTTGTTGCGATGGTTCTTTACTTGTTGAGAAATGGAGTGGAAAATTCGACACAAGGACTCCAGTCTATGATACACAGAGTCTGGTACTCAGTGATCGAAGAAATCATTTCATATTGTGTCTCAACAAATAATGATATGTGTGTTGGTGTAGTTAACGTTGAGTGGGACAGAAACGAGAGAGTACAAACGTTTTGTTTGAAAGCAAAAGAGAAAGTAATAATTCGAAAAGATGTTTTAGAGAGGAGTTTTGTGTTGATTGAATCGTACATATTGAGGGGAGCAAACTATGTAATAAAAATGCAAGAACTTCTATTACTGTTTGGTAAAATTGGGTATTTGTTATTAAACACGACATACTCCCCAAGATACACAAAATGCTTTCTGACCGTTTTACAAATGACGAGAAATTTGAGCGACAACGAGTTTGAGAAAATTACAAAACCAATGGCGATGAGCATTTGTGATGTGACAGTCATCAAATGTGTTTTTGATGCACAGCTTCAAATGTCAAAACGAGAGCAGATGTACAACTTTTTGAAGTGCATTTACATTTCTCCGAACACAAAAATAGCAGTTATGAACCTCGGCTATCTCTTGGATAAGGACGTGAGCGAGGGGAGTGCAAGTCTCTTTATTTCATTATTAAAAAACAGTTGGGAGGGTGTTGATTTTACACTTGTTCTCCGTGTTGAAAAAGCGATATTTTATTCCAATGAAATTGTTGATCACTCGGTATTATTTCGGCTGAAAAGTTTGATTGGCGACGACGTCAAAGTGAAACAAATATTAGTGAATCAAATCAAAAATGGTTTTAAGAACGAGACAAGTCATGTCCAGGTTCTTTCGAAGTGCCCGAAAGTTAAAGAAGAGAATTTTGAAACTTTCATCTCCTTTGTGTTCGACACTTTCAACGTTGTCGAATTTTGCGAAGAGCATAACATTTTCATCAACGACGTAATTGTGTTTGTCTGTGACGTTGTCACAACACTTGCAAATACTCTTGCGTTCCCAAGCGGAATTTTGAGAGTAATTTTAGAAAAGTATAATACGGCTGCTAAACTTCTTCAAATCACACAACGAATGGAAAATATCAAGGCACTCAATGGTATTTTCTCGCTTTTGTCGAGCAACAACACTTACCTCGTAAACGATTTTGAAAGACAAATTAAAGAATGTTGTCGTGAAGTTCCAAGGGAATGGTACCCAAACAATTTGAAAATCTTTGATGTATAATGAATTAATAAATTTTGTTATTTTAATATTAGTATAGTTTTCTATGTGTTGTTTAATTTATTTACAATTATGAATAGTTTATTTATTTATTAAAACTAAACATTTTTGATTATGTTATTATTATTATTTATTTTAGAAAATATAGATGTAATTTTTTTTTACAAAAATTCATATAATTATTTTTATAATTATTAAAAATTATAACTATTGTTTTTAAAGTTTTAATCTAAGAGTTGATTAAACTTGAAATTATTTTTTTTAAACTATATTGTTGTTTACCAAAAAAAAAGAATATTACTATAAATAAAAATATAATAAAAATGTAGAAATAAAAAGGGTTTTTATCACAATATTATAATTCAAAATGCAATTTTAGATTATTAATACCACAATAATTGAGTTTCAAAACACAATTATTCAATTTTGAAAAACATTTTAATTATCTGTTGACATTGATTAAAGTGAAAATCAATTACAATATTATAATTTATTAATTCATAATGTTGTTTCTATTCTTTTAAAAAACAAATAATTCCATTTCAAAAGAAATTTAAATATAATTATTGAAATATAGAATTAACTAATGTTTTAATATTAATTTTATTACTTATCCATAATGCAGATTTCAACTCGAAAGAAAGTCCTAAACAAAACGTGGCATTTCCAAAAAAATTACAAGAGTTGCAAAAAGTAACTTATTTTGATTTTTTCGAATTTGTTTACAGTGTCATCAAATTAAAATTTGTTAAATTTTGAGTGTTAAAAAACTTAAAATGAGTAGACAGTTTTCATTATCAGACTTTTATTTTTTTGGTTGTTTAAATTAAAAAATCTTGAGCACTTTAAAAATTACAAAAATGGCATCTCTGTCTCTTCTTGTAGCTTTCTTCTTTTCTTTAGTATTGTCAAGAGACTCTTTGGAAATTCACGTCTTTGCAATAGGACAAGCTGATTCTCAGCTGATAGTATATCCATCTGGTTACTCTATTCTAGTGGATGCTGGGGAGACCACTTCTGCATCAATGAACTGTAAGAAGATAGCAGACTGGATCAAAAGTATCTTAAATTCGACAAAAGTTGATGTTGGAGTTATTTCACACTTACACCAAGACCATGTTGGTGTTCCTTTCAAAAGCGGATTTTGGTATTTACTTGAGACCTCTGGGATATCATTTGGACAAATAATAGATAGAGACTCCGGTGTAGTTAAAAGTAATGTGACTGACTGTTCAACAGAAGATGACATTGATTGGCACAATGTTGGCAGTTTAACAACAACATCAATCGAGTGGGTTTGTTATGCAACACAAACCAAATTGGTCACAAAAATTCAGTCAAACAGAAAATTGGCATCTGCATGTTCAAATCAAATTACACCTCCAGATGTTGGGGCTTCTGTTGAAATAGTTGTTGTTGATGCATTAGGAGTGACATATAAAAATGTTCTCTTAAGTGGAGATCACCACACTGAATCTGCTCCTCCAAGTGAAAATGATTATACCATTGCACTTCGTGTTCAATATGGAGACTTTGTCTATTCAACTGCTGGTGATTTGGATGGCCAATATTCTCGTGGATCGGCATATTATTATCACGACATCGAAACATCATATAAAGATAAAGTTGGACAAGTTGATGTGTACCATGCTAACCATCATGGGTCTGATCACTCAAACAATGAAAATTGGATGAACACCTTAAAACCCACTGTCTCAATTGTTTCATGTGGAGCAAATAACAATTATGGTCACCCAACATTAAATGCAATGACTAATATGAATGTCACATCAAAGAAGATATATTTGACACAAGATTGCAACCCCACTGTCACTGATGGATTTGTAGATAATACTGTCATTGTGAATGACCAAATTATTGTGAAGTACAATAAAGGTGAAAATTATTTTACTGTTACAAATTCAATAGAATCGTTCACTGATACTTTTGATGTCATTCAAGACAAACCACAAAGACAAAATTGTGACTAGTGCAGTGGTAATTAAACTTTTGTTGTATCTTTTTGGATTCTATTATACCAAGTATTGGATCTTCTGCAATTATTTAATAATAGTAAATACTAATAAGAATTAATATAATATTTATTCAATATTTTTAAGTATATAAAATATAATAAATTAATACTAACATATTAAAACCCATAACGTTGAATTCCATGAAAACCACAAAAAATGAATTACACTTGTTGTATAACATTGTTCTGTACTTCCGAAAGATCTTTCATTTGTACGACAATGAAGTGCTTCGGCACAAAGTTCTGTGAACCGCACAGCACATTTGACATTCCTTTATAATCGAATGAATATTGATCACAGTAACACTGTCCGCTTCCTTTTTTGAATAAAGCGATATCATGTCCTCCACCAACACCACACAACTCTTCATTTGTGTCGCCATATAACATAAACTGAGAGTTTTGGTCAGTCGATAAAAACTTGGTAGGGGTAGTGAGTTTAGTCTTGGAAACCAACGAGAAGACAAATCCATTTTGGTCGTAAAGGTATTTCTCTCTTTCATTAATTTTGGTCTTAACAAAACCCCCAAATTTGTTACCTTTTGTATCTTCGATGACCAATAATATACTCTCTTGATTAAATACCTTTTCCGCAAAGTCGTTTTTGGTCTTCTCGAAGTTGTCTGTCAACGAGTCGAAGATGACGTCCGTTGCTTTCATCGACGTCCATTCTTCGATTTTTCGAAGGTCGGCAATTGAAAGTATTTCGTGTGTTTTTTCAAAGAGGTTTGTGTTCAAAAAAGACGTCTCCAGTTGCTTTCTTCGCTCTTCAAATTCTTTTTTCCTGTTCAGAATCCAGTCGTTCTTCGGCTTAATTTCTTCTTTCATCTTCTCTTCTTCAAGATAGATGACCTTTTTTATTAATTCGTTGCTAGTCTCAGCGTCTCGAGTTTCGTTCTGTTTACTTGTGTTAACCAAATCTTCGACAAAGGAAAGTGTAGTCTTGATCACTCCTATCGCATTCTCACTGACTTGAATAACATTCTTTCGCTTCTCATTAATGTTATTTATATTATTTAATAAATTCTCGATCTTGTCGATTGCTTGCTGCGTCGTTTCGTTGGGCAATTTTCGAGTGCTGTCTTGACCTATAAATTCTAAATAGTTTTGTGCTTCTTTTTGAGTCTCTGTGAGCAATGTAACCATCTCACCAAGCTTCGTCACTAACGAAGAAAAATCGCGTTTGTCGTCCTCACTCATTAAAAAATTACAGTTCCTTAGATTCTTTATTATATCTAAAATCCCATTCAACCTTGAAATTCTTTTCACATCGATTTCTGGTTATTTATAGAAAAAGACGTGGTGACTCTCTTCTTTTTTGTTTGTTTTATATTAGATTCTAAGAGTTATACAATTTTACTATAATTTTAATTATATTCAACTTTTTGTTTCAAGTTGCTAATAATTTTATATAAGTACATTCTATAATATCACGTAGAATTGATCAGGTCACAAAAACACTTTTTAATTATAAAATATATAAAATAATAACTATATATTCTATTTGCTGTTCATTCGAAGCAGTTTCATTATGAATTCATTATTGAAATGACAATTTTAAAGTCCTTTCAATAGAATTGTCTCGAGTTGACCGACCAATCAACACACATCATCAATGCTCATTAGTATCAAAAAAGATGGGCAATTTTTTTGCCTATCATTGTGAGTTGTTGGGACACACTGGATGTGTGATGACTGTTATGTTGATTTTTTCATCTTAATGTAATTATGAATCACATCATAAAAGATCAATTGAATTGATCTCTGATAATGTGGACATAGTGATTACTCCCCTTTATCTCACATGAATCATAACAATAAATTATAATTTAATTTATTATTATTTGATAGTTGTTTTTAACATTTTTACACTTGTTTTTCACTTTAATAATAAAAACAGTTACATTTTAACTATAAAATGTAACCGTTTTATTTATTTTATTAACATAAAAATATAATAAAAACAAAAATAGATGATATGGTTGGGTTGAATAAATAATAATAATTTAAACCATTCTCAACAAACTCATTGTTATTGCTTTTATAAGCTAAGGCGACATTCAACACTATAAATTTATAAATAAAAATTACATAAACAATAAGAAATTTTGAATGAATTAGAAGCACTTTCTGTGGACGATGGCTGGTCCAGACTCGTCGTACTCTTCCTTGGTGATCCACATGTTCTGGAAAGTGGACAACGAAGCAAGAATTGAGCCTCCAATCCAGACGGAGTACTTTCTCTCTGGTGGTGCAATGACCTTGATCTTCATTGTTGGTGGGGCAAGAGCAACCATCTCCTTCTCAAGTCTGTCGTTGATACCTGGGTACATTGATGTTCCACCAGACAAGACGATGTTTCCGTACAAGTCCTTTCTGATATCGACATCGCACTTCATGATTGAGTTGTAAGTTGTCTCGTGGATACCTGATGCTTCCATACCAAGGAATGATGGCTGGAAGAGTGCTTCTGGGCATCTGAATCTCTCGTTTCCAATGGTGATGACTTGACCATCTGGAAGTTCGTATGACTTCTCGAGTTCTGATGATGAGGCAGCCTTCTGCATCTCTTCGTTGAAGTCAAGAGCGACGTAGCAGAGCTTCTCCTTGATGTCTCTGACAATTTCTCTTTCAGCAGTTGTGGTGAAAGCATAACCTCTTTCAGTCAAGATCTTCATGAGGTAGTCAGTGAGATCACGACCAGCAAGATCAATTCTGAGGATGGCGTGTGGGAGTGAAAAACCTTCATAGATTGGGACGCAGTGAGAGACACCATCACCAGAATCCATGACAATACCAGTGGTTCTACCAGAGGCGTACAATGAAAGGACAGCCTGAATTCCAACGTACATGGCTGGGACGTTGAAAGTCTCAAACATGATTTGTGTCATCTTTTCTCTGTTAGCCTTTGGGTTCATTGGGGCTTCAGTCAAGAGGACTGGGTGCTCTTCTGGTGCAATTCTGAGCTCGTTGTAGAAAGTGTGGTGCCAGATCTTCTCCATGTCGTCCCAGTTGTTGACAATACCGTGCTCAATTGGGTACTTCAAAGTCAAGATACCTCTCTTTGATTGTGCTTCATCTCCGACATAGGTGTCCTTGTTGCCCATACCAGCCATGACTGAGACTTGTTTTGGTCTGCCAACAATTGATGGGAAGACGGCTCGTGGGGCGTCATCACCAGCAAAACCGGCCTTGCACATACCGGATCCATTGTCTACGACAAGTGCTTGTACTTCTCCTTCTTCTCCCATTTGAATGTCTTCTTCTTTCAAGTTTGTAGCTTATATATTGTTTGGTTAAAGTTTGGTGTTAGAGTTATCGTTAGTCAGTTCTTTTAGTTCGCCGAATAGTTTTGATGTTTTTGTATTGGTTTTTTTAATAATTTCCATATTATTAGAAATAGATATTATAAAAAACATCCAACAATACATGAAATGTTATTTGATGGTGTTACTACACGCGTATTTAAAAAATGTTATTCAAGAAATTCAACAAACAAAAAAAATCAATAAAAGAAATATAACCACTTTCAACATTGTTTTAGTTGAAAGTATTTAGAGTCTCCCTTAATATTGGGTTGATAAGGAGACATACATAGTATTTAATCCACAGTGTATAATACAGCTGTGGGACACTGAAACACACTTGTCAGTTGAGCATTGGGAAATTGGTTATTCCCCATTGCCATATAAAAACAAGGTGTGTCCATACTAAGTGAATTGGTTTGAACCGATGTATCGGTTTGTTTTTCATCTATACCAGAAGACTGTGTTTCTTGTGTATTAGAAACGCTAGAACTCTGTTGATAATCATAAAGGTTTTCGGGTTCAGTTATCAGTGTGTTGTAGAGTTGGCATATAGAAAGGTTATAAGGATCTAAAGTGGCCAAGTTTTGCCTTCTTGCGTAGTGTGTCTTAGGAAGTGTTCTGATAATGCCAATCACACCAACCCCAAATTCTTTGAACCCCTTCTCAGAAAATGGAACCATCCGTGCATACTTCACTTGTCCTATTTGTTTCTTGCTTGAGTGTGCCTTTCTTGCTTCAGAGCCCAATTCAAAAGTTTCAGCCAGCCATCTTGCAATAAAATTATATATTTGGGCGTCTTCATTCTTCTTGGTCTTTCTGTCCGCATCAACAATCCTTGCAAACGACGGAAACAACGAAGAAGATGCTATTGTGAGGTGGTCTGAGTTGATGAAACTTTTGTCCTTTAAAACAGGACACTTGATTCCAAAGGATGCACCATAACAATTGGCAAGACCAATAAGTGCTGCATTACTTAAGTACTCACGCTGGGTGCTTTCTCTTTTAGAAATGGTATTTTTCTTTAAAAACGAGCATGACTGAGACAATTCCATCTGTGTCACTTTTTCAATGAGTTTCCAGTAACTCAAGTAGCTTTTTATTATACAGATAGAAGAAAAAAGAGATGACAAGGATAAAGTCGGTGACAAAAATTAATGTTTTATAAAACAAAATAACAAAAAAATCAAAATAAAAATTTGTAAAAACCTTTTTATTACATGGAAATTGAACCAACACTACCTGTCAATCCTCTCGCCCCAAATGATGTTCATGTTGTTATGCCTTTGAAGCTCGCGGACATTCTTTCTTGTCGCTTTCTGGAGCAATTATCAGAAGATTTGGGCTCTGGAAAAAGCAAAAAATTGATTAGAGGACTTATGAACTATGAAGAAATGACGCACAATGTTGAAAGTGTGAAAGAACAATTAAAAGAAGTCAATCAATCAAAAAATTCTCTTTAAAAGACGTTTTGAATGCACAATAAATATTGCAATTCTTTATATTTGATGAATTGTTTTTTCGCTTGGAAACCCGAAGGGAGCAAATAGCAACAGTCTTTTCAATTCTAAGAGGAGAGTCTTTTGTCATTTATAGATCAGTTGGAATTTTGTTCAATTCACATTTAAGTCTCATTCAAAAGGAAATTACCGAATACAAGAAAGAACAAACAACTGGAAGAAGGACAACAATGGGAAGACCGACATTCTTTGACAAAAGAACCAAATTTTTAGCTGACGCATTTGTCAAATATTGCAATAATCAAAAATAGCTTTGACATTTGCAGCATTCTCTAAACTGGTTGAAAGAACAACTGGAACAACGTTTAAACCAGATACAATGAGAAAGTGGGTTCTCAAAACGTTTGACCTCAAAACAATCGAAGGGAAACCGGAAGACATCGGACGATTATCAATAAACCCCGAGGACATCATAACGAATTACATGGAGATGGCAGACTTTAATGGTATAAATAGTGGTCTTGTCTTTAACAATGATGAAGTTGGTTTTCAAGACTTTTGCGACAAGAAAACCGTCAGAGTGCTTGTTCCCAAAAATGTTGACGTTGAAAGGATTAAGATTGGTGTTGGAAGAAGTGGTAAGAGATCCACTATTATCTGTATGATATGTTTGGATGGCACTACAGCGTGTCCCGGTGTTGTAGTGACCAATAAAATGCTTGATATTAAGCTGTTGTCAACGTTTTCTGATGCAACCTTTTTCACCAACAACACGGGATTTGCAACCAAGGAAATCTTCTGCAACTGGATGATGAATGTAGTGGTTGAATACATCAAAGCCAAAAGAATTTTACTTCGACTTCCACCAGACGCGCCTGCACTGATCACCATCGATGATTTTTCTGGACACAATTACGATGAATTGAGTACACAATTGGCACAATCACACATCAAAATTCATAAGTATATACCACACTGTTCTCATTTGGTGCAACCCTTGGATCTGTGCCTTTTCTGTTCAGTGAAAAAACAATGTTCAAACAGAACTCCCCTTTTCAAAACCTCTGTTTCATCTTCTGAATTGACGAGATCGTTGCATCCAACAACACCTTCCACAGTCCCAATCGTTCCAAATACCTGATTAGAGCACAGAGGTGAGCAACAAGGAGTTGATCTCAATGTTGCAATTCGAGAAATAATTGGTTATTTAGCAGATGCAAATAACGTGGCAACAGACGCAATTCGAGAGAGAGGACAGAGAATGGAAAGTGGGAAGAGACTTACCAACACAATTACCACAATACTGTCAAGCATCGACAGAGCAGCAACACATGAGACCATTATCGCGTCGTTTCAGAGGGCAGGAATGGTTTCTCGTTATGTTGAAGGCGCTTTCCGCCTTTTCATTGATATAAAAAGTGCTTCTAGACTTGTTGAAGAATTTCAGACTTTTTTCCAGACAACAGTATTTCCCAACCAAACAACAATGACAAAACTCACAGCTCCCAACAACGACGTTAATGTCATTAACATCGCAGACCTTAACCCAAAGCAAAAAAGGATGACAAACAAAACAAAGGTCTGCCACATCAAAGCAATGGCAAGGTCCATTGTCCTCGATCCATCCAACGAAACCTTAAACGAACCCATTCTTTCAAGAATAGTAAGATTATACGGAGAACAACCCCATTCTAATGAACCTATGAGACTGTTCCCCATTACAATTTCCAACCAAACTCGTTGGAAACCTTTGAGCTCGATGACAGTGACTGGGAGGGTCTTAATTGAGTCTCTATTTTCTTTGAATCTCGGTTTTCCTTTTTTAAGTTCTTTTTTATTAAGATTGTTTTTTTTCTGAAAAGTTTGAATACACTTTTGCATTTTTTGTGTTATTAAAATTCTTGGTCTTTTTTTGCCTCAATTCTTTGGAAAACAACGAAAAAATAGCAAAAGTGTGTCGTCACCTACTTTACCTTTACCATCCATTTATTGGGATTAATAACCCATACCAATAGAGAAAAAAACATTTAACTGGAAATATCCTCGAAATAAATGGGTTATTTATACTTTGTCACTGACTTTATCCTCCATTTGTTGTTAGTCTAACAACGTTATCTGGTACCTTTTGGACCATAAAGATTGGAATATTTCGGGGAGCAGTCCCAAAAATCCATCCCAATTGTTTCGGGTTTTTTCACGTTTTACCTAATGCCCGGTGTTTAGACCAAAATACAGCCATTAAATTTTGATCAGATAATGTTGTTAGACTGACTCTTGAGTCATTCTCTAAACGTTGTCCCTCAGTTTTTAGATATTAATAACTGGAATATATCGGGAAATTTTTCGAAACGCCAGAAAATCATTGTTTCAGTTTTTTACCGTTTTAATGATTTATCACCTATTTCCCATTTTTTTAAAGAATTTTTTGTGTATTTTATGCTAAAGGGATAACGTTTAGAGAGTGACTCAACTAAACTTAAACTTTATAAGTTTTTCCTTTACTATAATTATTATAAAAAACTATGACAATAATAAATAAGAATTATTGATTGTTGAGGAATTATAATAAAATTAGAAAATGAAATTTTTCATGAGGTTATAAAAAGAATTAAAATATAGGTAAGTTATAGTTATATGAGCTATTGGTTATATTAATAATATTGTTATTTATTTCCAATAAAAAATATAAATAATTAGTTACAGACAGACACACCTTTAGCCAATCCACACAAGTAAAGGTATTGTCCATATGGTATGTCATGTAACATTTCAGCGTTGTTCACACAACAGTTTTCACAAATTTCAATAGAGACGTTTTCAATTTTTAAAGGCAAATTGATAGATTTGAGGTGATTACATTGTCCGATTTCTAGGTCTTTCAACTTTTCTCCCGTGAAGAGTCGTTTCAATGTTGACAAACAGGCGAGTTGGAGTTTTGTAACATTTTGTGGGACTTTTATTTCTTCAAGATTCACTTTACATAGAAATATATTTTCCAAGTCGTCATTTAAAGGGGGGACAGGAGAACTTGTGACAGACAGTTCCTTCAATTTGAGTGTTGGGAATGCGTCTTTTGCGACACAATTTCTCAACACGAGTTGTGTTAAATGCTTGCAGTTATCCAGACAATGTGGGAACAAAGAACATCTACTCAATGACAATTCGACAACAGTAGTTACCATTTCTGACACTTCATTTCCAAAAATAGTTGCAGATATCACGTCGCACAGTTTTGGAATTTTCGACGCAAATGGGATTTCAATATTTATCGTCTTGTGTGGCAACACTATCTTATCACAGTTATTGAAACCGAGATATTTCACGTTTTCAGGAACAACAACTTCGCAATCTATGTACGCCAAAACAAGTTTAATGATATTACTTGGTAGTTCTGGTATAAGTTCCATATGTTTAATAATAAGACTTTCCATTTGTATGGGAAATCCAGCAATATGATTCACGTTTTCAAGTATTGCTCTCTTCAATGTGCATATCATGGGGATGTCTACTTTAACATTTCGAATTTCACAGTTGCACAAATTGGTGAGCGGTGTGGTCGTGAGACTTTTCCGTGCAAAATTGGGTAAATTCACCAAGACCAAATTCCTCAAAACTTCGGGGAAGTTCATTGAAACCAAATTTGTTGCTTGGACAACAGTAAGTCCGGTGACACTTTCTGGTACAAACAAGAAATTTTCCAAGTCACAGAATATCATATTCAACTCGAGTAAATTGGGTAACACTGGAAATGTAAATTGTGGTGTTCCAACAGTCAAAGAGAGAAGACTTGTTGGGAGGAGAACATCAAGTTTTGGAAATTCTGCACATGGGATCACCAATGAGTAAAGTTCGATGTCTCGCAAGTCCAAGTCGATTTGGTCTTCGTCAATTGATGTTGGACCAAATTGGAAAAATGGGACATCATATGAGTCTACCATTCTCTTAAACCGCTCGATATTTTCAGTAGTAGGAAAGTCGATAGGAACAACTAAGTGATACTTATAAGGGACAAGAAATGCTCGTTCTTTAATTAATGAGATGTGGAGTTTGTTGAAACAACACACTACTTGTATTGTTTTATCAATCGAGCGCAATAGGGCCAAACTCAACTCTTCAACCTCATCGATGAAATACACCACAAACTTTGTGAGAAACTTAAAATTGTCTTTGAGTGAATTCACAAATTGTACAATTTGTTTTGTACATTGTGCTGGAGTGAAAATTGTTAATTCGAATTTATGTGGGAGGTGTTGTGGAATGATATAGTCGAAGGAAAAGTCGCTTGAAATTCTAAGAACAAGTGATTTTAGGTGTTGCATATTTGGTAAACAAGTGAAGTGTTCACAAAATGATGTACTGTCTAAAGACACGTCTAAAGCTGATACTTTGCTTGCTATGTAATTTAAGTAACTTTTTGTATTGTTATTTAATTCGTTACACTGAGTTTTGATATTATTAATACGCTGAATATGTTTGTGGTACTTCGACAAAAATTCGAGAGGTGCTTGAATAGTTTCCATATGTTGAATGACTTGAATGAACTTGAATAATGACTTCTCATCGAGACAAGTTGGATTAGTCAAGAAAAAGTTTTCAATGCAAGTGTTGTGTGAGACAAGAACTAAATTTTTAATATCATCAAATGATTGAAAATAATATGCTACATTCAGTAAAAAGCACTTTTCTAGTCTTGACATGGTGTATTGTGATTTATATTTTACAGTTATAACTTCTTTACTTTTCGATTTAAAAACTCGTTAAAAATCAATTATCAACAACACAACATTTAGTCCTTCTTGATAGTTTTACGCTTTTTAACAAGCAAAAGCCCACACTTGAAACAGACTACAAGTATTATAAGAACACCTATTATAAGAAGCGTCACACCCACCCAAAAAGTTTTGTCAACAGACTCTCCAACATTTAAAAGTCCACCCTTTTTGTTATTGTAGTCATTTTTCACACGAAAAGCCACTGTCAAAACAATAAGAAGGGAAATTGTGAACAGCATTTTCTTTTAGAGTTTTTAAGTCTTTAACATCACCAAAGACTTGAAAATCAATTAATTCCATTCATCATTTTTTGTTTTTCATTTGTTATTGTTAAAAAATAAAAATTTATTTATATTATTAAAACAAAACTATTCAAATAATATTGTTTATATTGGAACGTAAATTTACTCCCAAAATTAAATCTTAATAAAATTTAAAAATTATAAACCGGTAAAATTCGTTATGGAAAAAGGATGAAAATTTTAAAACAAAATTGAATAATACAACAAAAACAGGCTGCAACTTTGGAAATTTGTTTTTTGTCAACTAGTAAAAACATAAATAAAAAATAAAATTATTTTGATAAATTATATTATTATAAATATAAAAACTATAATTGTTATAATTAATTGTATAGAAAAACAAAACAACAATTATTTGGTAAGGAAGCTAAAAAAAGAAATACAAAAATGGCAGTGCCATTTATCTTTTCCATATTATTTTCAGGCTTTTTAAAGTCTGTTTTATTTGCTTTATCACATTTGATAAAAACTAATCCACTAACTGTCAATAAAATATAAGATGATCCATTAATTAAATAATAGTAAATTTTTATTTATATATAGTTTTAGAGTAAACAAATTTTAAAACATTTTAAAAAAAATGATTCATAAAAAACGTTAATTTTGATATTTTGTGAACAAAATTATATTTTTTTCTTGTTTTATATAGAACAATTATATTATAATGATATATATACTATTAGTATATCCTTATTATTTTTATAAGGATTTGGTGGGAATGTTATTTCAAGCGGTTATGTTTCTAAGTAATTGTAAACCATTAATATAGCGTTATGAACTTAACGAGGAGTTCCTTCAGTTTTTAGAATCAAAAAACCCGAAATAGATAAAATATACAAAAACATGCAGACAAATTCTAAAATATAGTAAAGTAACAATAGACATTATGGTACAGTAATTTGAAATGATTTTCTTTGAGCACAGCAATTTTCGAAAAGAGAAATGGAAGCAAAAAGAGCTGACTTCCGCTTTGAAAATATAAATTGTGTTTTTGAATTCATTTGCGGCGGTATAAAGTCATTGAATAGGATCTGCCCACACTGTTAAGCCGTAATCCCATCAATATACACAAAATCCAACTAAAATAAACAAGAAAATTCAAAAATGCCAAAAGAATCGAATTATTTGCATACTCCAGCCGGAATCTTCTAAACCCACCCGAACACTCTAAAAAGAAGAGGCCTTCATAATAATTAAAATCAAAAATAGTACAAATCAATGGATAATAGAACGAAACGACGTATTTAAACGGGACATTTGGACACGACAAAAAGAGTTAAGTATTTTATAATTTTCTTTGTTTGAAAAGTCTCAAACGTTCACATAGCTTTGAATACTTTTTGAATAACTAGAATATCAGATCTCTTCAGTCGCCATGATATCCGTCTCACAGTCCCTTGCTAAGCCAATCCCACAACAGAAATTCGTGTATGAGAGGTTTGTTCTCCACCACTCAAACAAAGACGTTTGAAGTAACAACTAGTGCTTCTTCATCTCTTATGTCCACTGAGAACTCTTACAGTTCAATGGCGACCGGTCTCTCCTTTTATCAAAACTACGGACAACAAACACAACACGAATGTATCGTCCCGCCACGAAACGAGAATCCCATCCCGTATGATTTTAACTTCGACTGCGGAAGTTATGACTCCAACGCAGGATCCTTTGTCAATGGATTTGTCCCTTTTCACAACGATAAAGGAATGGCATTTTGACATCACTCTGTATCTAATTTTTATTAACTCCTCTTTACTTGGTTTATTATATCCATCATTACTTAATGGGCATTTTCTTTCTTAGTCTTCCATGTATGCTCAAAAGTAGAGACTGGTGTTATGTGTTGTGATGTATTTGCCACAATTTATAAATAACTATTTATAAATTCAGAATAAACCATTTAATTCTAGTTTATAAATGATTATTTTACCATATTTAGTATAAAAAAAAGTTGAGTTCTTTCAATTTTGTCGATCAAGTTGATCATTGAAGTAAAATGAAAACAAGATTAAAAAAATTACATAATTGTGAATAATATTTTTTGCTTATTTAACTTAAAATTTTGTTATTGTGTTAGAAAAAAGAAGTAATATAATTGTTATAAATAAACTAATAATAAATATAAAACAAGAAGTTACATTTCGACATGGCATTGTCGAAAAATCTCCAAGAGTTCAACATAGTCGTCTCGTTGGAATTTCGATGGATTCGAAAAGATGACACTTCTCAAGTCTCCTCTTACACAAAACGCGCCAAAAAACCGTTTCAAGTTGTCATCAGTACATTGAGTAAACGTCTGCGTCTTATTGATGACCCACCCTGTTTCAGCAATCCGCTGTTTTTTAAGAAAAGAGTACACATCTTTGTTCACGCCAACAAACTTGACTGATATAACCTTAAGACCGTCAGTGAGTAATTCGAAGTTCTCAAAGTAATGCATGAAGAGCAAATCGACGTTCATACCAACGTTCTTGATAAACACTATATTTGACTTGATATGTGATAAGTCGGCTTGAATGATGCAATACGTCATTATCATTGGAAACAAATTGTCGTTCTCAAATTTCTCGCCAAGGTAATAACAAAACTGTTCAACGACCTTCATAGCACAAAACACACAAACTGCTTTCCCACTTGCTGTTCGAACAGTATCTATTTTCCTCAGTAATTTCACTACAAATGGTACTATCACATTGAACGAATCTAATGGCCCTAAATACCCATAGTCTCGTGGTGTAAAATACAAGTGCTCCGAGCACGTCGTCTGATACAAACAGTCATGCACTTCACAATCGAACACATCGACCTTTTCAAGTGCAAGGATCGATGGCGGCCAAAAGCACCGATACAGTTTCGCAACTAAGAAGTCATCCAAACAACTCTGAAACGCCAATTTATTGAAACCCGCATCATCGTTCCACATCACATCATTCTTAACAAGTTCAGTCATTTCCTCCAAAAATTCGGTTAAGAGGAGCCGTCGGTCTCGAAGTGATTTGTTTTCGACTAACCCCGGGAAGTTGGTGATGAATTGCATCATTCTCTTGACAATATGTAACGAGTCGTTGTACGACATTTTCGAATAGAATTTGGCGATGTCCATCTCCGTTTGTCGCAACGATTGCATGCGATTCTCAGAGAAGTCCAAATGAAAGTATTTTGGAAATCGCCCCGAATGAACCATCTCGTCCTTCTCCTCCTCCGCCTCAATGCATGGAAGTAATTTCCTGATTTGTACAAAGCACGTCTCAAGCTCCATAAACTGCTTGAATAACGAGAAGCTTGGCGGTGAAGTCATTTGGACGGGTTTGACCTTCCAGTTCCAAGGCACTTCATTCTCGCAAATAGGAAATTTGATGAAGAGTGTCATCACCTTAAAATTACCATGAGAGAAGTAGTCCAGTCTTGAGACTTGTGTAGAAAAGATGGGGAAAAGTTCATTGACAGACTTCATTTTAAAGTTGAGTAAATCAGCGTCATGTTCGTCGCGATAAGGACTCGCAAAGACACAAACTTTTTGCCCATTGAATTTGCCACAGATTCCATTGAGTGACACAAATTGGAAATTGGGTGATATGTAAATGATATGTGAGAGTAAAAAAGTGTTCGTGATAGGGATATCCTTTAACAATATAGCTGGTGGTAAGAGTATATACATTCTATTGTGAATGACATAGTCGAGTAAATTAACGTGTTTTTTAAGAGCCTCGATCACGGGATGATTCATATCAATTGACTCTCTAGAGACCGTTGGGGACTCTTTTGTTTGTGGAGTACTTGTCCATCCACCAAAAGACTTAACGACTGAAAGAGTGGAGTGTGCTTGTTTGCGAAACATAGTAACACTACTAATTAATATTTAGTTATTTATAAGTTCAGTTTTTGGTCGTATCAAAAAGTGTTATCCAACGTGTTTTGAAAAGAATTCAAAAAATGAATTTCTTACGAATAGAAGAAATCTGATATATCTTTTTTTAACCTTTCAATCATTGCCGAGGTCTTCACCATAGATAGTTGGACCTCAAACGGTTTATCTGGTGACCCTTCGATACTCACTTCAAAATGCAACAAACACTCTTCGTCGACTATCCCTTTCACCACGATCTTTTGTCGCTTTGGCTGTGGAGGTATCTCTACACTCATTGATGTGACAAATTTAACACCAGCAGCGGTGCTATAGACAAGCACTTCTTTAGGCCCTTTGTACACGCAAAGTTTGAATTTACTGACTTGAGGGTTGACTATATATTTTTTAACAAACTCTTTTGGTATTTTCTCATCTTGTGCAAGGAACACATCGATCAGCGATTCAGACACCTCAAACCCCAACGAATAAGGAGCTGACTCGATTTTAGTTTCTAAACTAACGGTATCATTTTGCATGAATGAGTAATAACTTGCTCCTTTGCATACCATAGTGAGGGGGTCAAAGTTACCATTTCCGCCAAAGCAGAGGACTTTGTTCTTGCTGTTATTTTTATCAAAAATATTTATAATTGCGTCTCTGACTGGGGGCATTAAACATGTCCCTCCCGTTAATAAAACCTTTTCGATTTGATTGGGCTTTGTCCCTGAACTTTTCACAAATTTATTGATCACTTCCATGGCGTTGTCCAGTATAGTTTTGAACTTTTCATTCTGATAGAACGTGTCCCGGTCTATATTAAGAGTATCTTCCGTCTTAATTTCATTGAAGTAATTGCCCAGTTCTATTTCAACACATTTCTTTGTTGTTAATTGGATCTTCACAGACTCTGCTAACTTCCGCAATTTGACACGACGCGCCTTCTTCATCATTCCAATTGTAGTAAGTTGACATGATGTTTTGTCGAAGAACACGCCAAGTCCCTCGTCTTGTGCTATTTCCTCAATTTTTTGTTTGAGAATTTCTATCATCACCAAATCGAAATCATTTCCACCGATGTTCTGGTCGCCTCCACAATTAAAAACGTCAATTTTGCCGTTTATAATTCGGCAGAACGCAACGTCTAAAGTTCCTCCACCAAAGTCAACGACGGCAAACACTTTATTATCCAAATCCTGTATTTTGGCCTCACGTAAATACTCTAAAACAGCACAACTCGGTTCTTGTAATGTGAAAACCGGCACTTCTATGCCTGCAAGTGTCGCAGCGTTTTTTGTTGCTTGGATCTGGTGAGGACCAAAGTCCGAAGGTGTTCCAATAACAACACGCTCTATTTCTTTAGTGACCAAATTGTCTTGTACAATTGAATACAAATATTTCAATACTAACGCTGATATTTGTTCAGGTAAAAACGTTTTTGGTTTGTCTGTCCTGGGATCAGTGATTTGAATACCACAACTATTTGTCCCGGGGTAGTCGACTATTGTAAACGGGAAGATCTTCGTCGTATCTTTGATGACATCTGATACAGGACGCCCAATTAATCGTTTTACATCAAATATTGCCATGTTCTCGTTTGTATCATCCTTTGCAGATATACCTACTAATAGATTTCCTTTGTCTATTTGCGAATAGTTCACCCATGATGGAACAGAACACAAATTGTTAACCGAGACAACAACAGGACTGTTTGTGATTTCATCAAAATATCCGATTGAACAGTACGTTGTCCCGAGATCTATCCCTACACTAATCTTTTTTTCAGGAAGTGCCATTGTTTTATGATTTTCAGTTCGAAACGATTACTTATATTCCGTCTTGGTTATTTACTTTGCAATTTTAAACATCATTCGTTATATCATTTGTTGTATAACTTTTTTTAATTGTTCTATTAAATCAATAATAATACTTTTGATTGTTTTAAAAAAATTCTGCAAAAACAAATTTTTGGAATAACAAGTTGATGAAATATTAATCATTCATTTAATTATGTTTTTAATTGTTTTTTTGTTATTTAATAACTTAAAAAATACACTCATTGATTTTAATTTATTTTACTATTTTTTGTATTAAAAGTAATACATTGAAATACAACAATTCAAATCACAAAAGAGATTTAAAATATTTATTCAAAATGAATAATAGTTGTTTTATTATAAGTATTATCATGTAATAGTATTATACCTGACAGCTTTTGTCGTTTAATTAAAATGAAAAAAACAATTATTTAAAAACAACAACAAAAAACACATAAATAGTAATTATTAATTAAAAACAATTACAGTATGTGAGAAAAGTATGTGAGAATGAGAAAACCCTGTGGATTCAACAAAAATTACATATTTGTTTTTCTTTTTTTAAATAAAAATGTTTTTCTTTAAAAAAACAATCTAAATAATATAATTATGAGCTCCAGGAATGTTGCTTTTAGTGGCTTAGACCATACAACACTTGAAAAGAATTTAAAGTATTGTCCTGGTCCAGTGAAAGAAATAGCCCAAAGAACATTCAGCAAACATTGCAACTTTTGTGAATTGCCCCTGAATGTTCAGGTGTATTTGATGAATATTGAAAGAGAAATTTTCAATGGAATGAATACGGAAAAGGTGACCGAGAGTAAACTATGTAGAGTCTTTGCTTTAACTTCAAGTCAGTTTAATATCAACAAACGAAGAGGTATGGAGACGGCATTGTTTGGAAAAAAAGATAACGGAAGACCGTCACTTTTAACTGAAACACAATGGGAAATTGTCAAGAATTTGATTCTTGATAATGAAAAGTTTCCAGGAAAATGCAAAGCTATCAGCATAACTTATTTGAGGTTGTTTATAATAAAAACCTTCAACGTTGATGTGTCAAACCATGTTATTTATGATAAAATACATAAAAATTGGAACTTTTCGATTGTTACTGTGTTTGCTGAAGACCAATCTCGATTGACCTACGACGAAGATGCCGTGTTGAAGTATTACATTGCACTGCCACTTTTTTAAATGGCATCCCATCACCATTTATTTTGAATTTGGATGAGTCAGGGTATCAGCCATGGCCAGACAGGCAAATGGTGAAGGGAGTATTCACTGCTGGTTTTTCCACAGACAGTAAAATGAAATATGGAGTCGAACGTGACATTGCTCGATCCACTGTCGTTTGCACTATTACCCCCTCACAACCTCTTCCTTGTATGATTGTAACAAAATACAAAAGAGTTGCAGTTGAATTCTTGAAATTGGGTTGGATGGAAACGGGAAACATCGTCAGTTATAGTAAAAACGGTTTTATCAACAGTGACCTATTTATACATACATCAACGACGTTGTAGTACCTTATATTGTCGACATGAGAATTAAGACTGGTTATATTGATAAGGCAGTGCTGATATTTGATCAGTGCACGTGCCACTCAATCGAAGATGTGAGGTTGTTGCTCAAGTCGAATGTCCAAGTCAACGAGAAAATCATCAACGTGAACTGTGAAATCATATGTTTGGTGCCTCACACCTCACATTTAACACAACCATTAGATGTTGGGGTGTTTGCAGCCCAAAAAAGAAGACTGAATTCGTTGTATGCTAAGTTCAGAGATGTCATAAAAATTAAAGATAGAGTTGGCGAGGAAGAAACAACAACGACAGAAAGTGAAGACGTTGAAGAAAAAGAAGAGTCAGATGATGTGATTGGAAACCAAGATCCCATTGAAGAACTAATAATACCTCAACAGTTTAAGGAAATGTTTCAGGAAGTGCTGGCAAATCCACAAGAAGCGATATCACCATTTAAAAAGAAGGCTGGTACGACTGTCAACGAAAGGATGGTGGATGACAACCAATCAGAAGATCGCAACGAAATACCAAATGAAACTAAAATTGTTGAATTCGGTGATGGAGAGGACTTAGAAAAAAAGTTTGCCAAATACCTCAACTCAATTCTGAAGTCTTATTTCCAAACAACCACTCCGGATGTGTTCACGCAGGCTTTTAGGCAAGTTGGTATTGATTTCAGAATTGTTGATAGTGGTATGAGGGTTGCGTATGTGGATATTGGAGTCTCACGCAGAGTAACAGCAGAAATACCGAAACTGTTAAGTATACCACAGTTATACTCGATTGAATGCGTCAAAACCAAAAGCTTGAAAATATCTGCAGTTCGAAAGCTTCCAATGTGTTTTGAGGGTTATTCGTGTCAGTCTGTTTGCAAGCCGTTAAAAAGAAAAGAACGGGATGTTGTATGTAAAGTTGTGAAGAAAAGACGACCAAAAAATCTCAAAAGAACTAAAAATGGGGTTGAGAATTTAATCGATTGATTTTATCTTTTTAATCAGTTGTATCGCCCAGTTCACACTACTGTTTCCTATCACAGGTCAGATGGTCACTGTTTGAATCAACATATGTCTGAACTATCATAAGTCCTTCCAATAGAAAATATTCGTTTGTTAAACTTTCTTTCGTTATTGAGATATTAACTTGTAGAACTTGCTCGCAAAAACTCTTAAATTAAACGTTGCCTGCTTTGAATCGTCTAGCTGCTATGGCTGATTTGTCCAGTATTCCTGGGATTCTTTAGCGTGAGGTCTGAGTCAATTAGTTGGTAAGTGCTGGCTGGCTGTTCACACTCTGAAAGCTGCTTTGTAGGTTTCCAAACAAATTGAAAGAGAAAATGAACTGTAAATAAGTGATTTTTTTATTTGATCTTTTTGAATTTTTTGAAATAAAAAAATAATAATTTTATTACATAAAAGTTACACAATTGTAACTTTTGTTGAATCCACAGGGTTTTCTCATTCTCACATACTATTCTCACATACTGTAATTAAATAGTTCAATTATAAATAGTAATTACAATAATTAATTAATTGTATAATTAATATAATTCTATAGTCATGGTAAAAAAGGTTGTTGAGTAAAAATGGTTGTTGATTGAATAAAGGTTCGGTTTATTTTTACATTTCAATAAAAGTTACACTTATAGTGTACCTTTAATTGAAGTTGTTTTCCCTTCAAACAGAACGAAAAAGAACATATTATTCAAATCAAAACAAAAAAAAAATAAATAGAAAATGAAGGGAAAGAAGATTTCTTCTCATTTATAAACAATAACAAAAAACAATAACAAAAAGATGATAAAAGTTTCAATTAGATGAATGCTCTAGTCAATGGCAAGAGTATTTTATGCTTTAAACAAGTAAAAAGCCAATCATCAAAAGAAACGCTAAACCTATATGGTAAACACCTTCTGTATTAACAAAACGTGAACAAACTCCACAATTCCACCTTTTTGACAACCAGTATTGGTTCAACTAAAGCAAATAAAGCTATCGATAAACACATTGAATAAAGAGAAATAAAAAACAAACAATAATAAGCAGTCGTGAAAAAAAAAGATTGTCGATGTTATAATAATTAAGGAAAATGCAGTTGTTACTTAAACGCGAGTAAATAATAAAAATATCAGTTTAATTGATCTGTTAAATATGTAAAAATCAGAGTTGATCTGTAAAAACCTAAAGTTTACAAGATGTCATAATTTGACAATTGTATCAAAAAGACGTTTTTAAAACCATATTTTTATTATTTTAAACTTAAATAATATTATCAATGATTGAATAATAAAAATAAATTTCATTTTAAATACCTTTTGAACTTGTGTACTTTAATTAATCTTACAGGTCAGCCCAACATAAATTGAAATTATCAGGAAATATCCAAAAAATAAATCATACTTAACACAAATTTTCAATCATTTTAAAATGCCTTCGTTTTTATCAATGTTTAAGTTGCTTCTTCTTCTTCCAGGAAAGGCAACAGGAACTACTCAAATTTGTTCTCCCATAAACTCTCGTATTCTGAAGGCATACTCCCTACAGTAAAAAATTCCTACATCATAAGTACCCTCCTTTTCTTTTCCAATTGGCTTTTTAACCTAACCACACATATGAAAGGCTGGGGTGTTGTTGTTTACACGGGAAAATTTGAACGATTGGATGATTTCAACAACTCTTTTTGTGACCATACAAACAGACAACTCTTCCAACTTAGCAGCATCTATTGCACCATCTTGATCCTTGAGTTGTAAAATTTCCATTTTCTTCTCTTTGTAGCCTTCTTGACTTCATCTTCAACATCGTCCTTTTGAGACATAACACCAACGGGGTACTTCATACCAACAAGTCGAGAAACTACCGAAGAACCCATTGCTCTCTATCAGTTAATAACAATAAAAGAAAAGTAAACATGTTAACAAGACTTATAACGGCTTTGAATAATAATATTATTTCAGTAATTTCTCTCATAATAAAAAACAAACTTTTTGAACGCCAAATATGACGACGTCCAGTGGCTGAGACAAGTGGCTACTGTGTGGGCACAATAATAATAAAGCCACTTTATTTTCGAACAGCCACTTTCTAGCACCATCTTTAATGTGGCTAACACAGTTGTCTTGTATTAAAACCGCCCATTCTTGTGGGCAATTTTTTCTTCTTAATTCCAGTTCTGGTTTAAGACATCTTTCAAGCCACATCATGTATATGTCTTCCGTAATGAAGGATTTGCGTTGATATGCAATTTCAACATCATCTCTGTCTATGTATCTGTTGATTTCATTTTTCATTGTCAAGTTTGATAGTATGATCATTGGTTTCAGCGTGGTGTTGTTGGAAAATATTCCTGCAATCAAAGTTATGCGTTTTTGAGAGCGATCAACAGAGTAAGAGTTGGTGTAGTCATAGTTGTCGTCAACATAAAAGTTGCTCCTTTTTGAGTCCACAAATGGACAATAACCACTTTCGTCCATGTTGATAAGGAGGGAGGGTTTAACTCCATTCAAGTGGACAACTCTTTCGCCGGCATATTGTTTGTCATTGTTCAACAAATCAACAGCTCTAGTTTCATAGCTTCTTAACTCATCTTTACTCAGCTCAGCTCTCTCTTTATCCATTGGTTTTGCAATCTTCTTAATTAAACCCTCCCTTCTCAAACTGTTTGCGATGGTTCTTTTTGATACTTTCTTCCCAAAAACTCCTTCTACAACATTTCCCATCTCTTTAGTGGTGATTGGTTTGGTGGTGTTTTGTCTTTCTCGAATTGTTTCCAACAACAACGGCATCCTCGATTGATTAATTTCTCGTTTTCTTCCAGACTTCCCTTCGACATCGTCATACAAGTTGTTGAGGCGGGCTGTAGAGGGTGAAACACCCAACACTTTGGCTTTCGTTTCAATTGAAACCTTTTCAAGCCATTTTTCACTTCTCAACAATTTCATTTGTTGTTGGAGTGTTAGACATTCCATGATTTCTGTTGCATGGGTTTCACAGAAATCCAAAAAATCACAGCCACGACCTGATTTTGTACTGTGGCGCAACACGCTCAAATCCAATTTTTTTGAAGCGGGTTTTCGCTGTGGTTTGGACATGATTATTGAGTTCTGAAACCAGCTGTATTTATTAATTTTATTATAATTAATGGTTAATTTTATTAATAATTATAATTTGAAGTGTTTCGAAAAGTTGTCTTTATTATTTCCCAACAATTTGACATCTAATCGCAATATATTTTTATACTTATTGGGTGATTTCCTGTTTTTTATGTAACAATTGACTCTTTATTTTCTATTTTTCATGTTATCAAGAAAATAAATTTAAAAAACGATTGTGTGACCATAACTTTGATACTCATGATTGTGTATAGTTTGCTTCCAATACAAATGTCGTTTGTAATAAAGAGGAGTACTCAAATTTAACAATGATATAATTTTTCAATTTCATTTCTTATTTTACTCAAAAAATGAAAGGGGGTGAAAAAAAGCACTTTCATTTTCTTTTTTTGATAAACAACAATGATTATGTATAATGTAATATCTATAATGTTCAATAAACAGCTCTTAATGTTATACAATTGACAACCAATTGTAATACTGTCAATTATCGTTTTTATGATTATCCTTGTTTGTGTTCTATTTTTCGAACATGGTGAAAAAAAAGCACTATCATTTTTTCAGAAACTATATTAACTATATTGAACTATACTTGTTTTTCGAATTACAAAAAAACAATTTTCGATTCAAAATTGAAAATGTTATACATTTTATAAAATCAACACACAAAAATGTTGAGATTGAGAAGAAAACAATTTGTTTTAAAAATACACTCCTTTGTTATAAATAGTTCTATTTGCTCAAAAACATATTTTCAATATTATTTCAATGATGCGAAGAAATTTGTAACTTTTCTTGAAATACAAAAATAAACCGAACCTTTATTCAATCAACAACCATTTTTACCATGATTATATACTTTGTTTCAAAGCGAACAAAAAGAAGTGAACGAGTTAATTAAAGCTCCTTAACGTAGTTATTTGGAATCCAACCTTCAGCGCCGTTCAAGCTTCCTTTCCACCATCCTTCATCCTTTTCTAAAATAGTGATGATATCACCTACTTTGAATGACAACTCTTCATCGTTTGCAGCAGTATATGGATATAAAGCTTTGACTTGTGGCAATTTAGGCTTTGGAGGGGGTGGTGCAGCTCTTGGTGGCATTGGTGGAGACTTTTTGACTGGAGCAGCTGCTTGTTGTTGTTGTTGGGGTGCTTGGTAAGCTTGTTGAGCGGGAGCCTGTTGTTGGACTGGAGCTTGATACGCTTGTTGTTGTTGAGCTGGAGCCGAGTAACTTGACACGGAAGCGTTGAAATTGCCCGGTGTTGAGTCTGTGTCTTTTGAAAGACCAGTCATGACCAAGACGTGTTTAGCAAATGATTTCTGTTGTTCGACGGGGATAGCCTTCGGGCCGTCATCTTTCTTGAAAGTCAAGATCTTGTCTTTCTTCTCATCTTTTCCTCTAAAAGAGATAGTATCGGAGAAGTTAATAGGGAAGCTTTGACCATTAGTAAGAGCTCTATAGTTCTCAAGTAACATCATTAAGAACTCTGTTTTATGTGGGCAAATGATAACAGAATCGTAAGCACCTCTGACACGAATGACCATGAAATTGTCTTGCATAGTAGACATCACAACTTCACTAATTTGTGTTAAGTCTCCTCTAAAGGTCACAATGTACTTCAAGATTTTCTTTTTAATTTGTTTCTGAGCAAAGTAAATAGCCTTGTCGGTGAGCAACATGGATCTATTCTCGGGTTTCCCTTTCTTGTTGACTCTCAGAACGACATCAGAGTAATTGACCAATTCATCCATATGATCTGCCATAGCATCTTGTAATGGTATTTCATTCTCATAAAGAATATAATCAGCAACCCACTTGTTATTGGCAAAGTCCATGGATTCTCTTCGTCTCTCTTTCTTCCCTTTCATGATAGAAGCTGCCTCTGCTCGTTGCGACAAAGCTCTCTTTCTGTTTCGATAATTCTTCCAGGCCTTTTGAATGTCAACAGACCGGTCAAATTCCATCTTCTCGAGCATTTCCTCAATCGCAAAAATGGACTCGGGAAGTCGAATAAACAACTTCGTTTTACCAAACTGCCATTGTCCCTGTTCAATGTTTGTCAACCCTTCTAAGATCACACGACATCCTTCTTGCGCATCGCCAGTCCATTCACCCCATGACCCCCAAGTCTTCTGTGAAAGTTTCTTGTACGTCTGCAAGAATCGAGCAAATGGCGCTCTGTAAGCAAAACCGGCTCTTCTAACTTTGACGTTCTCGAGAAGTCCAAGATACTTGACCTGATGTTTGACTCTATCAGCATCCCAGTCCTGTGATTTCTTTGTTTCATTTGGCTTAATACATCTAATGTAATGGGGAGAACATTGTGACAGCGCAGTCATCAGTTCATTTGCAGAAGTTTTGATCTTGAACCCAGCAGTAGTTGGTCTCTTCTTTTGTCCCGTCTTAGCGGCTTCTTGTTCTGCACTCCAAGGGAACAAGTCGTACAACAATTGATTGTTCGATGTCTGCAAACACTCAATACACTCGAGGAACAAAGTGTCTTTATTCTTCTCGCAGAATCCTTCTGAATAATAAGAGACAGGGCCTGCATAGTGTTGAATAGTGAAAGAGTCTCCATTGGGTGCAAAGTGTTGATTTGTTGAATGGACAGAACAGACCTTTTCAAGGAACTTGATATCACACCCATCAGTCTGCGCGTGCATTGTCGCACAAATATCATCAAGCAAACTGAACATTCCTGGTGGGTTCTTTGCTTCAATCAAGTCACAGACAACTTTGTTGTTAAAGTATTTAATTGGTGACCATTTGATCCCTTCAGCAATGTATTCCTCTTGTTCCGTCTTTAAGGTCAACTCAATGAAGTACTGTTGCAACTTCTCGTTCACGTAATTGATACAGAACTGTTCAAATCCATTCACTGGGAAGATTTCAAACCCAAAAATATCAAGAATACCAATGACACATCGATGCTCTATGCCATGCTTCTGCAACGCTTTATTCACCTTCACAACAAGCATCGAGAAGATACGATCATAAATTTCTTTCGCAATAGCATTCCGCGTAGCTTCAGCTTGCATCACAGTCAGTGGAGAGTCAAAGACTTCAGCACGCGCACCGACACCTGTCGTCAACTTACGGACAATCATGACGTGTTCTAATTGACCCGCATCGACTTCAAGAAGATACGCCACTGTTTTCAGAACTTCTTTGTCTTGAATCTCGGCATATCCAGACGAATTCTCCGTGAAATAGATGTTACCCATATGAAGCACAGCAGCTACCAACTGGAAGATCCAGTACTGTTCCTGTTCGCTGATCCCAATAGTGTTCATTGCTTTGACGCAATCTGCGTACTCCTTGTTATCATCAATACCATCAACTGACACACAGTTTGATTGATTCGTGAACATGAAATAGTCGGGAGTGGTTAAGTAGAAGTCATCAAAATATTGCTTTGAAGCACCGGCAAGCAATTGGTAGAAGATGTGGTAATTTCTCTCGCCAGTTTGTTGCATGCAGACTCGCGACTTCTCAAGCAAATAGTTAGTAATAGTACCTCCAACAGGGTCGGCGTGGTCATCAAAGTTGATTTCAAAGTACTTCCCAAATCTGGAGGAGTTGTTGTTTCTCAAAGTCTTGGCATTACCAAAAGCTTCCAACAGTGGGTTGGAGTCCAAAATGACGTTCTTGACATACACGACTTTCTCATTTCCACCAGAGACGGCCGCAATGTACTGCATGATTTGTTTGGCAGCTACGGTTTTTCCAGCACCGGACTCACCAGAAATGATACAGCACTGATTCGACTTCTCGTTTTTCATAGCTCGGTAAGTCTCTTCTGCAAGAGCAAAAATGTGTGGAGGAAGCTCTTGTCTAAACTTCCCTTTGTACAGTCGAACATACTCATCAGTGGTCAATCCAAGGTCTTTGAAAGGATTGATAACGATAAGGACTGGGCCAATGTTGGTGTAAATGGCATCGTAGTTATACCGTTTCTTTAAATTGTCGACAATTTCAGTTTCATCGATCTTCGGAAGCATGACAAGATCATCGACACCTTTTTGAATGAACCCCTTCTTACTCTTGAAGGCAGCAATCTCGTTCTCCGTTTCTTTTTTGGTGTTCTTTTTAAAGCCTACAGACATCTGTGACTTCGAGTTTTCTGATTTTCAAGTTGTTATGATCTTGTTTTTCAGAGGCAAACTCTATCTATTTTGAGGAATTTACATGAGGGGTTTTTTATTGTTTGATGAGCCATTTTATCTCAATAGTTCCGGGAAATTTGGCATAATGTGACCCAAACTTTTTCATCATGGAAATAGAGTTTGGAACTAGTATATATAATAATAAAATGGATTAGTTTTAATTTCATAAAACAGTCCCCATCGTTGACGAAAAAAAACATTATAAAATCAGTTTGTTCAACATAAATATAGAATACATTAATTTTCTCACATTTGTTGTGTTTGAGGATTTTTTACTCAAAAAATCGGGGTTTTTTGACACGTTTTATGGTTTGAAAAAGTTTTGAAAAAGTTTTGAGAAACAATGACTCGACTTTTTTTATTATTTAGTATATATAAAAATATTATAATTTTATAGTATTGAGAAAAAAAATAATTAAAAAAATATAATATTGTATTATATTTAACTAATAATTATCAATTAATAAATATCAAAAGAAATTTATTGATAAAAGAAAAATATAAATTGTGGTTTTCTTTTTAGAACTGTTTTCCAAATAACATTTTTTTTAATTGAACAACTGTTTTTATTCAGGTTATATACATCATAATATATTGTTGTATCATGTTTATTATTAGTGAATATGATAAACTTTTGTTATTTAAAACAAAACAGACATTTTTAGGGTTTCAAAAATATAACACCATATTTTGTCTTTTGTTTAATCGAGATCAATAGGGATATTTATAACAAATAAACGGGGAAAGACATTTACATTTTACCAACCACTTCTTATTAATAAAACTCAAATCAAATTATTATTAATTGGGTGTTATTTTAAGTAGTTTTCCTGATATTTTAAGTTAAAAACAAATGAAGTTTTTTTTAAATGATTATACGATGGTAAAATCTAGTAAAAACTGCCAATAATTGTATTATAATAAAACAAATTTTATCCATCTGGTTTTGTTTTTTGTTCTTAAAAATTTCTTGCAATTTTTTTGTCTCTTTTTTGGTTCTTTTTTTGCTTAGTATTTGCTGTTTGGTTATTGAAATTCTTTAAAAAATCACCTAACTATATTTTTGACTTTGATGTTTTTTTGTAGTTATAATATAGTTTTATTATAATATTTTTAGTTATTCATATTTTTAATTTTTACGACTTTCCACCAGTTTCTTTCTTCCGTTCCCAAAAATGCGATTCACCGTCGCAGCCAAAATAGGAAGTAAACGAATAGTACCATCAATAATAAAACATAGTAAAATATAATATACTGAAACCAAACTTAGCGTCATAGCATTTTTGTTATTAAGACTTTTATTACGAAAATGTTCAATTAAACAAACTGATTTTCAAACAGGAAGTTCTTTGATGGATTTGCCACAGACATCATACATCGACAAGCTTTTTGCTATTGTGATCCACTCATCCGCACGCTCTTTGAGACAATTGGGGTCTACTGTTGGTGAAAACACAGTTATCAACTTCACGGAGAAATACTATGTTTCTCCTCACACAAACAAGAAACTCCCTATTAAGAGGTACTCCCTCAAAAATTCGATACCCACTGCTTACGCTTCAAAACATCAGCACATCATCTTATTACCAATTTCAACCCCGAACATCGACCAAGTAGTGAAGACGGAACTTTCAAAATTTGAAAAACAGACTGAAAATCCGATTGTTGTCTTTCTTCTGATGGACACAACCGCAAAGGTGTTTTCGGATGTGAAGAAGTCGATTTTCGACACACTGGGATCACCGAGTTTCCAGTCAAAACAAACAAGGAGCTCTGAGAACTTGACGACAAATCCACGGAAGTATTTCCACAAAGCTTCGTCCGTGATGTCATTTTACCAGAAGTACGAGCAAAGCTGTATCATCGTGAAAATACCAAACGCAAAAGACGTCACTAAGAAGGACTTGGAGAAGATTTTTGGCATTATCAGAAAGTCGTTTATCATATCACAGATGAATTGGAAGAAGACTAAAATTGAGTTCCGCAATGCGATAACTTCTTTTGTGACAACAGAAAACAGCGAGAAGATCTACCAAAGCGAAGAAGAGCTTTTGAAAGGTTTGTGTTACAACCCAACTAATCCGAATGATAAAGACGAGTTATTTGAATTAATGAACGAATACGGACTTGTTTACTCCTTTAAACGGGCATTGAGTGTCACAAAATTTAAAGAGGAAAAGGTCATCAAGAAGCTTGAAAAGATCTTTCTGATCAAAGATTTGTACACTGAAGTAATGAGGAAAGTGAAGGAATTGACACGAGAACATGGGTTTGATAACATAGGATCTGTCGTTTACCTTTATGGAAAGAATAACGTGAACATGCTTCGTGTGGTTTTAAAGCACTTGATGGCACAGAACGAAGTTTTTATGATGGACGAACAATGGATTGAAGGAAATGATTTGTTAAACGCACTGGACGAGTACAAGAAAATAGAAACCATTGAGAAGCGGCTGAGTTGTAAAGACTCTCTCTGCAACAAACTGGACAAGATGGAGAAAAGAAAGAGTGTTTGTGTGTCTGAAACGATAGAGAAGAACGAACTGAAAGAACACGAGGATAAAGAGGAAGGTACAGAAGCACTCCAGTCGAGACTTGTAATGAGACAACAGAGTTCGCCAACATTACGAAAAATGATGGAG